TCCTCTCCTCCAGTTTCCCATCTGGACTTTTTCTCTTCTTCTTTTCTTTCCTTTCTTTTTGATTATTTCCTCTTCTCTCCCCCCATATCATCCACTCTCAGCCTTACTCCCCCTCCGATACCCATTTTGTATTTTTTTTTTTTCTCTTTTTCTTTCCTTTTCTTTTTCCCTGGTCGATTCATCTTCTCACCCATTCCGGTCCCTTGTCCACCTCCCCTGCACGCCCCCCATTCCCATTCCTCAACTCTCTTTCTCCGCCATCCCATCCCTGTCGAGAACGGCGATCGCAGCAGCCCGCTGAGTTTGCTTGCTTGCTCTTCCCTCTCCCACCCCCTCCCTTCCAATCCTCCCTTTCCCGACCTTTTCTCTCCCTCTCGTTCCAAACCTTCACAACCCAATCCCGATTCTCTCCGCCCAACATTGATCTTACTCCTCCCTCGTTCTCTCTCCCTCTCCTCCCCTCCTCCTCCCCTCTCTGATTCCTTTCGTTTCTCTCCCCCTCGACTTGCTCCAGGGGCTAGAGATTCGATTTCCCCCCCCCGTCGACCCACCTGCGTCATGCACAAGATCTCCAACTTCACGGGCCAAGCCCGTCATGGTTGGGAACGGATGACTCCGACTTTTGGCATGTCTCGCCCTCATGCGGACATGACTTCGCACTCCCTCCGTCGACCGCATGGTGCACCGCCGATGACTCCCCCGACCGGCATCGATCCGACCGTCAACCTCTCCTTCAACGTTCCATTCTCCTCCACCCTCAGTGGGCCCGACGCCGACGACGTGCTCCATGCGACTCCGGGTGCCCTCCACCGCTGGTCCTTCCCCGAGGGCACCCCCGAAGGCACCCCCGTTCACAACCTGCCCGTCCACACTAGCAACGTCGAGACCCTGCGGAGACTCTGCCGTCAGATCACCGAGAGTAGCAATGGAAGGATCGAGGCCTCCGTCAGTTCGTCGGAGCCCAAGACGGTCCCCTCCTTACAACGTCGCCCCCAGGGCTTGGTGACGAATGTTTGTATCACGGGCGATGGCGAGACGGTGCGCAAGATGCGGGCCAAGATCCTGAATGAGACCCCCATCCTTCTGGTACGTGTCTGAGATCGCTATATTTGAAGGTTCATTGTGTGGGCTAATGGCTCGGGTTGGTTTTTTTTTTTAGCGATGTGCCACCGTCGACGTGGACATGCACCTCTTCATGGACGGATCGGCCCAGGGAGTTCGGGATAGTGTGTTGGGACATCTGAACAAGTTGGCCGAGTACACCGGTACGGACATCTTCCTGCTGAGCCCGAAACTCCGAGACACGGACAGTGCGGTGGTGTCATCCTATGGCTACGCTTCGGACAACGGCCTGGATCATCGCTTTCGCGTGTCCATCTACGGCGATATGGAGAGTGCGGAACATGCCAAGGCCCGGGTCTTGATCTTGATCGATCAGATCGTAAGTACTTCCTTTGTGGGTGACGACGATGGATACTAACAGGGTGTAGCTCAAACGTGAGGTGGACGCGATGAAGTTGGAGTTGACCATGCACACTCTGGTGTGTGGCCGCACCCGCAAGAACATCAAGCTCATCGAGGCCGCCACCGGGACCGCCATCTACTTCCCCCCGCCCTTTCCGCGCATCTTCGGTTACACTCCTCCGGGCGCCCACCGTCGCAGCGAGGACGAAGTCTACATCACCGGGGAGACCAAGGATCAGATCGCTCGCGCCAAGCAGAAGCTGCGGGAGTTGGTGCTGGGAGTCAAGATCTACGTCAAGGATGTCATTGTGAACTCGAACAAGATCGACAATGTGCTGCTGGATCGCTTGGATAAGGTGCGGAAGGTCATGGAGATGAACGGTTCTTACGTTCTGTTCCCCCAGTTGGGCAGCCAACGCGGCCTGGTTCGCGTCCAGGGCTCGGAGGTCTTGCATGTGGAGCGTACGGTTCGGGAGATCATGGCTTTGGTACGTACCTGTTCCAACACCAGGAAATTGTTGATCGTCGACTAATACTTTCTCTTTTCGGTCCGCAGGCTGGCCAGTTTTATAGCGCGTCGTGGTGGATCGTCATGCCCGACCCCTCGCAAGGCGGTTTCCGCGCCCCCTCCGCTCCCGATGTCCGCACCATGCTGTCCGACATCTGCAGCAACTCCGGCGCCGAAGTCAGCTTCGACAATCTGACCTTCACCATCAACGGATCGGACGATGCCGTCAAGGCCGCGATGATGGTCATCAACCAAATCCCCTTCGTCCACCGGAGTCAGTATCAGATGCGGGTGAAGATCGAGTTGGCCAATGAGCACAAGGAATTCGTCAGTGGGAAGAAAAACGGCAAGATCAACAAGATCATGGGTCAAAGTAAGTTTCTTTCCTTGCCTTTCCATTTCAAAAAAAACATGTAGATTGACCGCCCAGGCAACGTCCAAATCATCTTCGACGGCTTCAACGAGTACAACTTCTACATCGACGTCTGCGGGAACCAATACGAGTCGACGAAGAATGGTCTGGATCTCGTCGAACAGGAGATGCCAGCTTCGATCTCATTCCACGTGCCGGATCAGTACCACAAACGGATCATCGGGATCGGCGGTCAGCATATCCAGCGCATCATGAAGAAATATTCGGTCTTTGTGAAATTCTCCAACGCCATGGATCGTGGCGGTATGGGCAAAGAGGATGACGACATCAAGGTCGACAATGTCATCTGCCGGACCCCGGCGCGCAATGCGCAGAGTCTGGACCTCGTCAAGCAGGAGATCATGGACATGGTGGAGAAGGTCGATGCCGAGTACGTCTCCGAACGGGTTCTGATCAATCGACTGTACCACCGGGAGTTGCTGGCGCGCATGACCGAGATTGATGAGCTCGAGAAGAAGTGGAACTGCAAGATCGAGTTCCCGAGCACGGAGCTGGCCAGCGACGTCGTGACCATTTCAGGTCCCGAATACCAGGTGCCTCAGGCGGTTGATGCCCTGCTGGGCATGGTCCCCGAGAGTCACGAACTCCTCTTCCAGAGCTCCCCCGAACTGCGCGAGTTCTTCCAGTCCGCCGACTTCCGCGACGACGTCTGTGGCAAGCTGAAGGACCAGTACGAGGTCGAGACCTCCGTCAACGTCAGTTCGGACACCGCTTCGCCCGTGTCGGACGGCGGATCGCCGCCCTTCCCCCCGGAGGACCGCGTGCTCCTTGGATACACGCGCAACAACGCCGGTGGACTCAAGGACGCCATCGACTTCTTGATTTCCCGGCTGGTCGCCCACGGATTGGATGCCACCACCGTCAAGGGCGCCATCCCGCGCCCCAAGTCGGACTCGTTCGAGGAGTCCCTCCCCTTCTTTGATTCCAAGTTGCTGCAGCACGCGCCCATTCCCCTCGTGACGGATTCCCCCACCCGACCCAACTTTTCCGATGAGACCAGTGAGCGTGGCTCGATCTTCGAGAGATTGCGGAAGCCTGGTAGCATTTCGTCGTTCTCGTCGTTCATCGGCCGCAAGAACCACTCGGCCTCTCCCGGTTCGTTCTTCAAACATGCCTCGAGCAATGCCTCCAAGGCATCCCTTGTGTCCATGGAGTCGCGTGACAGCGGATATCGCAACCCGTGGAATGATTCCGGCGTGAATCTTCCCGAGGACGATATCCCAGTTATTGGCAGCTCCCATAGCCACAGCAGCAGCAATGGCTGGCCCGCGCGCTTTGACACGAAATTTCCATTCGGTACCGCGCCGGGGGACATGACCCCTAAGCATGACCCTCGCGCGTCTTTTGACAGTGGTCGTCCTAGCACTTCCAATTCTACTTCTGGATACCCGGCCCCTATCGGGCCACCGCGTTAAAGACAATGTCAGTTTGCAGCAGTATACCCCAAGAAATTTTGTCTTTTTTTTTTTTTTTTTCCAGTCAGCGATTGATTTGTTTCGGCTTTTATCCTGTTTTATCCATTGTTTTGATACCACAGTAAGCATCTAAGATACCAGAAAAATTTGTTCTCAGCCGGAGGAACGAACAGACAGAGATGGAGTCCCCAATTTGAGTCGCGTCTCAGTTTGATTTATACCCTTCAGTTGTCTGGATTTGAATTCACATTCTTCTTGTCACGTTTTATTCTCGCTCGCGTGTTTGATTTGATTTGATTTTCGATTTTCACTTTTTTTTTTGTCTCTCAAACCATGGCATGGGAGAAGCTGGAAAAGGAAAGGACAGGGAAAGACAACAACAACATTCAAGTATGATACCAAGTGAGATGGAAGGTGTACGAAGGTGTTTTCTCGTCTTTTTTTTTTTCTCTTTTTGACTCATTTGCTGTTTTCGTCATTACATCCTGATCCTCCCTCCGTTCACTATCTTACTTTTTGCATGTGCATGTGCATGGTGATGGATGGGTACAGATGGATTTTGTGGTTTTTCTTCCTTTCTGTTTGCTGTTTGCTGTTTCTTGTTTTGGATTTCCTTTTTCCTTTTTCCTGCTTTTTCTTTTTTTACTATATACCTTGACGTACACGATATCCCCCTGACTTCAGTAGAGAATTCTGAATGAAGACCGAGTGATTGATTTGATTTGATTCCTGGATGTGATGTAGACTGTTATTGCCTTTTGCTCTAACAAATGTTATACTTTTTATGGACTCGGTTTAGTTCTATTGGCATTATCAAGTAGCATGAATCAGATTATTTGGCAGGGACTGATTAACAAGGACATAGCTTATTGTGGCAGAGTATGTAGATTGAGTATGGAAAGTATAATAAACCGAGTATAATTGAGTATAAACTGGGTATAAACTGGGTATAAACTACGTATAAACCGAGTATACAAATCACAAGTGACTAACCAAAATTGAAGCGTGTGGTCCATGCCTATCTGTACCTACACCCACACCTACACTATACCATACCTAAAAAAACTAAGCTACATACCTACCTACCTACCAACCTCAAAGGTGGTGATATAGAACATGCAGAGTAAGTAGGTAGGTAGGTAGGTATGTAAATGGCAGACAGGATCAGTCTGAATGAAGGGTGGAAGTACTATACTATACTATACTATAAGCAGATTGGTATTGATTGATGATGATATTAGGGGTAGACCGTAGATTGAGATAGACGAAAGTTAAGAAAAGTAAAGGGAAAAAAAAAAGGGAAGAGGGGGAAAGGGGGAGAGGGTATCAACAGGATGGATCGTGCTCGTGCTTGTGCTGGTGCTCGTCGTAGACAGATGCCAAACAAAGAGAAAAAAAAGATCATCCGACAAGGATGAATACCAAAGCAAGTAGACAATCAAACAAGTAAGCTCGTAGAAGTAAATAAAGTAGACATTAAGCATAAAGTATCCCATTATCCAAGAACAAGGTCAGCCCCACGTTAAAACGCCACCCCAATCGGCGAATGCGAGTGCGACTGATTCTCGTAATAACTACGACGAAGGTCATCGCTTTCGTAGATTGTCGGGTAGGGTTGGTACTGGGATTGGTCTTCGGATGGGCGGGCTGTTTGGCGGGGAAACACGGTGGTGCTACTGGTTGGGGAGGGCGTGGTTTTGTTAGGCGCTGCGGCGCCTGTCATGTTGTTGTTGGTGGTGGAGATGGAGGGGGAGGAGGCGGAGGAGGCGAGGGTTGAGCCGCTGAGGGTACGGGAGCGGAGACGGAAGGGGTTCTTGTCTGTTGTGAAGGATGGTTTCCAGGTTGTGGGGAAGGCGGGGAGGGAGGTTCGGGTGGTTGTTGATGGTGCTGATGTTGATATTGGTGTGTTGAAGAGCCATTGTGTGACGCGGCCGGTGCGAGGGGGGGTCCGGTTAGCGGGGCCGTCGGAGGAGGAGCTTGTTGTTGGGGGTCTTTGGACGCTGCTGGATGATGGACGATCCTCGTCAGTCGGGGGCAGGGGGGGCCTGGCCTGCAGGTGGGCTTGTAGTGGAGTTTGGGGTTCTGGGATGGCGGATGGAGGAGGATCGCTTGGGGATGCGGGTCCGGGGATACCAGTTGAGTCCGGCCTGGTGGTGGTGATTGTGGTGGTTGGGAGGGGAGAGTAGAGGCTTGCAGTCATACCAGTAACTGTGGATGGGCGGGTCGAAAAGTGAGGGATGAGAGGGCTGGGCGCCGGGAGGGATCTCTCCAGGTGGTGTTCCAGTGTTGCGAGGGAAGACCGTCGGGAACCGGACCCGACGGGTTTGCGAGACAGGTGGACGGAAGACGACGCCCGGTGGTGTGATCTAGCCTGCGACAGGCGGCCTGTGTCTGCTGGTTTGAGGACTTTGGCGGGTCTGGTCAGCGTTTGTCGGCGGTTTTCTTCTAGCTGGAAGTCCTCGAACTGGGGGAGCTCTGGGAGATGATAGCCTGGGGTGTTGAAGCTCAGCTCCAATGCTGGGATATTTCCAGGGGTAGTAGTCGCGAAGAGAGGCACGCGGCGGAAGTCGGATGGAGCGCTGATCCTTATGGGAGCGGTCGACCTCTTCTTGAAGGAGATGGTACTGGTCCTTTTCTTGAACGAGATGGTACTGATCCGGTTGGATGCCCGCGATGCTCGGATGTCTTTCCCGTCCATCATCCAGGAAGGCAAGGAAGTCACCCGGGGTGGTGGACCTGGGCTGGGCAGGTCGTCGTAGACGACGAGCTTCATGGGCGGGACGAGGTGAGGCTGTGTATGGCACACGCGCATCTCCCGTTCGGCACCTGAGACGCACGTTAGTGCAATTGTTCGAGTCCTCGACTCGTCTTTGTTCAATAGACCGCAATACATACCGTTTTGTCTCGCGCTCCTGTCATGGTGGAAGCTATCGTCGTCCGCCCCTGTTGGGCAGAACAAGCAGGAGTGAATCCAGCCAGTGAATAAGGACCCTGCTTGTTCGATTGCCCGGTTCATCGCTGCCAACGGTTATAACTGTTGGCCCATCACCCTCAGGGGTGGGCCGAGCACAGATATATTCCCAGGAAAAAGAATGCGAGAGACGATGAACAAGGAAGTCACAAAGAAAGAAAGGTCATATAGACAAACAAAGGCCAGCCGTCAGGTCCAAGCACCAGGCTGGCAGCAGAAGAACAAGATAGATGGAAGAAACAATCAATGAATGAATGAATGAAGGATGGATGAAGCCCTTGTGAGAACCCCCGCGATAGAAAGGACCTCCTCTTTCTTTGACACTAAACTCCTTAAAGGGGCCTCTCGACTGTCAATCATCATCACATTGACCATGGCAAGGCTCCAGGTCGATTCGAATCATAGTATTGGGCCTTCTGCATGTCAGCCCCCCACCCTCCGGTCTTTGATAAGTCCAGGGAACGAGGATCAGCTCCTGCGCCGGAATTACTGACCAGTAAAGGTGCTCTGATAGCGCCCCTCCCTGACAACGTGTCGAGCTGTTGATCCGTCCTTAATGAGGTGATCTGCGAATTCTCCTCCGGTTGGCTGTCGGGGGAGCAGAACACCACACTAACGAGGGACTAAGCGCCTAAGAGACGGCGGTCATTTGTCCAGCCGACGCAAGGCCCCCATCGGGATGGTGATAGTAACTCTCACACCTGCATTGGCTTGGGTGCTTGCCGTCGACTCCCAAAGTACGTGTGGAGAGATGTCAATAACTATGTAGGCCATCCCCGAGATGGATGATTTCAGGCCTTTGTGTGTTGCATTGACCAAGTGTGATAGCTGCCCAGAGCTCCTCGTTTTATCCGGACGTACCGGACTACCGAGTACCTGGCGTTTCATACTATTTATAAATCTCCCTCGCCGGGGATTTTGAAGCTAATAAGTTATGCTGCATCCCGAAATAACCACGCATATTGAGTGAAGATTGGAGTTTGGCCCGGTCGCACATGGGTGCCGCCAGGGGTGCCAAAAGGCTTGGCTATGTGTGATGAGGCACGCATGGCTTCTACCGGCCCCAGACATTCTCCTCGTCCAAGACACCTGAAGTCCATATCCGTGCTTGAGTGTTTCCGTCGTGGGTGTTTCCATCTCTTGGAACAGCTAGATGTGTCGAACTACGCGGGGCGTCGGCTTCCTGCTCGTCCCCGGACTCTGACATGCCAGTGGCTCTCCTGGGAGGGAACGATTAGTTTGGGCTCGAACGCGTCCGGCAGAGATAGCGATTACTTACCGGAAGAGCTTCTGCTGGTCGGGTTCAGCTGGTGTGGAGCCAAACGCTCGCTCGGCATGGATACGTTCCTCGGCTTCGGCTTCTCGGTCCTCCACTACGATATCGACGAGTTGACTGCTACGCGAGCTCCGAGAGGCAGAAGAACCGGCTGAGCCCGGCCGTTCCCCTGCATCGTCATCGTCATCGCCATCGCCATCGCCATCGCCATCGCCATCGCCATCGCCATCATGGTCGTCATCGTGCTTTTTCGGAGAGACGTGAGAGACGTGGGAACTCCCACTGCTGCGGCGGGAATCGGGTCCTTTCGATGAACGACTTCTGCGATGCTTGCGGGCCTTCTTGACCAATTCAGGCTGCTGGTCCCCCTGGTAGCTCGAAGAACTCGGCAGACGTTGATCCCTCGGTATCTCGTGGGCGGTGATTACAGGGTACTAATCAAAGTCGCATTAGTTTGGATGGCACTTTAATGGGGAGTGGGTCAACTTACATTCCAGTCGCCGAACTCGAGTTCCCGTGCCTGAGCGAACAGTCTCTCATGCTCTTCGTCCAGACCGAAGTCCTCCACATCACTGGGCGAATTGTATCGATCTGCAGCGCTGCCTCGTCGGTCGCCGTCGGAGGAACCGGACAATAATGGTGTTCGACTGTTGGCCTCTCCGGGCATAGGAATCCAATACTTTCCCTTCCCGCCACGTTCATATCGCATGCCATGCTGGATACGCCTTACCCGCGACCGAGACTCAGCGTGTGCTATAATGTGATCACCCGAGTCGAACAGCCGATACTCATAGTTCTCTCCGCGCAAGGTCATCTTCGTGTCTTCGACCAAGTCTCTGGCACCAAAGGCATCGCGCAGAGCGTATGCTACGGGCAACCGAGCCGCCGAGACGGAGGGGTCCGCATAGTCATGCCACGAAAACGCATGCCAATGTGCGATTGCGAAGATGGGCATCTCGAAACAGATCAGAGCATCTTGAATGGCAGCCGCTAAATTGTCGGGGGTGTATCCCGGAACGCCGTTGGACAGTGCCCCAAGCCACTGGAGGATCGACAGGAAGAACCCCTGCCAGTATGAGGCGAAAATGATAAGTTTGACGCCCAGAAACTTGGGCACGGGGCGGAATGGCACCAAGTCGCTGTGAAGGCAAACCCAAAAGTTGGCCAACGAATAGAGACTGACGGTGACGCTTATATTATACACGATCCCCGTCCAGAGATACCCAGAAGATATTCCCAGGTAGCCTTCTTGGTAGGTACCGGTGGCCTTCATTATGATCGATACCAAGGCCAAGATCGGTTTCAGCCAGGCATACTGAAGGATCCCGCGCTTCACCGACAAGAAGGTCTGGGGATCGGAGATGTCGAGTTTGGGAAGGCAATAGTTTAGCGGCCAGGTGTGATCTACCGGAGGGCGACCATGGGTCAAGATGATGATGGATCTTTCGCCGCCAAGAAAGTTGATGAGGAGTTGGAAAAACGTGTAGATCGTAAAAGCCTAGCGGGGACAACGCTTGTCAACACAACCCCCGAGTCCCACGGGCGAAACTCGTACCTCATAGATGTCACGAATGGGGTCCAGCACTTGAGCGGCGACTGATGAAACAATACTGGCCCAAGACGCCGCCGCGTATATCGGAACCCTGACACGATCAGCCCGACATCCAGTCGTCTTTCCCCGAAAACAAACACTAACATCAAGAGAATGCGAACCACATAGCGTTGGTGTAAGGGCTTCCGGTAGTTCTTTCTATACGCTGGAGGTTAACACATGACATAAATGTGCCGCGCGAAGGGTCTGCGTACGCCTGAAGCCAAATGGATCTGTTGATTGCGGACAACTGTTAGCACACTTGAAGATGCCTGACGAAAGCGAACCCCGGGGAAGTGCGATCTCACAAAATCGATATGAGAGAGGCAACCAGCGACGAGACACCAGTAACAATGACGACGGCCCGCGCCAAACTCGAGCCAGTGCCCCCGGACGGATTAGAAATGACCATTGTCAACCGCACGCGCCCCTGTGTTATGTCTGCGGGTAAAGCATGCCGTAAATCCAGGTGACCCTTCAATAAGAGGTACGAAGCGAGAGGGCTCGGAAAAGAATACGCGCAAAAATATCAAGCTCGTCAAAATTGGCTAGAAAGTCCCCTAAACCAGAAAGGGACTATCGCATAGTCAAAGGATGAGGGCGTTGTGGAGCGAGATTGCGTAGGCAGGAGGAGCAACAGCCGCACTTGGTATCTCTGCCCAGACGCGAGCCTTAACAACCAGGCCGATAAACTGGGGAACTCGATCCTGAACCGCCAGGCTCCAACGCGGGTCATCCCGATTAGGTCTAGCGTCCCGATAGGTGACCAGCTGCCTTACTGCCTCGAGCTCCACATGCTCCTCCTGTGTTATCGCAGCTCGGGATTGTTCCTGTTCGTCGTGCATTTTGTCCAACGCAACCTTTCCCTCGCAATTCGGATGCTGGATATGCTCTTCTTTTTTGGTGACTTTATCACTACCAATACAGTAGGATGCTCTCTATCCTGAAAAGTCAAGTCGTTATTAATCTCCCCCGTTCTCGTCAAAAGGGGGGTTGACTATCTTGCGGGAGCCGCCATGTTCGCAACTGTTCCCGGGCTTGAAGATATCGCACGATGGCTAATACAAGCTTGACAACGCTGTCCTTGACTCCGGATCCAAGCTTTAATTGGTAAGGGCATATGATGGTCCCACTGCTGGTTGAGCCACTCACGGTTTTTTGCGCTAGGTTCTTCCTCCTTGAACTTATCGTATCGTGCATCCTGTAAGTTCGGCGGCTTGTCGCATCCTCCTCCGATCGTCAGTGACTGATATGAGGTGAAGCGTGCTGTTTTTCCTCCTATACTTCAACCGTCTTTTCGCAACCGTCCTATCGTACGGAATCCGGGCCTATACCTGGCACTACTACCGCGCTTATGTCGATATACACGCTCTGCAAATATCCTTACTGGGAGGGAGGATCTTCTTCAAGGGCATCCGGTACCATGGGGTGAACGAGACAATCTTCATACATGGAGGGTTTATTACCTGGCGTTACTGGAGACATAGTGTCAGACGGACACACGTATCGAATTTCAAACCGACCTCTGAAAAGGCAGACGATGGAGCGCAGTCCCGGGAAGGGGACGGTGACGGTTGCAAGGATGGTGATCGGGAGGAACAAGGGGGACAAAAACGGGCGGATACACTCCCTTGTCGCATTACGGCAAAGTTTTATGGCTTTGAGTGGTTTATCTACAACCGGACCCCCGCCTACGACAGTATCTTGGCAGGCTTCATGCCGTCTGATCCCACCACGACGTTCACCAAACCGGAGTACCCTGGGAGCAGTACGCTAGATCCCGGGCTCAAGGAGGGCTCGGAGCACGCGCCGTCAGATAATAGGCCAGCTTCGGATCGAGTTCCTTCTCCTCGTGGCAACTTCCCGGCGAGGAGTGGGACGGGCAGCGAGACGATCGGTTCGCAGGACGCGGGAAGCTCCGGGCAGGGAATGGGAGAGAGTTTATCAAAACTCCTCCAGCTTTTGCCTTTGCGACTGGTGTGTGACAAAGGCGCTATTGTGGTGGGAAATGAGAATACAAGGTCGGTCCTCACCACGACCTTTAATGGGGCCACGGGGTTGGTCGAAGCCTGCAGCGCTGGTCCGCTGGACCTCTACCGGCAAGCATTCTCTTTTCACCTCGATCACCCTGTTATCCAAATGAGGCCAAATCCAGATTTCAAGCAGAACCAGCTTGTTGCCGCCAAAGGACTCGGCTCCGCCCGACCAGAGCCGTCTGGAACGAAACGCAAGAGGGACACGATTTTCAATTATCATTTCCAAAAGCGCAGGGTGTGGCACAGCATCCGTGACCTTATTCCATACTTTCAGACTTCTGTCGAGTCCTTCCATGTTTCCGACAAGCCTGCAGATCCATCTAAGCTTTGGGGGAATACCCACAGTGACGCTCGCTGGACCGGCCTTTCTCGGTATATAGATGAAACCAGCCACGATGACCATGAAGAATGGAGTTCTGTGGAATATGGGAGATTCTCCACAATTTTGGATAGTCCCGGGATGACCATATCCTATTTTTGGGACATTCCTGGCTATGTTGTACCACACGCGACGGCTCCATCATCCCCCCAGCAGAGACCTCCGCTGGGTATCAACGGTGCCCCGCCCCCCGAGTGGGGGATCGATGTCAAACTTGAAGGTGGTTCTATCAATTACGGGCCCTGGGCTGATCGGGAACGAGTCGGGCTACAGAATGTGTTCTTCCCCAATAGTTACCGAAGCTCCGAGTCCGCGGAGCCCTTGGCCCCGGGCGAGCCAAGGAAAAGCACGTTATTCAGACTGCGCATAGAAACTAGCCAGGATATGACCCTGCGGATCCCGACGAGAGAACCATCCAAGGATTGGCAGTGGAAAGGACGGGCTGATGCAATCAGAGGTTCTTCCAAGCTCAAGAAGCAGCAATCGAGGAGAAAATCACGCGAGGGCGACAAGGGCCCTATTGGACCCGATATTCGTCCTTTTGGGTGGCTGTCTTTGCGCGTGTCCGGTGATTCTACTGTGACCTACAACATGGATATGGTGGCTTCAGGCCCGAGGTTTCGTAACCAGCTTGACTTGGATTTTCGGGACTCCAAAATGACTTCAAGCGTCAACCATGCGTTGTTATGGCAGTGTCCTAGACAACTACTCAGCTGCGATCTCTCGGTGCCCCTCTCCTGGAATGATCTTCGCACATGGAAGTTCGACATTGACAATCAATCTATGGAGTTATTTCTTCTGCGTGATCACATCTTTCTTCTGACAGATCTTGTTACTGACTGGGCTTCTGGCCCTCCGCAAGACTACTACACATTCGTACCGTTCATTTACAAACTCAATCTCTCATTCGCAGACTTGCGCTTGTTCGTGAACGTGAACGACCAAAACATCATCAGCAACCCTTCCGACCTGGATGACAATCGCTTGCTGCTAATTAAAGGGAAAACACTGAATTCGGCAGTCACTCTTCCTTTGAACAAATATAGGCCGGATCAAAATGCCGTCGAATTCAATATAGATCTCGACGATGCCGCCATCGACTTTTTGAGTCCTCTATGGGACACCTTCCATACCTTTTTGAGCGATAAATCCGCTGCCACTCTGGAGCACTTGTCTATAGGCGGGACATACAATTACTACCAGTCCACATCGTCGGAGCTGGTGGACACGCTATACCTGAACCTTGATGGTTCGTCCCCTAGACTGTATCTGTATGGGTTCCTCATCAAATGCTTCTTGACAGTCAAGGAAAATTACTTTGGGGAAGAAATGCATTTCAAGACACTCGAGGAGTTTCAGGAGCTTGCTTATTCCAAGGAACAACCCGAGTTGCACAATCAAGTCAATCCAAATAGAGTATCAAATGATCTCGATGTGATTGTGCATGTTAATGCTAATGACGCCTGTGCTCTTCTCCCTGAGAACATCTATAATCATGTGAAATGTTTAAGGCTCACATCGCCGTCTCTCGAGATCGACCTACGGTTCACTAATTACTACATGGACTTGGAGTTTTCAGTATCTCCGTTGAAAGTGGGCCTCGAGTCCAACCCACCAGACGGCCCACGTATCATTTCTGACACTCAACTATTTATTGACGGCATTTCTGTATACGGCCATCGTCTGTTCGGGTTGGCTCCCGCGGAGCCCACTTATGTTTGCAATTGGGATTTCAAGGTCGGACGAGTTATTGGAGAATTCTCCACAGACTTCTTGAGCTGCCTGGGTGCGTCCCTGAAAAGCTTCGACTTTTCTTTCGATAACGAAGAAAATGGCCTCCCGCCTTTGTTTCCGATCGCTCTTCATGACGTGACCTTCCTTCGGGCAAATATCGATTTGATTCATGTCTCCATCCTATTAGACAAAGTGGCACTTGTTCTGAGCACCGGCCCGCTGAAAACCCAGTTCAACGACTGGACTGATGCCAGATTCTCAAAGCGCATGAGCCTCGTGGTTCCTGACATCTCTATCGCTGCAGTTGACTATAAGTTCCTCGGGCCATTCGGGAATTTGCTTGACACGAAACTGGCTCCTTTCGCACTAGTTCAGTCCACTATCAAGCTTAGAATGGCGCAAAGGAAGAGCGATATCACCGAAGGCAGGAGACTGCAACAGGAGCATTTGAAACTGCACGATGAGAGAACCCAAAGGACTCCGTGGCTTCTTTTTGACTGGGAGGACATTGAACCTGACTTCCCCCAAGGCGCAAAGGATAACTTGGCCCCGCCAACCATTCCAATCCCGACAATGCCTGAGTCTGTAGGGAAATTCTCGCAAGGGCTCAAACCATCATTGGCAAGGCATAATTCGGACAACAGAAGTTATCACAGTTCTAAAAGTTTTCTTATGCACTCTGATACGTCGAGCGTGAGAAATGGTCGGGGACGACTCGCTGGGCGCCAATTTGATCCTTCGCGGGGTCTATCGCAAGCAGATGTTTATCGGATTAGACCTCGAGTAGCCGATGACAGCCGCATGTTTGATGCGTTGGAAAGCAGTAAAGTATACGGGAAGGACTCATCGACAAGCGTGCCGGATTCTTCTAATCCTTGGATCATGCCGAACTTCTCGCTCTACAGGATTGACCTCGATACATCGCAGTTGCCCACGTGCCGGGGCACACATGATAGCCCTGCCGAGACTGCCTTTGCTGAAGCAAAATTTGACACATACGCCTCGCCGTTCGAAGATGACGAGACAACACACACCGATTTTGCTCTCGAGCTACCTACAGGAGTTAAGGGCTTCTGTCGACCTGAATTCCTTTTCCTGGTGGCGGATTTGGTAGGCAAGCTACAGCCGAGACATCCGATTTCGATCATTGATACACTCCAAAAAGATGTCGTTTCAGATATTGTGGGCTATGAGAAGGCAATGAAGAACCCTAAAACGGCAACAGCATTCGCAGTACGGGCCCCGTATGTGCTCATGAACTTGGTCCACTCTACCGATCCTCTCGTCAGCCATGAAGCTGGATTTCGAGATGAGTACAGCATCAAGGTCATCCATTTGAAGACAGAGATACGATCAAGGTACGATCAACAGACGGACAATCCTGTCGATAAAAATACCACTGTCCACGCGGCAGCCAAAAGCCTTTTGGTGTCTGTGGAAGGTGGCCAGGCCGATACATATCAGGACAAAGCCGAGTTCAGCTGTCTTTTTGAAGACATGAATTTTTGGCTTGTAACAATACCTTTTGTCAAATCCAAGTTCCAAACTCGGGCATTTGACACTGTTACTTCGACAAGATCAGTGGAGCCTTTGGCCTTCCTAGTCCGTCGTACAACAACCATGTTCGATTCTCTTGCATACTCCTTCCAGCATAACTCGGCTCTCGAGCGAAAGAGACTACGCTTCCTGATCTATTTCCTGACACAAACGGCCGCCACTACTTCCGATCCGGTCTTCCTGACACGCATCTCGTATGTATTGAGGGTTGCACCTGCTCATCTACGGCATCACGATTCATGGAAGATATTATCTCGGATTCGAAACGTTTACAATTGCTTGTCTCGCGATCAACAGAAGGATCTTATTTCAAAATGCGAGACTGACAACATCTTGTTGCCCCGCAATGCACGAACTACTGTCTTGTCAAGCTTCGACCAGTGGCGTGCTTGGGATTTGGCACATGTCGAGAAAAGCGACGTGATGCGGAGGGTTTGGGATACCTTCGCACCTAAAGAGGAGAATGCCACCCCGACAGCACAGTTTTCCATTGTGGTGAAATCCTTCCGCTTTGCAATTGATCCTGGGCCGAAGGAAAGCGGATTTGTGATTGAGGATCTGGCTACTGCCATTTCAGCGCATCCTCAAAAGAAGCAACCATCGGGTGTCGAGATCAAGCAGAATAATCTGGTAACAATCCAGACTTACTGCTCATCTACTAGCCTGAGGCTCCGCTGGGAACTATTAGACATTGTGGAAGGAGTTATGAAGGCAATGTCTTCTGTGACACTTGAATCCACCGTCCGGACCCAAAGCCTTGGAGAACCTCAAAGTGAACAGAGTGAGCTCCAGTTTACGTTTGGCACAGACCTCGGATCTATCACCCTCGATGGTATCAACGTCAAACTTGTGATGGCTGGAACTGGCCTCCGAAGTTCTATCAGCCAGATATCAAATAGTAGAGAAAGCCCTGACGGTCTAAGCGTGCTGATGAGTGCTGAGGGATGTTCTTCGGAGATTTCCAATATTTCCGAAACTCTTATGTTGTGGAAGATCGCCGATCCACACGTGTACATCGCACGTGTCTCTGAACACATGGGATCTAATCTAATTCACGACTGGAGAATCGTGGGATCATGCACGAAACTCCGCTATGAGATGCGGGAGGATCCATTGAACCTTGCTCACACTGCAGACAGGCTGATAGAAGATGAAGTCCGATACATCCATCAGCTTGTTAAGAACTTGGATTCGCCCACACAGCAGTCCCCTAAGGTCGAACCAGCGAAACAACCGTCTAACAACAAGATCCACATAGCAATGTTTTTGGATGACTATCGCCTAAGCTTCTGTGTTTTACCATCACTTAAGTATGTCATATCTGGAGAAGTTGCTCGCACGTCCATCATACCGACTCGCGATTCAAAGGTGGAGATAGACTTTGACGTGAAAAGGAACCTGCATACCTTTCTGTCAAGCGAGGGTAGTGGGTGGCATCGTCTATCGGTGCTGGAGATTCCGCCAATCAACGGTCGGGTGGTTGCCAACATGGCGCCTGTTCGGACGGATGTGGAGGTTGATATAACAATTGAACTCATCAGACTGGAGGCAAGCTCTGTGAGAACCCTGCTGGGCTCTCTCACAAAGCCAGAGGTGTCCCACTTCATGGCTGATCTCAAAGAAAACTTCGAGTCCCTTCAACAACGGCTAGATGAAGTTCTCGCTCTTGACAAAACACCCAAGCAACAGAAAGAACCACCCAAGGACCATGGCATTCTCTACAAGGCGAGCATGTCAATGGCAGGGATCAAGGTCCATGCTCTAGCGCCCGGTCTGAATGGTAAAGACTATTCAGCCGACTTGGAATTGACTCTGGGGATGATGCGTATGCGCCTCGACAATGGCTTGGAAGACGGATACCCAATGCAATATCCCGAGTTCCACGTCGACACGTCGAATATAAGTCTCGATCTTCGGAAGAAAGAGGCTTCTAGGAGCCGCTCTTACTGCAGCTTTGCCATCGATGCAAAACTCCAAGGGACTTCGACCAGGCTTGAAAATGGTGACCTCAGGCGAGTGTATCATTTGAGCAGCAAGAAGTGTGATATCGAGCTCTTTTCCGAAACAGCTGCCCTGGTGGTTGATATGGCGGCTCATCTCCAGGAGCGCATCAAAACTCTGGATCTGTCTCACGAGGTGGAGCGTTTCAAGAAATTGCGCAAGCGAGGCCATACAGAGACAAAAGCCAAGTCAACAGGTATCCCAGAGATACGCATATCAGATGAGGGCGGCGCTCAAGATCTGTTCGACGCCATGTATTCGTTGGATTTCAATAACATCCAAATCGCCTGGAACATGACCACTGTGGTTTTGCCCACGTCCGCACGGAAACCCGACGACCTGGTTTTCTCCATCAAGCGTGTGGAATTATCGAATAAGAAGACCAACGCCGCTAAGCTTCGTATTGAGGATATGCAATTGCAGATGGTTCCGTTCTCAAATAACCGAGAGAAACGCTCCCTCAATTCGGCCTTATTGCCAGAACTGGTCTTCAATGTTGCATATGCCTCGACAGGAAAAGAAGCTCGACTGGCCTTCCAAGCAGCCGGGAAGTCCTTGGACATACGGGCGACTTCTGATTTCGTCATGCCTGCTAGTACCATTCGAGATTCTATCGCTTCTGCAAGCCGGATTATCCGCGAAGCCAATTCCTCCCTGATGCCCAAGCCCTCTGAAGAGGGCACCGAAGAGGGCACGAAGCAACGTTCCCTTTTCGGGAACAAACGCCTGCGCTCCGTGCTAGTTGACGTCGACTTCGCTGGTGCCATTGTATCGCTACAAGGGAGGCGCAGCGATGACCAACATTTGACGGCAGCGCACAGGGGGAGTCGGACATCAGACGCAAGTTATGGTAGCTATATCCATGGGGATGGAGTAGCCACGGCTACCCTAAGAGCCCCTGGCGTGGCGTTGAAGGTTCAATTCGAGGACAGCAGCTCTGCTGGCTCTGCATTGAATGCGGAGCTAAAGGTTGATCCGTCCACAAATGTTCTGCATCCGAGTCTGGTTCCATTGGTGAAACAGATGACCTCGGCGGTGCAGCACGTTATGGGAGGCCAACAAAAGCCTAGAAGGCCTTCTAGCGCGATGATGCTGCAGCCTCAGAAGCTGATGCAAGAGGCACCACTCGACGATGAAGGGAGAGACACGATCCTGGGGAGATGCAAACTGAACGTGGGTCTTCTCATCTGCAAACAAGAATTCAGCTTGAGCTGCCAACCCATCGCCAGAGTCGCCGCCACTGCCGGGTTTGAAAGCGTCTACGTAACCATCAATACTGTTCAATCAGATGAATATGGCCGGTTTCTGTCACTTTTGATGACATTCAACTCATTGCAAGCTTCGGTGAAACACGTTTATTCCAGCGAATCCACTGCAAGCTTCGAAGTCCAATCCATGGTCATGTCTGTTATGAACAGCAAGCACATTGGCAGTTCCAAGGGTATCTCGGCTGTGCTTAGAGTGAGCCCAATGCAGGTGGCTCTCAACGCCAAGCAAGTACAGGATTTGCTTCTTTTCCGAGAGATTTGGTTCCCATCGAATGAGGACATAGATGTGGAGCGAAAATTCCCTCCCTCGTCTCCGGAGACGCCACCCTATATTGTCCAGCGATATCAGCAAGTTGCATCGGCCTCTGCGTTCCCATGGAACACGGCTATTGCAGTCGAGCGATTAGAGATCCATCTAGACCTAGGGTCCACTCTTGGAAAGGCCCAATTTGGCATCAACGACTTGTGGATGTCGTCGAAAAAGACGTCCGATCAGGAGCAAACGCTGTGCATTAAGCTGAAATCCCTCGGGGTAGAAGGCAAAGGTCGAATGAGTGGGTTGATCGAGCTACAGACCCTGAAAGTCCATACTTCAATCCACTGGCCCGACGACATGCTCCACAGCCAGACCCCTCTTGTGCAAGCCTCGATTGCTTTCAACCAATTCCAGATGAAGGTTTCCTTTGACTATCAGCCTTTCATCATTGGCCACATCACGATGTTCAATTTCCTCATGTACAATGTCCGGAACGTCTCTGGCAATGAGCGGCTATTTAGCATTATTGATGGAGACAAAGTACAGGTGTTCTGTACCAGCCTAACCGCGTCACAGACGATTGCTTTGCTCCAAGCATGGCAGCGCCTCGTGCAAGACAAGCAGTCAGCATACGAAAGGGCATTGGATGACGCACAGAGATACATGCGCCGACGAACTTCCAGCTTCGCCAGCAAACCCGAGCTTTCAAGCGAAGCGAAGGCTAAAACGACGGACGAAAAGGACGAAAAAGCACCAATATCTCTCCAAACGGGGGTTGTCGTCTCGCTGAACTCCGTCAATCTCGGGGTATTCCCCAGCTCCTTCTACGACAACCACGTATTCAAGCTGGAGGCACACGATGCCCAGGCCCATTTCCACGTGTCCCTGGAAGAGGAGCGGATACACAGTATCCTAGGACTCACTCTCGGCGAGCTGCGCGTTGCACTTTCAGGTATCACGCGGCCGCATCCAATGGAAATGCAAGACCTCCTCGTCAGCGAAATCGCCACCCGAGTCGTGGAGTCCACCGGAGGCACAATCCTCAAGGTCCCCCGACTCGTAGCCAGCATGGAGACGTGGCAAAAACCCGGAGACTCCAAGATCGACTACATCTTCCACAGCTCCTTCGAAGGCAAAGTCGACGTCGGATGGAACTACTCGCGCATCAGTTTCATCCGCGACATGTGGGACTCACACTCTCGCGCCTTGGCCTCCCGACTCGGAAAGCCCCTGCCGCCATCTGCAGTTCGCATCACGGGAGGACTCAAAGAGGGCGACGACACCCAGGAGCAGCAGGAGAAGATCACGGCCGTCGTCAACGTGCCTCAGTCGAAGTACACGTATGTTGCGCTGGAACCGCCGGTGATTGAGACGCCTCAGCTGCGTGATATGGGTGAGGCTACGCCGCCCCTGGAGTGGATTGGGCTGCAGCGCGATAAGCTGCCCAATGTCACGCATCAGATTATCATTGTGACGTTGTTGGAGATTGCTAGGGAGGTGGAAGATGCGTATGAGAAGATCTTGGGGTCTTCGTGAGCTTGGGCCTTTGAGGACGGTTCTTGGGAGCTTTATTCTATGTATATATACAAGTTAGTGTACAATTTTTAATGCTTATAGATTTTACAAATTCCAATGTTGTTTACAATAAAAGCGTCGTAGTTCTGTGGTCTCGTCCGGAGACATGTGTGCTTCTGTGATAAGTAAGCTTTTGGGTGAGTTTTAAAGGAATCTATATATTTATATATTCCGCATCGGGTGCCCTCGTTGCCATCCTATCTCCGTATCGTTGTGTCAGAATTTCCCCACGAAGAATATACTACATTGATGAGATTTTCCCGTCTAGATAGACAAGCTTCATAACAGGGAAGACTGAAATGAAGAATAGCATTGCTAGGGATGGAGAGGGATGAGATGAACACCTAGCTCTGTACACGATATGTCATCATACGCGTCTTGGAACAGTTGTCCCATAATCCTTTGACAGTGAAGAATTCCATTTTATAGCACTCAGACTCAACTAGATCTGGAAAGTGTATCTATAACTAGAATATGTATATAATGTCTTCATCCACGAGATATATCGTAGAAATGGTTGGAAATATATAGGACTACATACTACAACCCCAAGAATTAGAGATAGGCTATACTGGCTATACAAGCAAGATTTATTATTATATCTCTATGTATATCTGATTTCTAATATCTTCCTTCGAGAACTCAAACCTGGTATGAAACCATACAATAGAGAATATTAATGGCATCCAGAAAAGCGATGATTATATACGCGGGTGTTCTACAGTCATTGAGATGTAGTACCGACTCTCTTGCTACGGAGTATGGAAACATCCAGAGAACCAAGCTATGTATAGAATAGAATAGCAATGCATTTGACTACAATTCATTCAAATATGCATAAGCTTGCTGCAAAAGTACTCTACATCTGTCGACTCCTCCGTACAGGAATCAGATAACCCGGATAAGATGATGTCTTCGGTTGAAGAACCAAATGGATTAATAAGCCAGCCCTTCTCAATCGGAACTTTAGTGCGTTAAATCCACCTAACTCCGCCTCCAATCAGGTGGGCGGTGAGTGGAGGGGTAAGTCGGCCCTCTCCCCTCATTGGGTTGCAGTGCGGCACTAACAGGTGGTATCTACGACTTTTGTTTGACCTTTTAATTAATTTCCGGTTTCGAGAGGATCAGAGATTGAAGGCGATAATCCTGTCGATTCGCTAAATGTAACAAAGGAAGGGGATGACAACGGGTCTAGCTGAAGGCGTAGAGCAGATAGGCGATGATGAGGGGGGAACGCGGGACTGAAAAGTTGGAACCCGGGAAAAGTGGAAGGTAATTTAAACTGTAATGCTTGAGTCATACGGTACCGCTGACCTGGTGATTACAATGATTACAAGACCCCTCCAAAGCAACGCCACCGAACCTGCAACACATGGGATGATACTTGGATAGTATCAATGGATTTTTTTGCGAATGAAAAATCTTAAACATCTTGTGAATCGTAGAGCTTAAAATATGACTCTTCCTCTGACTCACATCCAATGACGCCCAGAATTCTGTGGACAGCCGTTGCGTCTGCTTGTACTCATAATGTTCTACCGGCATAATGCAGCTCCAGAGCTCAGTGTATGATATCAATTAAATCTAACCCAACCATGGTCACCCTAGAGACCTGCCTAAATGTCATCAATCTTACGTGTATATTACGTGTATAACCGTAACCATACCAAGGGTGGAAGCGGGAACTGCAAGAAAAAGCTAAGGGAAAAAAACGCACATCCCACTAAGTAGATTTGAAATCGGAAAAAATCCCACCTGCACAGTCAAGCTAAGAGAGAAGAAAAAAAAAAGAGTAAAAAAAAAATGGAAAGAAAAAAAAAAAGTGGTTCCCCACCTTCTCGCTTTCTCGTCTTCCCCTCTTCACTCCAACCACACCATCCTCCCTCTTTTTCCTCTCTCTCCTTCCCTCCTTCACCTTCCCCCGTGAAGCCCTCTCCTCCTCTCTATCTTGGAGCAGAAAACATATAGGTTTATTTACCTATTTATCTTCAGGTCGAGCTAATACTCGATTCTGTTTGTTTTCTGTTTCTATTCAACCCCGCCTCTAAGGCCGTTGTCGAGAAAAACCCGCCAAGATGGTTAAGTATGTATACCACCACCCTTCTGTGCTTCCTCGGATCCTCGCGGGTTCGTTCTGGAGTTTTTGAATCGATGTGCTAACGATGTATTTGATAGCTTCACTATCGAAGAGGTCCGTTTGTCTGGCTGTTCCCACACCCTCGAAATGGGGGGCTCGCAACGCCGTAGCTAACAACGTCTAGATCCGGTCCCTCATGGACCGGCCGGCTAACATCCGTAACATGTCCGTCATTGCTCACGGTATGTTCATCTTCCTGCCTCCCGTTACGATGGAGAATCAAATGCTGATCGTGGTTGCCGCTCTCCAGTCGATCACGGAAAGTCCACCCTCTCCGACTCCATGGTCCAGAAGGCCGGTATCATTTCGGCTGCCAAGGCCGGTGAGACTCGTTTCATGGACACCCGTCCCGATGAGCAGGACCGTTGCATTACCATCAAGTCCACCGCCATCTCCCTGTACGCCCAGTTCCCCGATGAGGAGGATCTCAAGGAGATCCCCCAGAAGGTCGACGGCTCGGAGTTCCTGATCAACCTGATCGATTCCCCCGGTCACGTTGATTTCTCGTCGGAGGTCACCGCTGCCCTGCGTGTCACTGATGGTGCCCTGGTCGTCGTCGACTGTGTCTCCGGTGTCTGTGTCCAGACCGAGACCGTCCTGCGTCAGGCCCTGACCGAGCGTATCAAGCCCGTCCTGATCATCAACAAGGTCGACCGTGCTCTGCTCGAGTTGCAGGTCTCCAAGGAGGATCTGTACCAGTCCTTCTCCCGTACCATTGAGTCGGTCAACGTCATCATCGCCACCTACTTCGACAAGGTCCTTGGTGACGTCCAGGTCTACCCCGACAGAGGTACCGTTGCTTTCGGTTCCGGTCTGCACGGCTGGGCTTTCACCGTCCGCCAGTTCGCCGTCAAGTACGCCAAGAAGTTCGGTGTTGACCGCAAGAAGATGCTTGAGCGTCTGTGGGTAAGTCATATTCCTTCCACCAGTAGTTGCATCAAGGCCGATGACTAACGTGGCATGTAGGGCGACAACTACTTCAACCCCAAGACCAAGAAGTGGACCAACAAGTCCGAGTCTGATGGCAAGCCCCTGGAGCGTGCCTTCAACATGTTCATCTTGGACCCCATCTTCCGTATCTTCGCCGCTGTCACCAACGACAAGCGCGATGAGGTGCTTACTCTGGTTGACAAGCTGGAGGTCAAGCTCACCAACGAGGAGAAGGAGTACACCGGCAAGCAGCTCCTCAAGACTGTCATGCGCAAGTTCCTGCCTGCCGCTGATGCCATGCTGGAGATGATCTGTATCCACCTGCCCTCTCCCGTCACTGCCCAGAAGTACCGTGCCGAGACTCTGTACGAGGGTCCTGCTGACGACGAGTGCGCCCTGGGTATCCGTGACTGTGATGCCAAGGCTCCTCTGATGCTGTACGTCTCCAAGATGGTGCCCACCTCCGATAAGGGTCGTTTCTACGCCTTCGGTCGTGTCTACTCCGGTACCGTCCGCTCCGGTCTGAAGGTCCGTATCCAGGGTCCCAACTACACCCCTGGCAAGAAGGAGGATCTCTTCATCAAGAACATCCAGCGTACCATCCTGATGATGGGTCGTTTCGTCGAGCCCATCGAGGATGTGCCCTGCGGTAACATCGTCGGTCTGGTCGGTGTCGATCAGTTCCTGCTGAAGTCTGGTACTCTTACCACCTCCGAGACTGCCCACAACCTGAAGGTCATGAAGTTCTCCGTCTCCCCCGTCGTGCAGCGCTCCGTCGAGGTCAAGAACGCCCAGGATCTGCCCAAGCTGGTCGAGGGTCTCAAGCGTCTGTCCAAGTCCGATCCTTGTGTCCTGACCATGATCAACGAGGCCGGTGAGCACATTGTCGCCGGTGCCGGTGAGCTGCATCTCGAGATTTGCCTGAAGGATCTCGAGGAGGACCACGCCGGTATCCCTCTGCGCATCTCGGACCCCGTCGTGTCTTACCGTGAGACCGTCTCCGCCGCGTCGAGCATGACCGCCCTGTCCAAGTCGCCCAACAAGCACAACCGTCTGTACCTGACCGCTCAGCCCATGGAGGAGGAGCTGTGTCTGGCCATCGAGGCCGGCAAGATCAGCCCCCGTGATGATTTCAAGGCTCGTGCCCGTGTCATGGCCGACGAGTACGGATGGGACGTCACCGACGCCCGTAAGATCTGGTGCTTCGGTCCCGACACCACCGGTGCCAACTTGCTGGTCGACCAGTCCAAGGCCGTCCAGTACCTCAACGAAATCAAGGATTCCGTTGTCTCTGGTTTCCAGTGGGCCACCCGCGAGGGTCCCGTTGCCGAGGAGCCTATGCGTGCCGTGCGCTTCAACGTCCTGGATGTGACCCTGCACGCCGATGCCATCCACCGTGGTGGTGGTCAGATCATTCCCACCGCTCGTCGTGTGCTGTACGCCGCCACCATGCTGGCCGATCCCGGCATCCTGGAGCCCATCTTCAACGTCGAGATCCAGGTGCCCGAGCAGGCCATGGGTGGTATCTACGGTGTGCTCACCCGCCGCCGTGGTCACGTCTACACTGAGGAGCAGCGCCCCGGTACTCCTCTGTTCAACGTCAAGGCCTACCTGCCCGTCAACGAGTCCTTCGGCTTCCCCTCGGATCTCCGCCAGGCCACCGGTGGCCAGGCCTTCCCCCAGTCCGTCTTCGACCATTGGGCTGTCCTGCCCGGTGGATCCTGCCTGGACCCCACCACCAAGCCTGGTATCGTCGTTACTGAGATGCGTAAGCGCAAGGGTCTCAAGGAGCAGGTTCCCGGCTACGAGAACGTAAGTTTCTTATCCATTCTATTTACTGTCCTTGACCACATACTAACCCTCTGCCACAGTACTACGACAAGCTGTAAAAAATTTGTTTCACCCGAGCCTAGTAGGGTTCCAGCATGCCGTGCTTGGAATCCTAAGTTTATGAGTTTGACGAATGCGATACAATGTCCATGCTAAGGGAGAACAAAAATTTTTCAAAAAGGAGACAGCAGCGTCGTATGTGGATTTTCGACTTGAATACCTAGAGAAGTAGAATCCAGGAGTGAAAGCGCATCTGCTATGGCTTATCCAGTTTTTCCTACTATCAATTTTGTTTTACGTTTATGATCGCGAGGACTTTAATCAATTAGTTCACTTGCTGTTCGATGGTTTGTAGACATGAATATGTAGCGTTCGTAAACCACATCAAATCACACCAGATGGTTGTAGCACCAGTGAGGCCTGACTCAGATTAACGTAACGAATATGGCTTTTCTGGTGGGAGATGGATGTGTATTCTGTAGTGGGAGTGAGGGTTGCCTCGGTGCTTGACGTGTGGTCACATGACCCGCCCGGCATCCGCGTAGCTCGCGTCGCTTCTCGCAAAGCTGCCTCTGCACGCCGCAAAGCTCTTTTCTTGAACTAGTCTTCTCTTTCGCAACCACCGAATGCCCTGATCGGAACACTCGCAGCCCCAGTACTATCGCCGTCTACTATCCTGCGACTCTGTGCTATTTCGCACATCCATCGTCGACGGATACCCCGGATCCTGACCGAACCACGCCGTGCAGTCTAGTCGCTGCCATTTGCGGTCGTCTTTGACACCGTTGAGATCCCGACCAATCGATATTGTCACCAACGTTGATTCTGTCTCTGTGAAGCGCCATGCAGCTGACGGAGAGCGAGGCGAATGATGTCAAGCAGTGGGTGGTGAAGAAGCTGGAGGATATGTAAGGCTTTCCTTTGAGCTCTCTGAGAGCCGACCGATGGGGCGGGCTCCTTTTCCCTTTTTTTTCACACGCCTTTGTCCCTTTTTGTCGCGCAAAAATTCCAGATCGCTAACTCAAGGGTCTGATAACAAATAGATCGGATGCAGACTCCGATGTCCTTGCAGACTATGTCCTTGCGCTGATCAGGTCCGATGTTCCGGATGACGAAATCCGGAAAGCTTCCGTGGAGAACCTGGAGGACTTTTTGAGAGAGCGTTAGTGCTGTCAATCGACGTCTCTTGGAAGTGCTTTTCTAATCAGTCTTTATCGAATTATAGATACCGCCCAATTTGTTGACGAGCTGTTCGCCACATTCGCTCAGAAGCCCAACCCCCCGGCGCCGGCTGTGCAACCTCAGAGCCAGTCGCAGTCCTCCCATGACGCTCCTCCCCATGGCGCATCACCTCAGCAGCCTTATTTCCCCCAAGGGCCCGCTTCCGGCCCCGCGGCAGGCGCATATGGGTCGCCCATGGCTGGTATGCCTCAATCCCAGGACTCGTCTCCCAATTTCAATCGCAAGCGCAGCTTCCATGAGGGGTTCCAAATGGACCAAGACCGTGAGGACGAGGTCCCCCAAAATCGCGCATTCAAGACGCCTCGCCGCGGGCGCGGGGGTGGTCGGGGCGACTGGATGGGACGGGATGGACGTGGGCCTCCTCCTACTGGACCGGGCCAGTTCCCTGCTCCGGGACCGGGCGGGTTTCCTGGTATGCCACCTGCGTTTCCGCCTTTCGATCAAAACGATCCGATGGCGGCGATGATGGCTTTTCAGAGCATGGGTTTCCCTCAGATGCCGGGAATGCCCATGCCCATGCCCCCAGGCCCCGGTGGTGCGGGTCAACCGCAGGAACAGATGGTGCCCAAGAGCTCGGAACGGTGCCCTTTCTACGAGACACAGGGTATTTGCTATCTGGGAGCTACGTGTCCCTATCAGCATGATGTCGTGCCTAGTAGTTCTAACGCGGACGGTAAGTGACGACGCTGCACGTTTGTTGATGAAGATTTGCTGACTATCGACTAATAGAGTACGATCCGAAATCGGCGAATATTTTGACCGACTTCCAAAGACCACACTCAGACAGCCCCATGCGCGGAGGCGAGAGAGGCCGTGGCCGTGGCCGCGGCCGTGGTGACCGTGGTGGATTCGGAGGCCGCGGGCGTCGGTCCGAGTTCTCTTCTGCTGGTCCCAACGAAGACACATCTATCGCCACGATCGTTGTTGAGCAGATCCCTGACGAAAAACTGGACGAGACGTCGGTTAGAGAGTTCTTCTCGCAGTACGGAGAGATAGTGGACGTCTCCATCCAGCCGCATCGGCGGTTGGCGTTAGTCACGTACGACGGCCATGCAGCTGCCAAGCGAGCATGGTCCAGCCCCAAGGTGATATTCGACAACCGATTCGTCAAGGTGTACTGGCACAAGCCCAAGGGAGACAAGAACGGTGAGCGGCCGACGTCGGGTGACGACATGGCCAAGGGACCAGCGTTCAACCAAGAGGAGTTCGAAAAGCAGCAAGAAGCCGCACAGAAGGCCCACGAGGAGAAACTACAAAAACGCAAGGAGATGGAAGAAGCGATGCAAGCGCTGGACAAGCAGCGTGAAGAGCTCATGAAGAAACAGCAGGAAGAGAAACAAAGGTTACTGGAAAAAATCGGCCAGGAGAGCACGAGCAATGGCGCGCAGTCTCCAGACGGGATGAGTCAAACCCCGCCTCAGGAAAACGCCAACGATCAGACAAAGCAGTTACGAGCACAGCTCGCGGCCCTCGAGGCCGAGGCAAAGACCCTCGGAATCGACCCCAACAGCGCGGAGGCCGGTGCGTCTTACCCCTTCCGTGGTCGCGGCAGGGGATTTGGCCGAGGTGGATTCGCGCCCCGTGGCCGCGGCGGGTATGATCCTTCCTACCGCGGAGGCTTCCGCGGGCGTGGAGGCGGCGTCGCTCGTGGCCGGGGCGGTGTCCTTCGTCTGGACAATCGGCCCAGGAGAGTCGCCGTATCAGGCGTCACATTCGACTCGGAGAAAGACGAAGCCTTCAAACAATTCCTCCTAGTGAGTCTTCCCCAACCCACATTTTTTCCAAGCAGCCCACCAACTGACAAACACTCCCAGAACGTCGGCGACTACGAATCCATCGAACCCAGCACCGACCAACCCGACACCCTAGTCGTAACCTTCAAACAGCGCTTCATCGCCGAGAAGTTCATGTTCGGCTCGTGGAAGATCCCCGGCGTCGGCGAAGTCCAGCTCACCTGGGTTGCCAACCCTCCCCTAGCGCTGTCCACCGCATCGACGGGCACTGGTTCCGACGGGAAGGCGGGCACGGGCACCGACGACGATACCGCTATGGATACTACGTCTGCGCCGTCTCTCCAGCAGGACCATTCGGGAGGGGCCCAGGTTGATTACGATGTTGCCGAGATGGAGGATAACTGGGATGTGGAGTAGATACATAGATTCTCTTCTTTTTCTTCTCCCGCGCCCCTTTTCTTCGCCTTGTTTCTTTGATTCTACCTGTCTAGATATGATGAGATCTTGTTTGTTGTGACATCTGGGTGGTTATGATGGTTTCGGTGTCTAGGGTAATGTTAAAAATATGATGGTTATTCTCTCCACTGCTATGGACTGTCTGTCTCAGATTGCTAGACTGGGTCCTTGGGCAAATTGTCTCGCCTATACTGACATGCATAATAATGCAACAATACCTTTCTGACGCATAGAGCCAGGCGATACACGCATGTATATCAGTCCTCCCCTCACAACCACAAAGCCATCTACTGCATATTCTGCGGAACAAGCTCAACAAGATACCCATCCTGCACACCATTAGCACACACACACACACACACACACACACACACACACACACACACACACACACACACACACACACCTACTCAAACACCCCAAGGGAGGGAAGAAAAACTCACCGGATCAGCCACAAACCCAATCTGATCAAAAAACCTCTTATAATTCCCATGAAGCTCACCAACCCCCACCCCCCTCCCCTCCTCCCACCCACTAAGCGGCACCGTCTCCCTCCCACTATCCCCCAACTCCTTAACAACCCTCACGCCCTCCCCCCTCAACCTCTCCAACGCCTCCCCCACATCCGGAACCGTAAACCCCAAATGCCCAAACCCAAGATGAGGCGGCACATTCCCGGTACTCATCTCAACGCCCCCATCCTCCACATCCCTCTCAGTGCCATGAACATGGTACAGCTCGAGCAGGCCCAGCGTCGAGGTGAGCGTCTGCGGGTTCGACAAGCGGGCGGCCCAGGCGGGGAGGTCAGCGCGGTCGGTTGCCGTGGACGGGTAGCCGAGGTAGTAGAGGGTGAAGGGGCCGGTGTTCATTGTCCAGACTGTGCGCATGCCCATGTGGTTGATGTAGAAGTTGAGGCTGCGGGTGGGATCCCGGATGCGCAGCATGCTGTGGTTGAGGCGGTAGTTGGTTGTGGGGCTGGTTTCGGGGAGCGGGGGGTCGGTGTTGTGCCCGCCTGGGAGGAAGGTGCCGAGTTCGTAGGGGCTGGGATTTGGGGGGGTCATTTTGGGGGTGGTTTTATGGGTGGTGGTGGTGGTGGTAGTTTGGTTGTGGGGGATGATTGTGGGGGTTGTGTTGGTGGGAGGAGTGTTCGTTTATGATAGAAGGATAGCGGGGTTTGAATAGACCGTGAGTCAATAGAGGACGGCAGTTGAATGCCAGAAGTGGTATATCCTGGTTGCAATTGACCGAGGCAGTGTTGCTCAGATACAGTGAGAGTAATATCAAAGATGCAACATGCGCCTGTCTACCAAGCCTCACTACTGTCAACCTTGCCGAGACCCGCTTTGGATAAGATTGGCATCCTGTACGACTTCCCCACATTGATAGCGGGTGTCAGTGTCACAGTGGATATCCCGTCATGTCCGCCAGAACAGCTTCAGTCTGATCCTTTCTGCGACGTACTAAAGGTGGTGGATGGGTTTGAACAGTCTGTATGTGGATTCTACGATATTGGCAGTTGAGAATTCAATGGTTAGATGTGAAACTCCATTTTGCTATCTATGGTGGGCAAATCAAGCCTGTCCAAGTCGTAACACCAATGTTTTGTAATGAAGATGTTATGTGCAATGTGAGGAAGCTACCAGGGTAGATAGAATGCAGGCCCAACCCCCCGGCCAAATATGGTCTCGGATCATGTCTCAAGTGAAAGGACAGTCTAGGTTCTTTCCTTACCCAGACAAAGCCCTGCGATCCTGATCACTGGTGCTTTCTTTTTTAATGATTGCCTTCTTTGCCATATCTCGAACAAAAGGCTTTTCGTCTTCGCTGTCACTTTCCATCTGATCGAGCATACGGTCGATTTCGTCCCCAGCATTAGCCTCTAGACCTGATTCTAGAGCTTCTTTTTTACATATGGTTTGACGATTGTTATGATCGGATTGTGAGTTCCGAGTCCATGCGCCAGTTGACGCTCCAATGCTGCTGGGAAAATGGTTCTGTTGCTGAGAGGGCTGGGAGTTGGAGCGGTAGCCTGAATTTCCTGGGCTAGACATGAATAATAAAGTCTCAATGGCGTCCTGCTCCATGGAGGTATTCTGCGAGTGTCGGTCCTGGCTGGACATCCCGTTAAATGGGATATGGTTCGGGTATCCCGTTGGTCGGAGGGGTGGTGTTCCTGGTACTAGTACGGTGTCTGGGCCTATAAAAGGCCTTTGTAGGCTGAATTCTTGCTGTGAGTGATGTCGTCGGTGAAGGGAAATGGGAGTGCGATGATCGTGAATGGATGGTTCGTTTGGATTCGGTCGTCTGCGGTTGCTACTACCAGAGACGATGTCCACGGGAGGAGCGAGTTTCGGAATCGACAACTCCGACGATGTTGGTGACTTTGACGGTTCAAGTTGCCTTGTTTGAGTGTGGTTTTCTGAGCTCCCTGCTGGAAGTAACCGTGGGGTGCCATTGAGAGGATAGATATGAGAGGCTCCAGGAGGGTCTGGCGCGGAGACGGTCGTACCATCTGGCGAGGCAGCGTCCCTAAGGCGTCCACCGTCCGGGCCATCAAGGCCTTGGGAATCATCTAAAAGAAACCCCGATGGTAATTGAATCTGTGCGCTTTGACTCTTGCGACTCTTTTCTACCTTGGCAGCAGCATACGACAGGCGAGTGCGGAGGTGCACCGACAACTAGACGACTGTCAGCATATACCCTAAGTGTATGCTGATTTGGAAAACATACCGCTGCAATTCTGCTCCCACGTGCGCCAGAGCCAATGCTTCTTGAACGTCGCCTTTCAATACTCCTTGGGCTGACATCCGTATCCCCAGGAGGTTTGATTACACCAGCCGCTGTCCCTCTTTGCCCCACAGCAGTTTTTGGCGAGCGTGATAGTGGTTCAACGATCGAGTGGGCCCCCTTGCTTTGCACGCCAGACAGCAATGGATCCTGTCTCATCTGCTGCCCATTTATTCGACCACCCGCGCCCATTCGCGTTGTCTCAAATTGTATTTCCTCCGCGACTTTTGGTGTATTTTGTATAGCCTTAGGCGATATGGATCGTGGACTCCGGGAACCAAAATTATGATCCGAACTATGTATTGAACCGTCAAATAATTTATCCTGGCTCAATTGGCCACGACTCCGAGCAGCTGCATCCGCAGTAGTTCGAGGGTCCATCTGCAGACCGGAAGTTTGCGCCGACTGCACGTGTCTGCGATCCAGATGCAGCGAAGTACCCATCATTCGACAGGGCAAGCAAGATACCGACTTCTAACAAATATCAATCTCCAGCGGCATCCGATCTAAGTAAAAAATCCACTGTTAAATGCGCGACAAAAGACATCAACGCATGGATCCCTCTCCGGGGTCGAGAGGGGTTGTTGTGTCGCCGGCGGCACGAATGATCGGATCGCCGGCCGGGTCAAGAGGAGGTTGGCGCGGGAATGACCGTTGCGGAGCCGCTCGCTGGGAACGTGCCACTCACTGGCCCACCGACGGTGATGAAACAGCCCCCTCGATCTGCGGACGCCCTCCCGTTCTGCAAGATGCTGCAAGGAAGCGAGCGCCTTTCTGCGGTGTCTATACGCGCAAGGCGTGACCAACGGCGGGTGGGAATAAAGGTACCGACTACCGTTACTGGTGGTCTCCACACAACGCGCTCGAGTTTGCTCGGCGTCAGATCGAGTCGACGGATGGAAATGCGGGGGGTAGTGGGATAGAATGAATGCCACAGGCACGTGAAGATCAATTGCCACTACATTGAGGGAATATACAAGATCGGTGGGAAGATTCTGGGCTCTTTGAGCTCGTGGGTGGGATCGCTGGTCGTTTTCCTCTCGTCGATCCCGTGCTGTCAACGACGCGTTCGCGGCACGGTCACGTGTGCGCTGCCTCCGCCTGGGCTGTCAGGCGAAAACGTCAGATGCTATCAGGGCCTGGGGTGAATTGGAGCAAAACATGGGATATTATTTTTAAACGCCATCTACCATGCAGAGTATCTAGATACATATGGACACTGTCTCCCAACTTTTCGAACAACCGGTAAGTAACGTAATATGTATAAGCAAGCGGTATCACTCCATCCTTCCGACATCACATCTTCACCTGCGCTTCTTACCTCCACCGCCACCATCTTCAGGATTCTTGCGCTTCTTACCCTCGCGACGCCAGTACTCATCGCGTTCTCTCTTTTCACGCTCGGTTTTCTTCTCCAGACTTTCCGCCGCCTTGGCACGGTAGACCTGTCTGCGCTCCTCCTGCTTCGCGGCACGCTTAGCTTGCTTGTCGCCGCGCAGGGTCGTAAGCTTCTGCATGAGGTCGCGCGCCTTCTTCTCTTCGCCGCCGACAACCACAGCACGCTTCTGCATGTACGTCTGGTCCTTGTGCTTCCGCATCTTGGTGATCTGGGACTTGAACGGAAGTTCGGTAGCGAGCTGTCGAGGCACACGGAGCGGGTTAAAGTTCCGCGTAGGACGCTCAACAGGGGCATAGCGCGAATCCTTGTTCTGGGGCGTGGCGATGCCCTTCTCGTGCCGGACTTGGCCCGTGAGGCGCATGCCTTTCCATGCGTCGCCATCGGACTCTCCCTCGCCCTGGTCGAGGAGGTTTGTCACGGGGTTGTAGAACCGGTGGGGCTTGATCGGATACCAGGCGCGCAGGAAGATAATGTCGCTCATGAGAATCTTGTCTTCGAAGGTCGCTCGGAAGCACCCTTCCGGCTTGGCTAAGGCGCGTTTGATTTGACCACGAACACCAGATACCGTGCGGATCGATGCGCCTTCGAACTTGGCAATCTCAAGCGACGAGTTGAACATGTCTTTGATGAAAGCCGTGTTCTTGAAGATCTTGTAGGCAACACCGGTCAACTTGAGTTTCTTGACGATCTCGGTATGCTCGTCCACGTTCAAAACGGTGCCCGTAGCCGCAATCCGGAAACCGGGCGTCTTGTTCGACAGCGTCTGCACGCAGCAGAATCCGGTGTTTGGCGCAACCAGCGGACCATAAAAGGTCGCGGAGCAGTGCATGTGCTCCGGACTGTACTTAAGCAAGCGGTTGCGCGTCCGACTGTCCGATGTGCTGTAGATGGGAAGGGTCTGGAATCGACGCCAGCCGAGGGAGAAGATCAAAGGATCATTGGTCTTCAAGATCTTCTTATGCCAACGGTGTCTCTTGATACGGATTTGAACGTATCCAAATCGATCTTCCGTGGGTGCCAGTCCACCGACAATCACCGGTAAGCGAGGGTTGAATTTGGTGGCAAATTCACAAGGGACGTTCTCCAGGACAATACGAGCGTAAGTGCCCGCTTTGAACCCTTCGGCACGAGCCCTGGACGCAGGATCAAGAGAATCGAATTCGGCGCGGTTGATGTCGAGCTGCTTCTGGAGCTTGGCCTTCTGCGCGTCATACCAGTCATCCTCACCGAATTCATCTTCGGCCCCTCCGCCCTCTTGTCGGGACTTGTCTTTGGAGTTTCCGAATCCTTCCCGATCTTCCTCCTCGAAACGTAATCTCAACTCCTCTTTCTTCTTTGCATTGCGCTCACGCTCGGCGTCCAGATCGGTAGGGCCCTCCTCCTCTTTTTCCTCATCTTCACCGTCGCTTCCGTCTTCAATTCCGTTGAACACTTCGCCGGATTCCAAATCTTCATAATCACCGTCTCCTTCATCATCTTCATCAAAAGCGTCATCGACATCCGAATCATCCTCGTCATCCCCCCCGGAGAGTCTGGCAGTGGTGAATCGGGCCCGTAACGACTCGATCAGATCATCGTCCTGCCATTTCTGCTCCAACGCTTCGTAGTCATACTCAGGAACAGCGCGGAATTCCGATAGCTCGTGTTTTTCGGCATTTGTCTTCTTGAGGAACCCCCCTTCTTCTTCATCTGTCTCCTCTTCTGCTTCGCCATCATCGTCCTTGCCAGACCATCTTCGGATCACGTCGGTGGGTGTGATGGATTCGTCGTACATCATACGGGATAGGTCGGCGACGCGATACTTCGGGCGCTTCGAATGGAGGGCGCGAGCGTGGTCGGACATATTGTCTTTCCATCGGAGCGCTCCTTCATCCTCGTCAACATCATCTTCGTCGTCCTCGTCTTCGTCGTCCTCTAAGTCTTGGTCTTCAACAGAGGATACGGAGCCAAGATCAGAATCACTGTCCGCGAACTCGATGTCTGCCTGGTCGGGGCGGACTTTGCCATCCTGCTTCTCCTTGAAAGAGGCCTCGAAGTCGGCAGGTGCTGACGCATCAGCGTCATCTTCATCGCTGTCCTCCGCTTCATCTTGATCCAAATCTTCGTCTTCCTCGTTATCGGCGCTTTCGAATCCTTCGTCTTCGGATGATACCTTTTGATCGTCCTCTCCATCCAAGAACCGTACTGATCTCTTATGCTTCCTTCCAACGTTCTCATCCTCGTCATCGGGATGATCGATTGCTCCACCGCCGCTGAACAGGCGAACTCCGCCATCGGCTTCACCGAGCAGTTTTCGTTCGCCCTGCAAACCGAGAACCATCTGCTCTCCAAGGCCGCGGTCCTCGTCATCGGAGTCATACTCATTGCGTTCAAAATTATTCGTCTTGACGTCAATGTAGACAGCGTCCTTGTCAACAAGAACACCACCAACATCTGACATAGGCGCGAAGAGTAGTTTTGACTTCTCTCCCAGTCTACGCTTGCTCGCTTTCCCTCCCTCTTTAGCAAGCTGTTGGTCCATGAACGGTGTCGGGCACGGGTCAGGAAGAGATTCAATGCCGGCCACCGTCATGTCGCCAACACCAGGGACATGGACTCGGGCTCCGTAGGCGGGAAAGTTCGTGCCTCGGAGGTATCCGTAGAGGGCGACGGTCCGATCACACTTCGGGTCCTCTTCGATTTCAGTGGGCGGTGTGATATCCAAAAATCGGTCCGCAAGCGCATACGGATGGGAGTTGCGCCAGACCAAAGGCCGAGGGTTTTTCATGACGGAGAGGAAACGGGAAAGGTTGTGCACCTCGCGATCGGGGTAGCGGCCGTTAACGACACCGGAAAGGTAGAAAAGCTTTGCGCCGTTGTACAGCTCGCTCCAGAAACGGTGCTTCAGCCGCTTTTTGGCGGCTTGTAGAGTACTCTGTTTCTTGAACAGGTCGAGATGCGTAAGAATACCGAAAACGTTACCTGGCATACCACTGGAGGCCAGAACATTCAAGAATTCCATAGTTTCCATCTCAAAGCCATAGTTGCCATCGATCATGAGAAGCACGATATCCGCAATTTTGGCGATGTCGATCATGCTCGCGAGCGAATCCGAGGGAGATTCGAGGAAGGTCAATCGTCGTCGCTTAGATGTGACGACAGTCAGCGGCCCCTGGATTGTGCTCAAGGACTGCTTCGTGTACCGCCGAATCAAAGACTTGATGAGCGTGGTTTTCCCGACCTGTGAAAAGTGCACCTGTTAGACATATCTGGTTGAGGGGACTTTTCTATGGACTGCTGAAACTTACCCCCGCGGGCCCGACCACCGCAACAATGAGAGGCGGCGCCTCTTCGGGAATACGGTCGACCAAGGGTACATGGAGTCGTTTTTCTTTGATCTGAACGAAGCGTGATGTTAGCGGCCAAGCCCCATTAACCAGTTCCGATCTCAGCTGTACATACATCATCCGATCGCGCGCCCTGTCGGTTCAACTTTCCGGGATTCGCGTATGCAAAGGCTTTCGGATTGGAGCCTGGATCAGAAAAAACGGAGTTAGCCTGAAGACCTTACAAAAAGACATGGGGCAACGTTGGATGTTTTTGCGACTGAAAAGCATCAAACTAGAGGTGCATTCACATACCTTCATACTTTTTCTTCTCCTTCGCAGGGCGATGGCTCCTGTTTGACTGGTCCATGATTAAGACGAAAGGTCGGTGACCTTTCGATAGACCCCTCCTGCGCGAAAATCAAGATTTAACGAGAAATCAAAGCGTCGACAGGGTGTTTCACTCGGCTTGTAGCTATGTAGCTCAATCCTAAAATTATCATTGCCATTTTCTTTCTCGGCGTCGAGTTTATCCGCGCCGCCATCTCCCCGGGCAAAAAAAGTTTCTGCTGGGAAAAAGTAATTCCTGAGGCAGGGACCACACTACTCCACATCTGGAAGGTGCTTATCGATAAGGGCTCTTCCACCGTATGGAGGGAGCATCATCAGCAAGAAAAAGCCATCAGGTGTCAAAAAGGGAAAAGCTCTGCCAAATCGCCATATTTGCCTCTCTAGTTCTCGTAACAAGTCAGCACACAGAGTCGCATGCTTGAGAGCACATTGGTACTCGACTTTTTGACAACTCCTGCGAATCCATAGGCGGCATATCACATATATGGGCAGAGGTTGACGAGATGTTACAATAGCGGCATAAACCGGACCTAGGCGGATGGTCCTCACGCCGTGGCTACATGATCCTGTAGATATATTCTACCGCAAACTGTAGGTATTGTTGTAGAATCTTTAGCTACATTTCTAAGGTCGAGCGCAAAGTTCAACTACAGTATATAGTTATGCTCCAAGTGGCGCTACCCATCATCCGATTGTATACTTCAATTTCTTCGATAACTTCAACTTGTCATTGTGTCCAGTGTTGTTTTCTTAGATAAGAGGCCATTGTAGTACAGCTGATACCTTCATTTCTATGATTTTGTTCGGAAAAGCCTTGGGTTATTTTCGCTTGGCGAAGCAGCTAGAACTGCGTTGTTGACCAGTCGGTTTGGCACGGTCCAAAGAAACCGGGATAGTTTGCACGAAATGATGGAAAATATGGTAGCCATGGCCAACAAACTTGATAGTCACCTCCCAAGATCTAACCCTCCCAAGTGGGGGTCGCGCATTTGGTATACCAGCTCTCGGGTTCTAGAGTGCCACTGGGTCAAAAGGCCACTGTATCTGTTGCTCAAGTAGCCAGACACCCCGAGACTAAGCATTGGAATAGAGCACCGTAGGTGCTGGACCTGCGATAGAGAATTCCAGCCTGATATAGTAGCGCGCTGGTCAGATAGAGGTGTCCGGTCGTTCTTTCCAATGCATACAAAGTGACTAGTACAAATTAGGCGATCACCTGATCTGCGGTCACAGACGAAGGTGGGTGGGTAACACGTGACTGCCCCGCCTTGGTGGGATATCGTCATCGCGGATCCCCGCTGGCATCATAATGCATCAACGTGGGTAGGTGACGTTGTAAACACTGCCACCTGTCCACAGCCACAGTCAATCAAGGTTACAAGATTCTGCCGCGGGGTATTACCTGTGAGTAGTGTACTGGATTGTTTGACAAGATAATGAGGTAATTATTAGGCAGTAATATTAACAACCTGCTTATCAGTGAGTGGCCAGGTATCTGGTGGTAGAAAACCGCAGAAACCGTGGTTAAATCAAAGTCAAGATCACCATCAGGCTGCTGGGAATGGCGCGATTCGAGGAAAATAGACATCTGTAGTATGAAACCGGCAAAGACACCACCAAAGCCCTTTTCCAACCTGGTCCCTCCTCTTATCAGCTTTAGATTGGAGTCATCCCCGCACTGGTAGCAGCCTAGATACTACTAAACCACGACTACTTGTTGTACCTACCCACCTGGACTCTTATAAGATCCGCTCCTTTCCCACCTGCCGAAACACAGCCTTTCCAACTTTCGACTCCCTCTACCTCCTTTTTCTTCTTACACCCACTAAAGGACCGCACCGTGTCTCTCCTCTCAACGATTTCCAAGTCAATTCGTCCTCTACACACCCCCAAATTTTTTAATAATCGCTCGATATCGTCTAACCCACCTTTAAAAATGACTCTCTACAACGTTTGTGGCGCCCCTATAACAACTCCTCGTCAACCCCGCCTAAAATATGGTACTAACTCGGCGGTCTGGCAGGTTACCCTCCGGAAGGATGCTCCCCCTGAGGAACTAGAGAAGTGAGACACCTTTGAACCTATCCGATCGACCACCACTGACCTTGGGTCTCTCAACAATAGAGCAAAGGAGCAGGCCAGGAAGGAAGGCGGCGATATCAAGCACGAGTTCAGCCTTATCAAAGGTTTCACGTAAGACTGCCCTCCGCTTTGGCTGCTGGATCGAATCCACACCAAACCCTGCAGCCGTACAATTTACTGACCCTCCAAAAGTGTTGAATACCCGGCGGATGCCGTTCGTGCTCTTGAAACAAACGAGCATGTCCATGTTGAGCAGGATGGTGAAATGAAGACCCAGGTCTAAACCGCGAAGGGGCGTATTGGAGGGTTCTGCTTCAGATTCGTTCTTCTCGATTTGGCAGAGCCATCAGCCACTCCAGCCCTGGAAATATGACCCTGTATGGACTATGGCGGCCGACTGATATGTACGACTTATGAATATTATTTCTTACAAGCCAAAGCCCGCACCGCCGAGTCTGTCCTGCAAAGCTTCGGATACTCGGCTCGGGTACATTGTTCAATCAAGAAACAGTAGCAATTCCAAAGGCTATTCGCTAAGATTGTTTGTCGATGATGAACATCCTTGAGAAACCATCCGGATAATTAATTCCGTAGTTCTATCTCAATATTTGTTGATGTACTCCGCAATAATATGGATACTGTAGTGTGTATAAAGTAGTACGACGCCTGTCCCACCGAAACTAGTTAGTCCTACTACTGCAATCAAAGATCGGCTAGCCGCGGCAGGCGTGTGTAATATCGATTGGGCTTCATGTATGCCCAACCTTGAGAGTCAAGATAGTTAGAGCATACAGATCTGCGGTCTGCAGTTACTCCGTTTGTTGCCGTGCGTGCCCTTTGCGCGTCAATCCCAAAGCGGGATAGCGTCCACGTGATGGCGGTGACTGCGGCGATCTTCCCCAATCAACCGATCGTTCAACCGTCATCTGAATGGGGCTCGGAGATATGCTGTTAAGCCTCCCACATTCTTTGACCCGATCACCTCAGCGTGTCGCAGGATGTCTGATATCGACTATGGCCATACACAAGGCTCTCCAGACGCTGTCTGCGAGATGCGCCATCCGGCGTAGTGCTATTTCGCCAGGGATTGTCCCCCAAACACGACGGTTTTCAGCCTTTCCTGGGTTCCGCCGTGCAACACCTTCCTACCCCTTTGCCCATGGAGCGAACGATGAGGTCGCACGCCTGGCATCTAGCCGTCGACGTCCACTGACATTGGCTGATTTGCTCAAGTGAGTGTGAAACCGGAAGAAATGAAAACGATTAGATAGACTAATGTTGTGGATGGTTCAGACACGGGCGCCCACCGTTATCCAAGGATGCGCTTCTGGCTTCGGCGAATTTTACGCTTTCCCTCCTCCCAGCCCGACTGGCATCTCGAATTGAAGCACTGCGAAACTTGCCGTTTATCATCGTCTCGAACCCCCATGTGTCGGAAATCTACAATAATTACCTCCACTCGCTGTCGACCTTGCTGCCGTATCAGAAGCGTCAGGTCACAACATTGGAAGAAGAGAACCAATTTGCAGAGGTACTCGCAGACCTTGTAGATACGCACTCCAATACGATCCCGGTCCTTGCACGCGGTTTTCTGGAGTGTCGAAGGTACATTGATCCCGCTGAAGTGACCCGGTTCCTCGATACCCACCTGCGTGCGAGGATTGGCACCCGCCTGATTGCCGAGCAGCACCTAGCGTTGCACTTTGCCTCGCAGCCAGAACAAAGTGGTCAAGAAGGCGCTCGGGAAGCGTTCAAAGGCCCTGCTCCGCCGAATTATATCGGGGTGATTGATACGGCTCTGCAACCAGCGCGCATCGTGCGGACATGCGAGGATTTTGTGGGCGAGATCTGTGAACTCAGATACGGTGTGCGCCCACGGGTGAAGATTGACGGGCAGGAGAGCGCATCTTTCGCGCATGTGCCTGTGCACATAGAGTACATCCTCACGGAGCTGTTGAAGAACTCATTCAGAGCTGTGATTGAATGCGGGAATGAGCGGGAACCCATCGAGGTAACCATCGCTGCCGCCCCGGACGTACCAGCAGAGCGCCGACCGCTACCTGCGCGATCGACAGCACAAGATGTCGTCCAGTCCGATACCGATGTGGGAATTCAAATGGACACCGTTGTCGGGACTGCTGACGCAAACGAGTCGATCAAGCATTCAGCCCCGTCGTCGCAGAGCATCACGATCAGAATCCGGGATAGAGGCGGCGGCATTCCTCCCGAGGTGGTACCCAATATTTGGTCCTACAGCTTTACGACTTTCGCGGAATATGAGACGGACCCGGATAATGGCAACATGGATGCCCTCAACACGATCTCGGCCAACAGTGGCCAGTTGAGTAGTATTGCGGGACTTGGATACGGGCTCCCTCTGAGCAGAGCCTACGCAGAGTACTTTGGAGGCAGTATTTCTGTTCAGAGCCTTTGGGGTTGGGGAACCGATGTTTATTTAACTCTAGAAGGAGTTGGCAGGGTCCGATAATGGCCTACATATTCGCTTTTACAATCTTGTACACTACCCAATCAATAGTACATCGCTGTAATAACACTATCATCGAATGGTACCGTCATTCCCTTTCTTCCACATCAAGAGACCGGGACTACAGCCGTGAGTTCGCAGACGTCCCGCGAGAGAAGAGGTCAACAAATTCCGCAACACCCAAATCGTCCTGGTCAACAGCCTTCAAGACCTCTTCAATCTCCCCGTCAGTGAACATAAGACGCATATTCTTCCAGAACTTCTCACGCACGGCCGCCGCCGTCGCAGGGTTCTTAACATGACCAACAGGATACTCCACCAACACCTCCGGCAGGACAGTGCCATCACGCAGCCGAACCGTCACCCCAGAGCCAATACTCTTCTTATCCAGATCCAAATAATCCGCCGTCAGCCCTTCATCCACCACCACAACAACCCTACGCCGCAAAGCCTCCAGCTCCGCGCTTGTCACCCAGGGCCCATCATCCCAATAATCCTCCACCTCAGGAGGCGCACCCTTCAACAGAGCCAACGCAACAACAAACTGCAAACAATGGTCCCTATCAGCCGCATTTCGCAACGGCCCTGTCTTACTGATGATCATATCCGCCGCTCTCGTCGTCCTAACCTCAACCACCTCAATCCCATCCACTCCTCCCTCCCTCCCCCTCAACCTCCCCCCCTGCACCAAAGCCCCCTCAACAGCAGCAACAGCATGCCCCTCAACAGGCACAACCTTAAACAACACATTCCCCACAGTCCAACACCCCAACGCCCTGGGAAAGTCAAATCCCTCCTCCCCAAACGTCCTCGCCCAAAACCCAAACGGCCTCGCCGTCAACACCCGCGGAATTCCACCCTGCCCCGCCCTCACCAGCAGCGCAAGATGCACCGCCCGCATACACGCATCACCCGCCGCCCAGCCCTTCCTCGACACGGTACTCGCCGCAGAGCGATAAACACGACTCGGGTGTCCGTCCGCCCAGACATGCGAGATCACAGCGCAGGTCTGCGCGTGCGTCAGGCCCAGCAGCCAGGATGTGACGGCCGCAGAGGCAAGTTTCACGAGAATGACGTGGTCGATGCCGAAGGCGTTGAAAGCGTTACTCATTTGGTAGACGCCTTGGATCTCGTAGGCTTTTATGAGGGCTGTGAGGAGGGTGCGCATTGTGAGAGGGGGACCTGTGTGTTTGTGTGAGTTGGACTGTGCGAGCCAGGCCATTACGGGGAGGATGGCGCCTAGGTTGTCTTTTTTGGTTGCATCAATTGGGCTCGCGCTCTCGGTCTTGCGGTTAGGCCTCTAGATTTCAAAAAGGCGAGGGTGGGAGTGGGTAAAAGGGTAGAAGAGATAGGTACATACCAGATGGATGCCCCCATTCCTTCCCCCCCAGCGCATCATTATGATCAAGATACCGGATCAAGACGCCCATATCGAAAGCCCCTTTCACGGGATCAACAGTGTGCGCTGTTCCCGGCACGCGGAACCCATAGGGCACAACCGTGCCCGGGACCGGAGGGCCGAGCATTGCGCGGCAGTCAGGGCTCTTGGAAGCTGTTTCGATGGCGCATCCTAGAGCGTCGAGGAGGGCGGTGCGGGCGGAGGTGAATGCTGAGGGGCCTGTTATTTGGTGGTTGTGGATGTAGTCGGCTAGGGCTAGGATGGGGGCGTCGTAGGTCATTTTGTGTTGTGTTGTGCTGTGGAGTGGTTGGATGTTTGGATGTTTGGTGCTGGGGGAGGAATGGGTGGGATGGTGGGAGGATGTGGATTGGGCTGGGGACTGGGAGGTTATGAGGAGTTGGGCTTTTGGAGCATGGTGTTACCAGTGGGTATGAATATCCCGAGTGTATGAGAAATGTGCCGATGATCAGCTTGAATTTGAGAGATTGGTACAAGCCCATGGTACCCAAGGAAGGTATAGTCACTGAGGGATGATTATGACTGTCTATAGTTCTACTCTATCTACAATTCCCGAAGATCCAGATACTATGCATCCATTGGCACATATCAGTAGTATATACGGATAGAAAGGCATCGATGCGCTTCAAGCGCCAAGCAGCAAGTCGGGAAGATGCAGTGCATCGAACTAATGCACGAGACACAACCCCACTTGATTCTGCTGTCGTGTCACACCTACGCGAGAACATATGTCGAGGGAAACCCCGAGTTATACGCTTCATTCATCTGTCTACAGCTTCATTCCACGCGCATTCACCTGTACAATATGTCACATATCCGCATCATATCCCCAAACTCCCAGGATGCTCGAGTCCGCTCAAAGACTAGATAGGGATACTCCCACCTAAAGGCTGCTCTTCTGCACATACTTCCCCACCGTACCATCCAACTGCGCCTCCAGAACAGCAGCCGTCCCACTCTGTACGCTCCTAACAGCCTCGGGCAATAACCTGCCCAGCTCAGCGACAGTAGCAGCCCGACCAGCCCACACAGTCCCACCAGACGCCGCCTTCGCGATACCCGCATAATCAGGCGAGGGCGCAAACGAGATATTCAGATCCTCGTTGGTGGCACGAGAGCCGTCTCCCTCGGGGTGCACGAGAAGCATGCTGCGCCGGGGCGCGTTCCAGCCCTTATTGTTCAGCACGATGGTCAACACGGGGATATTGTACCGCTTGGCAATCCAGTAGACGGACCCCGGGACGGAGAAGAGGAAGGTGCCGTCGCCGACGACCTGGCAGACGAATTTGCCCTTGTTGGTGCCGCCGTGCTGGATGTCCGTCGCGAGCTTGATTCCCAGCGCGCCGCCGCCGGACCAGCCCAGGCCGCCGCCGCCGCAGTTGATCCAGGAGTTGGGGTGGGTTGCGGCGATTTGGTCTGCGATGAGTGTGCTGAGGGTCACGGCTTCGATGGCCCAGATTGTGTCCATTGGGCAGCCTTGTCGGACCTGTTGCATGAGATAGGATGCGTTTAGCGGGGCGGTGGCGCCGCCTGCGGGGACGACGGCGAGGTTTGCGGTGGCTTGGCGCCGTTGTCTGTATTCTTCTTCGCGGCGGCGGCCGCGGGCAAGGTTCTCTGGGGAGGTGGCAAGATCGCGGAGAGAGGGGTTGGAGGCAACGTATTCGTTGAGCTGCTTGAAGGCCGTGGCGGACTCGGCGCGGAAAGTCGCCGAGGAATTGATGTAAAAGACGGGCATCTGCTGCTTGAGCGGATCGACATCAACGTGGATGATCTTTGCCGAGTCAGACGGCTTGCACTGGGTTGGGATCCAAGGGACATCGCAGTCCGCCACGAGGATGAAGTCGGCCGTTTTGATGGCCTCGTGGTTCCCGTATCGCATGCCCAGAGAGGCTGGGTGGTCGCCAGGGAAGCACATGTCGCAACCACCGGTGTCCAGCACACGGAGGCCCTTGAATGTATCAGCCAGGTTGACTAGCTCCTGAACACCTGGTGCATTTCGGCCGGAGTAGCCAACGATGGCTAGAGGCTCCTTTGCGGCAGCGAGCTCGGAGGCGATTAATTCCACGCCCTCCGACGGCAGGGCAGACGGCGCAACAGGGCTCCACACATTCGCGTCAACCTTGTAGGGGACAAGCTCCTCCTCCATAATTTCCCGAGCGCCGCACAAATAAACCGGTCCCTTGGGGTCGCTGGTAGCGAACTGCAGGGCGCGGTTGACCATTTGCTTGACGTTCTTGCCAGTCTTGATCTCCCCGGAGTACCGGCAGTACTGAGAAACGATCTGCTTCTGGTCGGGTACATCTTGGATCCAATGTATGTATTCCGTGCGGGAACCACGCATTTCCCCTTCGATAGTGAAAGGGGACAACCCGGCAAAGATCAAGACTGGCGCGCGACCGCAGGAAGCATTGTGCACAGCGGCGGCCAGGCCCTGGGTGCCGACGTCGACATGGACTATGACACACTGGGGCTTGCCCGTCAAGCGAGCATAGCCGTCTGCCATGGATAGTGCCACCATCTGTGGAGATGGAGATAAATGTGGGGTTAGCCGAAGGTTCAAGCAGGAACAGCCGACACAGTCCGAGATGCTACAAGCGCTGGGCTGCACTAAACATGATCAAACATTGACCAACTCACCTCATTGGGACAAGTGATGATTTTTGGAAACTCATTTGGCTTTTCCTTTTGACCTTTGACCATGGCTTCGAGGATCGAGGGATGGTCAGAGCCCAGGTTGACAAACACATGAGTGACCCCAGCCTAGAACCAGTCAGCTCAAGTCCGAGCACAAACAAGCCAGAACCAGGAGATTTCATCGACAGACATACCTCCCATAGCGCCTCAAAAAAGGCGAACGATGCAGTATATACCCTACCTACGTCTTAGCGTTGCTGCATTGGAAATATCGGGAAATTGAAGAACTCCAGCAATATGGTTCACCACATACATTTTAAGTCAATCCACAGACTGTCGTGGGAAACTGGAGAATGGCGAGTAGTACAAAGAAGAAGAAGCAGGATAAAAACAGTTCAACGGGGAAGTTGAACCTTCTTTAAGCTTCATCAAGTAGTGATACTCGAAGATCGGCCTTAACCCCGAAGCACCCACTGCACTAACCCTAACCGAATAATCGGACGAATTCCGCTGCTATGCGGGGTCACTACTTGGACTCCAACTCCAACACAAAGAATCGCTCTTTGTTGTGTTAGTACTTAAGTTTTAAACTACTAACTATTGGGGACGAGTATTTTGTTACATCTTGAACTAGATTTACCACGCTGTGAAAATTTATTCGCCTCGTGGGTGATGCGATCCACTGTTCTATTGTTTAGTTTAAATGTAGTAGGCCGTTTTCGGGGCATATATTTATAAGGGTCTATGGAACTAGAGTAAGGTGGTATCGCCCAATACATCCAGTCAGTTGTAACTTCAAAAAATCCGAGGTGCCTTCCTATGAGTACGCCTATCTCCGCTTCTAGTAATCTCTGTCCTGAAAATATCCAAACAGATATAAAAAAAATGAAAAAAATGAAACTGAAAATGAAGGCGAAAAATTTGAAAAGAAAAAGCAGAAGGAAAAACACAAGTAAAACATAAACATCATATCTAGTCGATATGGAAGATCAAAAATTATCTTCTCTAGAAACACTGTTAATAAAAGTTCTAACACAAGTGTCACTGTCCAGCGCTTCCAGTGCAAGTATCTGTACCTTGATCTACTTAGTAAAAGGATACTTCTTAGTCAAACGCACCTCAGTGTTCATGAACACAAATTGATAGTACTCTAGTACTCTATGAGTTCAGCTCATGATTTTGTAAAGCTGGCCGAGTTTCTATATCCTGAAAATATGATCATAATGCTCACAGCCACGAGACTCTTTGACTGTTTGGACAGTTCTCTTTGCGAGTTCTTCGGCCTCTTCTAGATGCTCTTGACGTGCATATATATACCCGTGCAAGCTCGCCGCATCCCATGAGGATACTCCGTTTCCCAGATGGGGATTCCTGTAACTAGGATGTTTTTTGCCTCAATGGAATGTCTCATCTCCACATGGATTTTTGAGATATACCCTAACCATCAATGCGTCCTCGTCCTCCCCTTGGTATCCAAAGTCATGGGAAATAAACCCTCTCAGATGTCGAAGCCCTAATGAGATCGTAGAAAATCTAGGTAGACCCTGAAGTTTGCATGAGTTTATAAGCAATGGAATAGGTGCACCAGTCGCAAATCTCCCTACGTTTTCTGTGTCCTATGAGATTGAACATGCCGTTGAACAATAAACGAAACTCTTGCTTTTTTTTTTAATTGTGTAGGGAGACAGCTTCCCCTCGTGGTCAGAACAATCGAACAGGGAAGCGGCATGGGGCAGCCATACATGGCAGCGGCACGACGCAAAGTGTAACCTGTGGGCCTTGTACAAAGGAGAGACATTTTGATTTGTTGACATTCTTAAGTAATTATCTCAATATCAGTCATACCAATTCTGACCAAATACCGAATCGGTATTTGGTGCAGTGGCTGCCAGTGATTACTCCTATACGGTCTTCCATAGATCCATATTCCTTTGTTCCTAGGTCTCATCCAACCAGGATCTTCCTGCTAGCGCGCAGCTGTGGAACAATGATAACATTGACTGTCTCCAACTCAACTGCCCACCCAGGCTTTAAAAACAGCTAAGACCCTGGGTGTTCTTGCTTTAGGAGGCTGACCTTCTATTAACTCAGATATTCAACCATAGCGACGGAAAACATACCAAGTGAACATGGTGACCCAATTATTGATTCATGGTGTTCTTCTAGCCGTCATCGGCTATATTTTCTATCAGCTAGTGGTTGTTCGATATATCGAATACCGGGTAAATGATCCAAATGTAACACGGTAGAACAAAATCTTGGCTAACAGTACATATAGAGAGATAGTGAAATTGGGCGCCAGCATGGCTGCGAGCTCCCTCCAGAGCTTTCCAAACGCTGGCCTCTCGGTATCGATCGAATAAGAGAATTATGGACATATAATGCGGATGGTCGGCTTCTTGCATTCTTGTGCTCGGTAGCAAAGGATTACGAGCCTGGGAATAGCCTTTACCAATATCTGCTTTTTGGACCAAGAACTTTTCATGTTTTACGCCCCGAGAATGTAGAAGCAATATTGTCTACAAACTTCAAAGGTAAGTAGTGGCTCTGACCTATGAATCACTCTCTCAGTTCGCGTTTTGCTTACGCTTGTGCTGCAAAGATTATGGCTTTGGCTCAAGGTCAGCTGTTTTTGCCCCGTTACTGGGCAATGGCATTTTTACCCAAGAAGGTCCTTCCTGGAAACATTCTCGGGAACTTCTGCGTAAACAATTTGCCCGTGTTCAAAGTCGCAATCTGATTCATTTCCACGAGCATGTTGATAATCTGATAGCCCGCGTGCCGTCAGATGGAGTCGTCGATCTCCAACCTCTGTTCTTCGATTTGACCCTCGACATGGCGACGGCCCTGTTGTTCGGAAAATCGGTCTACAGCTTGAGAACAAAAGCTGGTCAGAATACTAGGAACAAGGCATTCGCTGAAAACTTTGATATGGCGCAGCCTCGAGGGTTTGGCCAAAAGATTTCGTATCGCGCCTTGGCATTTCCTCTACAACCCACCAGAGTTTCGAAAGGCTTGTGCGAAAGTTCACCAATTTGTTGAACAGTACATCGACAGATTGGATTTAGATGAGAATACCTATCTCGACAAAAAGCCGGATGGCTTCATTGAGCAGGTTGCACTGGAGTCTGCAACTAAAGTGAGCCTGCGCGATCAGCTACTTAACGTGCTTCTTTCTGGAAGAGACACCACGGCCTGTTGCCTGGCATGGACATTGTGTGTAGCTCCATACTGATTCATCTGCTCTGTGACTTGGATAGCTGATTTATCGATCAGTCGCTTGCTTGTTCGCCATGAGCAGGCGATGTGTCGCCTTAGGAGGGAAGTATCCTCGATCATGGGAGATTCACCACATGCCACCCGAGAGCAAATAAAAAAGATGCCATATCTTGCCTATGTCATCAAAGAAAGTAAGTAATTAAGCCTTTGATGAAGTAATATAACATTCTGACAATCACCAGGCTTACGACTCTACCCCCCTGTCCCATTGAATAACCGCGAGGCAATACGGACGACTATACTACCCACTGGAGGCGGTCCCAACGCAGACAAGCCCATGCTGATAAGGAAGGGAGAACTGGTCGTATTTTCCCAGTACGTCAACTCACGTAAAAAGAATATATACGGGCTTGACGCAGACGAATTCCGTCCGGAAAGGTGGGAGACTGGGGAACTAGCTCACATTGGATGGGCGTATTTTCCTTTTAATGGCGGGCCGCGACAGTGCTTGGGCGAGGACTTCGCCCTGATGGAAGTGTCATACATGGTGGTGAGACTTCTGCAGACCTTTCCCACCATCTCGTTGCCGAAGGGGGATCTGGTGGAGGCCGTTGGCAGTGAGAGATAGCGACTCACTCTTGTTCTTTCGAGCGCAGATGGCTGTCGGGTTGAGGTAGGGTCATCGTCATGACAGATGCTTCTAAGTAATCTGAGAAATGCATTGCAATCGTGAAAGAATCAGCGACTGCAATCCTTGAGCTATTAGCTGGCCAGCAGTTTTTTCCCTACACATTGGACCATTTGTATTTCAATGTTCCTTGCAACCTTTTGCAACCTACGGGGCCTGCCGCAGCTGCAGGCGTTGATTATATATTAAACCGCCATATATTTCTAGGGGTAGTGAGAGAAGATTCTGATTACAACTACTTGCCCTGGATATCTTTTTGAGTAGCATATCCTGGTTTCTTACCTGTCCAAGACGAAACCAATGAGTAGTGGACTTAATGACCGCCAACTGACTGTGCTAGTCTCCCGCCAGTGGGAAAAGGGTGTAGGGCTGCCGATACCCAGACATGTCACAAGAGCCAAGTAACCTACTGTCCGCGTTCTGTCAACAGAGGATTGGGAGTTTCTTGACATTTGGGACACTTGAAATCGGACAAAATTCGGAGAGATGCGGAAGAAGGCAGATAAAGGATGACTCATCACAACAGACCTATCTTATCGCTTATCAGTCGCTATCAGTCGGCAGTGTTTACCGCCGGCCCCAGCCTCCCTCGGTTGATTCCAAATAAAGCCGCGCATGCTGGAGGTCTCGGAGTCTTGACCCTTCATTCATTCATCTCATTGTCCGTTATCATTATGCGGACTACACTATCCAAGTTTGCGTGCCCCCTTGTGCTGCTGGGGGCAGACGTGGGTGCCTTGCAGATCCCTCTCATCCAATGGGAGGGATTCTCTGGGTCCCAAGCTCCCTTGGCTGACAAGGAGCTGGTCAGTTCCTCCGCATTCCAAGCAAAGGTTCATGCCGGGAACTTGTTCGAGAGAGCCAAAGATCTGTACAAGATTGCGGAGCTAGGAGAGAGCGAGTACGGCCATCCCACTCGAGTCATCGGAAGTAAAGGTATCGTCACTAGCAATGTGAGGTCCCAATCGTGATACTTGCCTTTACTAACCCAGTGTTTAGGACATCTTGGTACCATTGACTATATCTATTCTACGCTGATCAATCTGGGTGATTACTATACCATCACGAACCAGTCGTTCCCTGCTGTCGCGGGTGATGTTTTCGAGTCGCGCCTTGTGCTTGGCCATGAAGTGCCCAAATCGGCACAGCCAATGGGGCTGACACCCCCGACTAAACACAAGCAGCCCGTTTACGGGTCACTGATAGCTGTGTCTAACTTTGGTTGCGACGCATCGGACTACCCGTCTACTCTGGAAGGCGCTGTCGCTTTCATTAGCCGGGGCGACTGTCCGTTTGGCACCAAATCAGAACTGGCCGGCAAAGCCGGCGCGATCGCGGCGGTCGTATATAACAACGAGAAGGGTTCCGTCAGTGGCACGCTGGGAACACCGACTCCCGACCATGTGGCTACATTTGGTATATCCGATTCTGATGCAGCCCCGATTCTGAAACAACTCGGGAAGGGTGAAAAGATCGACGCTATTGCCTACATGGACGCGGTAGTTGAGAGGATCCTCACCACGAACATCATCGCCCAAACCACGGAAGGCGACCCCGATAACTGCGTGATGCTCGGTGGCCATAGCGACAGCGTGGCGGAAGGTCCGGGTATCAACGACGACGGCTCTGGTAGCCTTTCGCTTTTGGAGCTCGCCACGCTTCTCACCAACTTCCGGGTTAACAACTGCGTGCGCTTTGCATGGTGGGCCGGGGAGGAAGAAGGCCTACTGGGCTCGGACTATTACGTGTCAGTTCTCTCAGCTGCGGAGAACAAAAAGATCCGGCTATTCATGGACTACGACATGCTCGGCTCGCCAAATTTCGCATACCAGGTCTATAATGCCACCAATGCGGCCAACCCGGTCGGCTCGGAGGAGCTGCGCGATCTCTACACCAATTTCTACGAGGCTCATGGGTTCAATTACACGTACATCCCATTTGACGGGCGTAGCGATTACGATGCGTTTATTAGACATGGTATCCCAGGCGGCGGCATCGCAACCGGCGCTGAGGGGATCAAGACGCCGGAGGAGGAAAAGATGTTCGGTGGCCACGCTGGAGAGTGGTACGACCCATGCTATCACCAGCTATGCGACGACATCGGAAACGTAAATTTGACCGCGTGGGAGTTGAACACAAAGGTACAGAGACACGAAACGTTTCTTGCGGTTGGTGATGACCCAGGCTGACCAGATTATCTTATAGCTTGTGGCGCACTCGGTCGCGACCTACGCTCAGTCCTTTGACGGATTCCCGGAACGCACCGAGACGACAGCCAACGCACTCTTCGATGCGACGCCGATGAAATACCACGGACCATCCCTTGTAAGGTAATCACCAGTGGTGGGATCTCCCTCTACTCCATGATCAGTGGGTCTGAGATTTGCCAGGATCTGTGGATAAGGTGAGGCAAATCCATAAGTTTGGTGGCACCACCCCTGTACCCTAGCTCCCCACAGAGTGTCAATAGTTACATCCGAATAGATCAGCCTCTTCCACAGAAGCCAATTGCGAGAGAGGAACAAAGAAACCATGCTGTTCTGTGTGACGGGTTCATTTTGCGGCGCAGAACCCTGCACCGAGTCTCAACTAGCACGAGCTTTTCGCGCTGTGTAGCTGTAAATCCTTTGTCCATGAAACTGGACTTTCCAAGGAGAAATATCCCATCACACTGGGGGAAAACAGAGAATATCAAGCATGTTATTGAGTGGATCCTTAGGAGATCGATCCATCGGCACTAGTGAGTGACAGCAACAAAGATCCGTTGAGTTGGTAGGGTTGCCCTTGTGGAATATGCAAATCTGCCCAGTTGTGCTGGACTGTGCGCCTCCAATCTAGATCCTTAAAGCTTACTGGCTAATCAGGCTTCGAGTCACCTACGAAAACAGGTAGTATTATGAATGAGGTTCCACAGTTCACCAAGCCATGGCTTTCTGGATGGGATAGTCTGGGCAGTTACTGCTAACTAGTACCTACCAGCACTGAGTCTCGATCATTGAGAGCACATGTAGATCTAAAAAGGATTTATCCGATCTAAAGAGGACGAAAAGAGACGAAATCAAGAAGTAATACCATGGTTCGACAAAATAGAGCGGGGCTTTACTTACAAGGCTGTGGTTATCCAGGGTGAAGCTTTCACAGTGAATGCTACCATACCTACCTGATAGTATACTATTTTCCCTATATTACGGTCTGACATACCCAAATTGAAAATAACACGACGAGCATTTTGCATCGGCTTCTGTACTACCTATCTACCAGATGTTTAAGTTTCTAAACACTCGATATGAGTGATGATGTCCTTACTGCAACTGCCCAGCGAATTGATACTACACATCGCTCAATTCCTTCACGCCGAACAAGACATTGATGCTCTGGTACAAGGCAACAGACACCTTCACGACCTGCTGGATCCTTTCCTCTATCGCCACAATGTCCAACACCGACAAAGCTCAGCCCTAACCTGGTCAGCCGCCAACGGGCAACTCCCAACTCTCGAGAAGCTCTTCGACGAAGGAGCGCAGATCATCACGACATTGCCAGAATGCCAAACAGAGAAAAACGACCCACCATCAAAGCAGCCCGCCATACGTCAAGAACACGAACCCCAAGTCCCAGATCACCCCATCGTCCACGCAGCGCTCCACGGCCATGCGACAATCGTCGAAGCCTTGCTGCTCAGAGGCGCACATCCAGACTGGACAGACCGCCGCGGTCAGACACTGCTGATGATAGCTGCCAACAAGGGGCACGTGGCAGTAGTGCGAGTATTGTTACAGCACGGAGCAGGCCTCACAAGACCCGACATCCTTAATGCAACCCCAATTACCATCGCCGCCCTGCGAGGCCATACCGCCGTCGTGGAGGCACTGATAGAGCACTTGGAGCAACACCACACGACCGTTATGCCAGATACGCAGAACCAGGCAATCGTCTACGCCGCGCTCAGCGGCCACACGACGCTCGTTCGGTTCCTGCTCGACCGGGGCGTTCCCGTTGACACCTCGGGACGCGTCAACTCGCACACACCGCTTTTCTACGCCGTGCGGCGGAGCGACGAGGCGTTAATACGCTTGCTTCTGGAACGGGGCGCCAATCCGCTGTATATCCCCAGCGATGGCAACAAGTCGCCGCTGGCGTTTGCGGCTGGATATTGCGGTAATGAGATTGTTAGCATGCTGCTGGATAGATGTGTTGATTTGGATACGGAGGGGGTTAAAGCCATGCATGCGGCTGTTATTAGGAATAATGCGTGGCTGGTGGACAGGCTTATCGCGCGGGGTGTGGACCCTGCGTCTAAAGATGAGCATTTACATCGGCCGTTGGTCTCGTGGGCGGCGGATTTGGGGTGTTTGAATATTGTTAGGCTGCTTTTGGAGAAAGGGGCTGATGCGAGGGCTTGTGATCCTGATGGTCTGATGCCTGTGGATTATGCGTCTAAGCGTGGGTATACGGCTCTGGTTCAGTTGTTGGAGAATCATGTATCGATGAAGCCGTGATGTTAAGGGCTTTTTTTCCACGCGCGGTTGGATGTTATGCGTCATGGGGTTTGGATAGGATGCGGCGCTCAAGGGGAGATCTATTGGTAGTCTTTTGTTGGTTTGTATTTAGTCGAGTCCTGAGTGATACCTGCCTAGCAGTATTGGAATAGAAAAGGAAGCATTGCCACTTGGTTACAAAATGTGCCATGACACTTTGGGCCTTCGTAAGCAATCCTATCTCAGTACGATATCTAGTAATAGTATTGCATTATTAAGAAGGGATGATCAAGCGTCGCACTCAGTATAAGATTGCTTGCGAAGCTCAACAGTGTCATGATACTATCTTTTGCAACCGAGTGGTAGTTATTGCCATATAAAGTCTACTGCTAAGCTGCGTATTCTTGAGAAAACAGGGATTCTGACTCGCTTGTAGAGTGTAAGTCCTCTACCGCTATAGACTTATACTCTATTTATATCTCCAGATATCTCAGGGCAGCTTTCAACTCATATTTACTAGCTTGCTGCGTGGATTAACGAAGGGGGAAATGATCTGTGGAATGATCTACGAAACAGACGAAATGAATTCTAGTCCACCTTGTCGTTCCTGTCCGAATTTCACTAAACATGGCCTAGACGCTCCCTACTGGCAAAGCAGAATAGATATAGTTCGTTAGTTATATCTTATTAGAACTCGTCATGAGACCTCAAGCGATGCTGGAGTAGCAACCATTATAAACATGACGCGGATAACCTTGCGCCGATGCCGGCGATAGCCTTATCTAGGCGCGCGGGGTTGATCGGGGTATGCCGATAACAGCCCTTTTAACAACCAGGACTAAACAGAGCTTATTTTCGAAGCCGAGAGCACACTGCAGTATCAGCGTCCTCCATTCGTCCTGCGTCCATCATTAATATATGTGCCTGTTATGGTTGGCCCGTATATAGCAATATATTCATCAGAACCCCAGCAGCCGATGGCGGAGGAATGGTTCCGCCCGGCACATGACTTCCAGATGTATCGGGATTACCGTACGGGTGGGACTTTGATCATTCCCCGCGCACACGCCCTGCAGGTGACTACAGTTGCATTGGTGATAGCTACCCAACCATAGAGGATGCAGCTCAATGGCTCTATTAGATAACATAAACAGCAAATCGAAGATCAATACCGCAAAAGTGGTCCCTTACCTCGCGTATCGACCTTGAACAGACCGGAGTCTGGTGGGGTGGCCAATGTTGGTCGAACGGATGGCCCGCCCGATAACCACCCACGTTACAAGGGCGGAGGTACCAAATCTTACCTCCGAAAGTGGGCGAGGCGGGAAAAGGATGACTCCGAGTTCATTCGGCTCTTTGCGGTCTTGACTCTTTCACCTATTTTACTTCCCCGCGCCCTTCTTTCCAACCCATTGTTGGTTTTTTGGTACTATCTGTCGCTTCTACATTACGCATAATCAGACAATTCTTTCACCACTCTATCTCTTCACGATTTCAATAGCTCCGACAAGCTGTGGTAGCTACGGACCATCCGATAATAGCAAACAGAGAATGAGTCCTTCAGCCGCCGTGGACGAGGCAAAGGGCCAGCAGTCCGCCACCACGCCATTGACTGTCGATGGCGTCGCCGCGTTGAGGGCCAACGGCCCCCAGGTGCCCACTGGCGTTGCTCCTTCTACCAGCAGTGATATGTTTAAAAGCCCGGTATGCACGCGAGTTCCATGCGCAAACGACACAAAGACGACTGCCGAACTGACCACCATTCTGCTTCTTACAGGCGTGCTACACGAAGCCTAAGGCTAAAAGTTGGGATCGTAAGCCGTGACCCCGCAGTCGATTCGCTGTGCTCTGTCCCGACGGAACATTGGTTAATTCTCCCCGCTAGACGTCCTCTCCATCGAATCGCAGTCTCGAAAGGTCCGTCCGATTACAAGCACAACTTCTTGGTATACACATTGTGGCTAAAATGAATGGCGCGCATAGGTATCGACGTTGAAGGGTGCTGCGAAATACCTCAAAAACCCGGGTTCGTTGCTTGTGATCACTCCGTCAGCTTCGGCCGTCAGTCATTTGCTAACGCCCGTCCCGAATAGGTCTCATCTCTTTGGGCGGTGGACTCCCGTCTCCGGAATATTTCCCCTTCCAAGAACTCAGTATCAAGGTTCCGACACCGCCGGGGTTCGGCCCTCAAGCGACCCGTGAAAATGGCACCGTCCTCACCTCGGCCAAGGGCGATGTTCGAAATGGAAAGAGCTTGTACGGTCAGTTTCGCCTCTAGAATTCACCGCAGAAGTGTGGGTCTTGACTATTACAGATCTCGAGGTCGCTCTCAACTATGGGCAGGCGATAGGAGCACCTCAGCTGCTTAGATTTGTGACGGAGCACACGGAGGTATTGTTCCCAGAAGACGCAACTCTCAATCGGTGATTAACTGTGTCTAGATTATTCACAACCCCCCGTATGCGGACTGGCAATGCTGTTTGAACGCCGGTAGCACCTATGCCTGGGATACGGTACTCAGAATGCTTTGCAACCGAGGAGACTATATCATGATGGAAGAATATACGTTTTCTAGCGCCCAGGAGACCGTTCTCCCGCAGGGTGTCAATGTCGTGCCTATCAAGATGGATGAGCAAGGTCTGCTGCCGGGGTCTCTCGACGATGTGCTGAGCAGCTGGGACGAAGCAGCTCGGGGCGCTCGCAAGCCTTTCGTGCTTTACACCATCCCTACTGGACAGAACCCTACCGGTGCCACCCAGCAAGGCGAGCGCCGGAAGGCTATTTACGAGGTTGCGCAGAAGCACGATGTTATCATCGTGGAGGACGAACCGTATTACTTCCTGCAGATGCAACCGTACACCGGACCTGACGCGGAGCCCGTCCCACCTCCGAAGACCCACGATGACTTCATCAAATCCCTTATTCCATCTTACTTGAGCCTGGACGTCGACGGTCGCGTCATTCGACTTGAATCGTTCTCTAAGGTCCTCTCCCCGGGATCTCGTACCGGCTGGATCGTCGCCGCGGAACAATTTATCGAAAGATTCGTCCGGAACTGCGAGACCTCCTCCCAAAACCCCTGCGGTTTCTCGCAGATCGCATTCTTCAAGCTTCTGGATGAACACTGGGGCCATGCCGGCTATCTCGATTGGTTGATTGATATCCGTCTGTCTTACACCAATCGCCGAGACGCCATGGTCCACGCGTGTGAAACACACCTTCCACGTGAAATTGCCAGCTGGAACCCCCCTGCCGCGGGGATGTTCGTGAGTACCCCCTTTGTTTCTCGGTGCGTTGGTCTAGGGGAATGCTAAGCTAACACAAATCAGCACTGGATTCAAATCGACTGGCAAAAGCATCCGGGTCTTGCATCTGGAAAGACTCGTGAGGCTATCGAGCAAGAGATTTTCCAAGCTGCGGTTGACAATGGTGTCCTCGTCTCGCGCGGTAGCTGGTTTACGGCTTCTGGACTGCGTGAGGAAAGCATGTTCTTCCGCGCTACTTTCGCCGCTGCGAGCGCGGAGAATATCGAAGAGGCTATTAAACGCTTTGGCGATGCCCTGCGGATCCAATTTGGTCTGTAAATATTGACGATAGGGGTACTATCATTTTTTTTTTATAGACAGGGGTTCGGCTATCATACCCAGTCCGACAAATCTTTGGCATTTTAGGTAGCACATAGTTTGTGGTCTAGATTATCATGAGAAACGGCCCGACAGAGACGACATATCTCGGGCAAGGGAAATTGTTTTAGCTTGGTGGTTGGCGTGTGTACATAGTCGCATCGGCAATAGGCTGCTAGCATCTACATAAAATTCCATTCCCGTCATTCGAACAACCATTTGATATGGCAGTCTAATTGACTTTTGTCCTTGGGGTGTTGATCTTTGTAACACAAAGGAATAAAAAGAAACTAGAATAATATAGATACATGAATTAATTTACTTCAAAACATAAAAGACAAAATAACAAAATAACTAATAATCATCTCCGTCCCTCAACCGTCAAAATGATCTTCCGCCGAGATCGGCAGTAACGTGATCCGTCTGGAACTTTAATCGAACGTCCCCTCATCCCCAACCTAACATTCTTGCTGCCAATACATATCGATCCTTATTGATGCCCTCGGGGGATACCGACGAACCGGATTTGTCTAATTTTAGCGACCGCGACTTACGATGCATCTGTTGATTCAGGTTTATTTTGCTCCACGATTGTGATACCAGATTTGTTTTTGCGCGTCTAGAATTCTTATTCATTTTTTTTACATCTTCGTTTTTGCATCGCCTTTTCGACGAGAAGTATTCAAGGAGTCCGCGGGGATTGATCGACAGTAAGTTATAATTTTAGTCTCCATTCCAAGATTTTGAGCCCCACGAGAGGCTTGTTGTTCGCATTGTTTTCACGTCCTCGACCCCCGATGTTTCTCCATGCTGGAGCTGGAATATCTATCTTCACGTGACCTGGGGATACTCAGTGGAGTATATCTGTTGATACTTGATATGTTCAATCTTGACCACACAACAACACTTCAAGTCTCTTTCCAATGATGAGGTCAAACTTAGAGGTGATTCAGTAGCAATGCTAATTAAATATGTAGTTCTTCAAGCCTCACCATCCTGATAACGATCTGAGCAAAAGTCTTGTCTCCGTTTGGAGTGACTTACGCCATCAGTGGAAGATACTCACCCGTGGGATTTATATTCTTACATCTGAGTAATTTCAATTAAGCATATACTGACTGTACGTTGACGATTGATTACATATACGCGCTGTGGACTTTGTTTACAATCCGCTACATTCCACTAAACTATAGAAATCTGGCTGACATGCTTTCCCCGTCGGAAACTTTCTAAATAGAATTAACGACTTGAAACATCTCTAAATCAGACCTCGCATATGCCTGAGGCACCTTCACGATCTCCCTGCGCCAACTTAGGCATTACCATATCAACATATGCGCCGTACCAACTAGCTTAAAAGCATCAATCGAAGATCCTGTCTAGCAGACTAACTCTGTGCATCATTGAATATATGCATGGGGAATTTGTGCAACTGTGATATCTCACATTAACGTGTTGCTCTCTGTGTATAAGAGCCAATCGCCCCTTGCGATCCCTGTAGGTATGATCTTTCGTCCTTCTGCTGCCCTCGTACTGATTAAGCCTACATTCGCAGGTTCTACGCCAGGTTCGTAATAGAAATATAGGTTACAAAGCAAGGACTGCAAAGTTTACTGCTCAGGATCAAGAAGTGAGTTACAACTTCTCTCAGTCACAACGTCTTTTGAAATCTCTTCCCACATTTATTGGAATCGTGGAAGGAAGTGTTTGTAAACACGACCATCTAGGTTTGTAAAATCACCAAAGGGACCCTCCATACACTGCGTTATCTCACAGCAACCACCTCTATCAGTTTCTATTTCTGACTTTCAAGTTCCATAGGGCATCCTATTTCCTGGTACTTTGAATACGGGGTGTTAATATACGCTTGTCCAACGTTTGTTTTCACAAAACGCCCTTACTTGCTTTGGATAACTTCTCACGCTTTTAGAGCAGCCTCTACCTTTCACTGAACCATTCATCATCCACCATCCACCATGGATGCCCGTGTTTCGCAGCTTCTGGACCCCACGTCTGCCGTGGCGGCCATTACGAAGCATAAAGCGGAAGCAATCAAACTAGCTCGGGAGCAAGCAGCCGCAGTGCAGGAGATGTGCCGCAGAGCTAAAACGGAGATGCCACCTTACGAATTTGAGGAGTTGATTGGGAAAGGGTCTTACGGTCGTGTCTACAAGGGACACCAACTCCCCTCGCGCCAGGTTGTTGCAATCAAAGTGATGGATGTTGACACGTTGGACTACAAGGCCTTGCGGGATTTTAAAGATGATTCTATCAAAGAATTTATCCACGAGACGAAGGTCATGAAGCAGGTCAAGGACTCGGGAGCAAAGAACATCAACGAATTGATCGAGGCTATCTCTATTCACTCGCAGCTGTGGCTAGTTTGCGAATATTGCCCTGGCGGAAGTGTTAGAACCTTGGTAAGTTGAATCATCTAATTTTCTAGGGCTATCGGTGTTCAATTCGATTGCCTTCTTACTGACGTCTATATAGATGCGGGCTACAGATGATCGGCTTGATGAAAAGTTTATCATCCCCATCGCTCGTGAATTAGCTGCTGGCTTGCGTGCTATCCACAATGCTGGAATCATCCATCGAGATATTAAAGGTTCGTACCATGTCATATGGGGCTTACCAGGACATACGCTAAATATGCAAACGCAGCCGCCAATATCTTGATCCACGAAGAAGGCCGGCTCGAGATCTGTGACTTTGGTGTGGCAGGTATTCTTCAGTCGCAAATGGACAAGCGCTCTACTTGGATTGGCACGCCTCACTGGATGCCACCCGAGATGTTCTCCACCCGCGGCGAGGCTCATCAATACGGCAGTGAGGTACGGTTCTCGATTATCGAAGACGTTCGCAAATCGCTGACTGTTCTAGATCGATGTATGGGCTTATGGATGCACCCTGTTCGAATTCGCTTCGGGAAACCCCCCGAATGCCAACCTCCGCGAGCGAATGCAAATTGGAAGGCAATTGAACCGAAACGCCCCAAAACTCAAGAATGATAAATACAGTGATGAGCTCAAGGACTTGGTTGCATTTGCTTTAGAGTCGGATCCGATCGCGCGCCCTGCAATGGACGATATTTTGGAACACCCATACATCGCCAACACCGAAGAGGAATATCCTACATCTTCCCTTAGCGAGCTCGTCCGCATATACTACCAGTGGTCCCAGCGTGGAGGACAGCGTATTTCCCTGTTCCACCCTGGGGGTGCCGCAGCTGCCGAGATGCCAGATGATGGCCCGGACGTGGAATTGGACTGGAATTTTAGCGCTACAGACGGGTTCGAAAGGAGGTTTTCCGTCATCGATCTCGACCAGCTGGCTGCCTCGTTAGCTGAAATGGAAGATAAAATCAGCCCAACCACCTCTAACGACGAAGCGGAAGCCGATGCTCTCGAACGAGTGGCGAATGAAGACATGTCCGAGGATGAAAAGGCCAATTTCGATGAGCGTGTCCGCCGAGGTGCTGAAGCCATGGAAGGCCTCTTCAACGAGGAACTTCCAGACTACAAATACGAGACGAAGAACGACTTTATTCCGATTGAGCAGAAGCAGCCCATATCAGATCTACCCCTCCGTACTGAGACGGACAGATCCTCAGTAACGTCAACCTTTATCGACATCGACATTGGATCTTTTGACTCCTCTCACTATGCTGCGGGTGCGTCGACGACCCAGCCGTTCCAACTGGCCGATGCCGATACCATTAAAGCAACCCGGACGAGCGGTCGCCAACAACGTGACTCCGGCGAAGCCCACTCCCGCTCCTCAAGCGGTGGCTTAAGCAGCGATCGTGAATCACAGGATTTTACCTACCAGCCCCAGAACGGGCCAAGACCTCCCACCATGGACTGGAAGTTCCCAAGTTTCACGCCCCAAGACACGGAGGCCGAACCCGCAGATGAGGGTCAAAACAACCTCACGCACACGGAAGGCTCCCCAAAGAATACCGAGCCGGCAGAGTTCATTCCGACAGAAAAACGAGCAACAATGGAGTGGAAATTTCCAGAAGCTCCAGCTCCAGCCCCAGCCCCAGCCCCAGCTCCGGCTCCGGCTCCGGCTCCAGCTTCGGCAGAATCGCCCACGGCGGACGAGTCTGACCAAGCAGCGAGACGTGCGACAATGGAGTGGACCTTCCCATCAATGGGCGATTCAGCAGACGCCGATCAAGGCTCACACGGGAACGACATGGTGGTAGAAGCAAACCGGTTCAGCACTCTCAAAGCACCCCTCCCCCCACTGGAGCCATCCGAAACGGCGATTCGGCCCCTCAGTATCGGCGAACCCGGAGACGCCCGCCCGTCCACGTCAAACTCAGCAAAATCCAGCTTTTCAGCCAGCTCAGACACGGACTACGACCCATTCCGACTGGACCGACCACCCAGCCTCTCAGGCGACAAATCCGCCCCAGACGACTTCCCACAACTCCTCGACTCCGCCGACCACGACGCGCAATCACGCTCATCAGTCATAGTCGAAGACGGGCCCGGCCCAGACGAAGAAGACGACGTGATCGAGGAAGAAGACGAACGCCAGCTCGACTGGCAGTCGAATACTACTGCCACCACTGCCACCAGCGACGCAGCCGATCCGGGGTCCGACTCGGAGCCATTCCCGGCAGCTTTAATGCCCACCGACGAGGCTGCCGACCCGACTCCGCTGCCCACAGCGCGCCGCGTCCCGCACGTTGTAGAGCCGGTTTATTTCCCAGACCTTGTTCCGCCTGATGCATATGCGCTTGCGGCTAATGGTCCGGAGGGAAATATGAAGGCTGAGTTGGATCGCTTGCTAGAGGATTTTCTAGATGCGTTGTCGGCTACGGGGGAGGGGCTTGCTAGGACGAGGGTGAGTCCCGAAACGACGCCTAATGGGAGGTCGACGCCGGAGAGGGTGGAATGAGAATTTCTTGATTGTTGTCATCAAAACTAGCAGAATCAGAATAGAGCTCTTCCAGATAGATCTGTCCTAATTGAATGGGATGCTGAACCTCTTGATCCCTATATTTCGTTATCTATTATTGATTGAAAAGTGTTTTTGTTACTCTAGGCTAGTTGGGCCGCACTTGAGGGTATGGATGCAAAGACCATTCAGACGTAATCCAGGACTGGTGAGGAGGGAAGTTTGAGCACAATCGCTGGTCAGACCAACCGAACATTGACTCAACCTCGATTTTAGTAATCTATCCAAAAGATGTCTGGGCATAAAACCGCCGTTTAGATGAACTGGACAAGACTTTGGTGTCTTCTGTTGAATATATCAGTCAGGTTAAGTCCTATACCAATCGTTGGGTCAACGGTTTGGCGAAGTGGTCTTGAGATCTTCTCTGTTGACAGACAGCTCATCTCTCTGAAGTCGCCCGGCCTACGTACTTCGAGGGTCTGGCGGGCCCAGAACGGAAGAAGGGGAGAAGGAACAACAAAGGCTTCGGACTTATGCATAAGGGCCAGAAAACATCCGCCTCCCTTACGACAGAAAGGTCAGGGGAAAAACGCCTCATGATTGAGTGGCCCGCGATGTTGACTTTTAATACAGCACTAGATCAAACCCATAACGCCAAGATAGATCAAGCTATCTGAACAGAACTGACTATATCACACAAACGGTATCTAAGTTCCCCAGTTTCGAGTACTTGGATCATGGATCCAGTAATATCCATTCCATGACCAGCGTTCACCTCTCACGATAGAGACACTGCCGCATGGCACATTTCCACTGTTGTGCTGCGCCTACTATTTTGCTGAACCCCTTCGACTAACAAGGCTATACCCCGATGTCAACCATCATGAGAGACAGGCTTATCCAGTCCCTCTTCCTTCGTCGGTTCTCCATGTATGGAATCCGCTTGCTGAATGAGAGGGCTCTTATACGAATCTTCGTTTGCATCCTTATCAACGTTACTAGCGGCCGGGATAGGCGCATAAGGATGCGAGATGCTGTCACGGTGGGGGTGCTCTCTTCCGGTCTCAATGGCACCGTTGTCGGTCACGCGTTCGGCGGCCGAAAGCGCAAAATCGCCAGAGTCAAAGTATGTTCGTTCCTTCCAGTTTGGTTTTTTTTTTGATTAGCACGCGTTGTAGATCAAACGGATACTCTACATACATACCTTGGATCTTTTGTCGAGTAAGCCGCCATATGGCCGCATCCCGTACTTACTAGACTGACGTTTCTCACTCTCCGGCAGTGGCTGAGGTTGTGGTGTCAGCACTACTCTTCCGAGGTGGTAAATGGCAACGCCTTACCTCATGGTATGGCTCTTTATCGCTTGATTGCATTCTGGGGGATCAGTCGTGGGTTTTGCCTAGGAGATTTTTAATCATCCGATAGAGAACTGCATCTGTACAAGGATATGCTATATTCTTATGAGTTGGTAGATTGTTATGACGTTATCTATCTTGTCGCGCGATCTTGCATTACTAACTAACCAATGAGGTCACCTAGTTGGTCAACTGAATTAACGGAAATCCCGGGGGTCGGAATCCGGTAGGATCCGCTAAAATCCGGAGACCCCAGTTTTACTTTCCTTTATAACTAGATGCTGCCAGGGAGAAGAGGTGACGAAGAACTGCCCCCCAGACAAGAACCATCTATCACCAAGATGTAAAAGAAAAGGCCTTCTTTACCAAGACTAATCTCAAGCTGTGTCAAAAGTGAAAACAGCAATACAATCCTCATAGAATGCAAAACTGTACTTTGAAAAAGTCAAGGTAGAGGCCTGATCTACACTTTGACCTTCCACTTCCACTTCCAGTCTAGCATTGCCCATCGAGACAACGATAGACCGATAAGTCCGACCAGAAGGACTGCCGAATAAAAGCCAATGAGAACCTGAGGCGTCGTTGATTGAAGTAAATCACCCCCAACCGGGACTGTCGATAAAACCCCAAATGAAGCCACAAAGTAAACAGTTCCGTAGAATCGACCATACTCTTCGGTCCTGCAAAGCTGGCCAGCACAGACGGGCGCGAGGGAGAGCCATCCGCCAGAGCCAAACCCGAAGATGGCCACCACGATGTAGAGCGTTAATTCGTCCCGGGAGCCAACGGGGAGCCATACCGCTGCCATGATTAGCAGGGTGAGTATCACTAAAAATAACAAGGTGTTGAAACGTCCGACTTGGTCGGCCGCAAACCCGGGAAGGACTCTCCCAAGCAAGCTCATACTGTTCAAGACCGTAAGGGAAAAGAACTGCACATCCGATGAAAGCCCAGCAAAGCGCACGTAAGTCGGCAACAGTGCGGCACAGCCAAAGATAATGAATTCAAAGGCGAAGATGGCCATGGTCAAAAAACAGAGCCGAGGGGATCGGAACGCCCGCAAGTCAATTGTCGCTTTGCTCCTATTGCCAGGGGGTAGTCGGCCTTTCACCAGTACTATCCCCACCGCATAGCATCCCAAAGCCATAAAGGCGATCGCCCGAATAGACCATTTCCACCCATACTGTGAGAAAAGTGACCGTAGTAGTAGTGGTATAGTAGCACCCCCGGCCGAGGATCCCCCCATACAGATGCCAGACGCCAGAGCGCGTCGGCGGTGAAACCAGTGGCTGAGAACGGCAATTGACACAGTTGTGATGATGGCCGAAGCGACTCCCCCAAGAATCGACAGGCATAGAAGGAAATGCCAATACTTTGTGCATTCAGCGAGTAGCATATAGGAAGTAAAACTGGCTGCAGATCCACAAATTAACAAGATTCGGGGTCCATATCGATCGAACAGCGGTCCAACCTGGACCCCGAGAAATAAAGTCAGGAACACAAGGATAGCGGTGATCCAGCCAACGTCGCGCACAGTGTAATCAGCAAGCTGGTTTGTGCTGATATAGTCCTGGACGGAGCCAACTGATTGAGTATCAGTTATCGGTGTTCCCAAATCTTCGCTGATTTGAAATGATGTTGTATTGTCTTACCTGCCGTTTGAAAACCAAATGATGGGAACATCATCAGAAAGGATCCCAACAGGCACATCCATGCCTCTCTTCCACCTTCGGAGGATTCCTGAGAGACCTGACTGACCCCATTAACCCGATGATCGGGGAAATTATCACTCCCATTAGACCTTGTTTCCAGCTCGTGAGTGGGCTCGGAAGCATCATGTCGGGTAGTGCGATACATTTTGTCCAAATATATGCGAATTGATACAGTCTCATGAGCCACAGAAACTGGGCAGGCGTTCCATTTCAGAACTCTTCATTTGCCTGCGGTGGGGCGGATGGCGGGGTAGTCATTGAAAGGGCGTGTCTCCATTGTAGCAAACTAGCAACTTGTCATCGGATAAAACACATTATCTTAGCGGGCTTACAGTTGAGCGTGGACCGTGGTTCAGGACAGAGCTACAAAAACACTCAGCATGGTTTAGGTCTTTTTGGAGAATGACTCATCCCCTGAACTATAACTAACTATTTAGTTATACTTTTACTACGAAAACCATCCGCGCAGAGTCTCAAAAGACACCTATGTAAGGCTCCTAAAAGCACGTGTGTAGAGTCTCTAAATGTATCTGAAAAACACCACAAAAAGCCCTACTATAATTCTACAGGATCCCTACTGGACACAGACGCTTTTCGGGACTATATGGCTGCTTTGCAGGGCTATACGCGGATCCTCCTATGAATCCTATTACAATATTTAACTAAGCCAGAAAAGAGCAATGATAAGTCTATTGGTTGATTGATGTCACAATAAGCGAGTAAGATGATGGGCAAGTGGATATTGAGCTTCAGGTTTTGTATGTATAGAAGGGTTAACACATGCAAGTGAAAGTCAGTGGTATATCATTTTTCCCTAAATAAAGATAAGGATTTTTCTGCTGCTAGGCCCCTAGGGCCCTGTTCTGAAACAAGACATGTACCAGCACAAGACATAAGCTAATAAGAGCACTAACGTTCACTATCATATATTCACTGGTGAATTACTAGAAGTGACGGGAGTCCAGAGAGAAAGGAAGATATATACTGAGTATAAAAGCTAGCCTATCATCCCTGATCAAATATAGGGCATATTGTGGATATTTAGCTTGATTAGCTTATCTGTATTGAGACTGAAAGCTCATACTCTTTCTATGATCCCACTATTTTTCATATTTTTGTAAGTAATATAACAATTGCGCCTGGATTTTTCATTCATCTGCTTTTCTCCTCACCACAGGGGCTTATCTTAGTACTATTGCTGACCTCACTGGTCTGTCTGGTATTCTAGGCCCAGTCTTTAAAAAAGTTGAAACACAAACAAGTATGATACTCTGGACCTACTAAAAATGGGATGGTTGTGGTGAGCCCCATGCTTGCGGGGAAGCTTGGAGAGTTCGACATACTACGAGAACCATGATGCTACCAAGAGGCTATTTGAGAGTTCCCTATACATTTTCAACTCATGAACGCGCTGCGTGTCCCTGGCTAGGGATTTTCGTTCACTACAGCATACAATGAGCATGGAGTACTCTTCAGCATGTCTCAATTTGAGCGCTATGTTTGCCCTAAGTTCCCTCACTCCTGAGGATTTTGGGCAGGTAAATTTCACTTCTATTAGATGTGGACGTGCATGTGGACGTGCATGTGGACGTGTCTATACCACGATGACGCGTCGTGTCAGTAAACTGCTCTTTATCCATAAACACAAAATTCAGTCTGTTTACTTGGCTCGCACCTCGGTTCTACCCTCTATTCCTCTCCTACCCACTCCACGACCTCAAGAGAAACTTAACTGCATGCATTACGATGGCCCCCGTCTCCAATAGAGCTTCTCATTTCGAAACAGTCTTACATCCAGAGTCATCCAAAGAATGGAGATCCATCCTCCAAGGAATCAAGCTGCTGTACACCCGCCGTCAATACAAACAATGTGCCACTCACTGCTTCGAGATCCTCAACAACACAAACCAGCTGGTAGGAATCCTCTCTCCCAACTCGAACAAAACACTCACAGCACATCCGACAGGCCCACCCAGTCTACAAAACCTACCTCCACTTCTACAGCGCCATTTCCCACGAAGAAATGGGCCGCTGCGCCCACATATACTCCAGCAACAAGATTTCGCTCCTCCGCTCCGCGTTGGACTCGTTCGTTGCCTGCACCTCTGCATTGCCAGCCCCAATTCCCACTCCCACTCCCACTCTAGACTACGACAGCAGCTGGTGCAGCTTGGAGTCTTCGTTCACGGATCCATCTTTCTTATCAGAGTCGTCGGATAGCGCTTCCCCTGTGGGCAGTCTCATCAGTAGCATTACGGATATCATTGACGGGTCTATTGACTGTCCGGCGGATGATCCGTTCTTGTCTGACACTGATACGTGGGGCTCACTGGGCGTTGAGACGCCTTCTAAGCTGCCGCGATATGTCCTCACGCCTTCTCCGCTGAATGTTCACAAGTCGGTGGAACATTGGGATTCGTCCCCACCCTGTCCTTCCTCCACTAATTCGGGGTCAAAAGTCCCACGCAAAGCTCTGACGCAAGTGAAAGTCCCAGCAAAGGCCCAGATACCACCTCCTCTTCCGCTGAAGATTCGTCCTTCAATGGCTGACAGTGACTGCTATGCTAAGTCACAGAGGCAGCGTAGCTCGTTGCAGATGATGCATGAGCTTGCCCTCCCAGACAAACGCAATGCATATGCCCCAGCTTCGTCAACTTCCTCTACTTCCTCTATCCACAAATACAACGACATCATTGAATTCCTACGCGCTCAGATAGCAACTAGCATCTCTGACATACACAAAGTAATCGACGAGACCACCGAGGCCCAGAAAGCCCGTAGAGCTTCCAAGACAATCCGACGTTCAGCGTCCTTCTGGAGCTTCAGTCCAGTCGAAGAGACCACGCAGAGCAATATGGTGTCGAATGACGCCGGAGGAACGCTTTGGAGAGAAACGAAAGAGCAGCGTATTGCGCGATTGCGTGCGGACGGTTGGAGATCGGTGGGATTGAGGTCGACCTCGAGGGGATGGAAGGGCACTGAGTATTACAAGGCGTTTTGTGCGTCTGTTCTGGATGAGGTTTGCCTTGATACGTGATGTGTGGTTACTGGCTTTTTATTGAGTATTTGGCGCGCTTTGTTCTGGGTGTCGGGTGTAGGGTTTGGCTTGGTCTGAGATGGCTATGTATGAGTATATACAATCTCGTTCATTGATATCACTACTTTTATTGTTGCTGTATTTTACATTCTGATACTAAATAATTGGCCAGCCATGAGTATAGCTACTGTCAGTAGTACATCGAATGATACTCTCACCTGATAGCAATGGCAGACCTCTGGTTACTGGCCTCAGGCTCTTCAGCGAGCAATTGCCTCACCGCTCGCTGTTGCACTTCTTTGCCTAGCAGATGCGCAGCTATCTCGATGCCGCGGTATCTGTCTCCTTCGTCGCCGTACAATCTAATAGACGCCTTGCGGTGGTCTCGGATCTCGGACCTTGTCCTCGATACCTGCGGTTCGGAGGCTGATTGTGATCATGTCTAGTCCCACGTCGCACTGCAGCTGCCTTCCCTGCGATCCCTCCGACTGCGAATGCACCGAAGCGAATCTGCCCCGGGGTGTTTGCAAGGCACCGAGAAAGCGACAGTCTGATGCAAGCGTCATCCATCGATACAGGACCGGATTCCATATTGTTCTCTTCAAAAATTGAGAGCATCCTCATCAATCTCGGTCTCAAGAAGTAGACCGATTTTCAGCCGGATATAGCCATCACTGCACGGAGCTCCGACGGGGTGAGACCTATACAATGACATGGCTGGTCGCAGTCCAAATCTCCGAGTGTTGAGAATCCTCTGCCATAAACATCCGACTCTGCAGATGATCGCGGTGGATTGTCCCACTGGGGCGAAGAAAGTCGTTCCCGACAAGGGCGAATGGGACTGGGCGAGGATGTCTCTAGTCAGAATTTGCTAGGAGACTGCCAGAATGATGATACTGATTGATCTTGTTAAAAGCGGGCTTTGTACAATAGTCAACGCAGTGGATTTGAGGTGGAGAAATGGTGTCCTCGGTCTATGACCAATTTTCACATGCTAGAATAAATATCTGCAGCATTCTTCACTATTGCATGAAAGGACTAGTTGTTGAAACGGGCGACTAGCTCGTCTATCTTGTATCATCTAGTGTTTTTAGGAAACCCACGGTGAATATCTGTCTTCTTTAGTTTAGTATAGTAAATATCCGTACGGAGTATATTGTTTTGTTTCCACCTGCACAAGGCACTATAAACAGCGTATGGTGGGTCAGGATGGATCATCCTCGCTTTCTCGAATTATTGAGAATTAATGAAACATGGTCATGATGCTGCCTCACAGGGTTCATTCAAGGCAGAGAGACAGATCACTCCGCTGATCACAAGAGAGCCTGGCTGCAGCCCGAATGCACAAGGCCGCAGGGCTGGACAGAAGGATAGGCTGGATCCGCCTGGTGTCTGGCCCGTAATATGGGTGGTCGGATCCACCTAACTTACCACTACGAGTGTCCAGGCTCCCCTCGTGGCTGTGCTGTGCCCGCTGTGCCCGCTGTGCCCACTGTAAGAAACCAGTATTGCAGGGCCAGACTTTCTCACTATCTGGAACTCCGGTCGCGTCCCCTCTCAAACCTCCCCTCGTTCTATCCATCGTGAACATCAAAGGTTGGTATAATCCCAAGTTTTTGATCTTCTGCAGACACACCCTGCATTGCATTCATTCCTTGCATTGTTTGACATCTACCTGGATCCATCAATCCTGAACACGATCATTACCCGATCAGGTAGGCCAACCACCACTAAATAAACTTAACATTGTTTACGCCCCTTATCAGTCACCCGCAAATACGACAGGCTTCAGCTTTCCACCACTCTCTCTCTCTCTCTCTCTCTTCTCTCCTCTGCCCCTCCTGGTGTTGTCGGATTTTCTACTGACATCCCATCCACCTGTCTTGTCCCTCTAGATCTCAACAATCCTATCCTCCTCCTCTCCTCCCCTACTCCCTCTCCGTCCATTCTCGAATTTCTTCTTCTTGCCCCGCCATCCTCCCCTCCCCTCACGTGCGGGGTCTACCATCAGCTTCGAGCCCGCCGGCCTGAGCCCACCGCACACTGTTAAGTGTTAGCTAGAATTTCCATCCAGGCCCTACGCTCCGGCGCTACTCCATCACCATGAGTTGTGAGTCCTCCTTGGCTTTTTCTACACCGCGCGTCGCTTTTGTCAATTGCATTTGCATTTCCCTATCATACGATGTGGTTTGATCTCCGTGAAGATCCGTCTACTCGTTGATGTCCCCTGTCTCTTCCCTCTTTTTCCGCCCCCCTCCCTTCTTGCTTTTTCGTGGGCGGTGCTGCCTGGTGGCTTCAGCCGCACCGCACACCAACTCAGATGTCTGTCTTGGCTCTACTTATAGCTCTTTGGGGCAATGGCGTAAGCCTCTGGGGATCTCTCATTTCCGTTTGGTTATATGGTTTGGACTTTTTTCCATGACAACACTACCCTCCGCCTGCTCCTCGTTCCTGTCTTCGCTCTCGATGCGCTATCGCTCGCGTTTGTGATAATTTTCCATGCAGTGTGGCTTGCTGTGTGTACTGGTACTGATCGACGGCGTCCGTGCTTTAGTCTCCAATATGTTCAACAAGCTGTCGGGTCAGCCTGAGAGTTACGAGAAGAAGTACGCTTCCGCTTCATTTCCCCCCCCCCCCCGGCGACTGTGGTCGGCTTCCCCCGATAATAACCGATGATCGTTTCCTACAGAGCGTTGTACAAGTTCGGGCGCACTCTGGGTGCTGGCACCTATGGGATTGTCCGCGAGGCCGATTGCGCGTCCGCCGGCAAGGTCGCCGTGAAGATCATTCTGAAGAAGAACGTCCGTGGGCACGAGCAGATGGTTTACGATGAATTGAAGATGCTGCAGTCGCTCAACCATACCCACATCGTCCATTTCGTGGACTGGTTCGAGTCCAAGGTGGGTCGCGCGAGATATGTCTACTTTTGCCAATACTCATATCGTGGCAGGACAAATTCTACATTGTCACCCAGCTGGCTACCGGAGGCGAGTTGTTCGACCGGATTTGCGAGTATGGCAAGTTCACGGAGAAGGATGCGTCGCAAACGATCCGTCAGGTTCTCGACGCGGTCAACTACCTGCACGAGCGGAATATTGTCCACCGAGGTCCGTCTCCGATCGTCTGACCTCCCCATGCTGAAACTGACATTCGGTTTCCACAGACTTGAAGCCCGAAAACCTGCTTTACTTGACCCCCGATCCCGACTCGCAACTGGTTCTGGCCGACTTTGGTATTGCCAAGACGCTGGAGAGCCCGAGTGAGGTCCTGACGAGCATGGCCGGTTCGTTCGGCTATGCCGCCCCGGAGGTGATGCTCAAACAGGGCCACGGCAAGGCGGTCGATATTTGGTCGCTGGGCGTCATTACCTACACGTTGCTCTGTGGGTACTCACCCTTCCGGTCGGAGAGTCTGACCGACTTGATCGAAGAGTGCCAATCCGGCCGGATCATCTTCCACGAGCGGTACTGGCGTGAGGTGTCCCAGGATGCCAAGGATTTCATCCTGTCCATGCTGCAGCTGGACCCGACCAAGCGGGTGACATCGGAGGTCGCCCTGAAGCACCCCTGGCTCATCGGAGAATCGGCCAGCGACCGCGATCTGCTGCCCGAGATTCGCGCTTACACTGCTCGCTCTCGCCTGAAGCGCGGCATCGAGATCATCAAGCTCGCCAACCGCATCGACGCGCTCAAGATGCAAGAAGACGAGGAAGACGACATCCCCAGCCCCGCGGATATGGCCCAGTCTGCGGAGGCGGCGGAGAAGTCCTCTGGCTCGTCTCCCTTCCCGGCATTCTCGCCCTCCAACGGCGGTTCTGCCCCCGCGGAAGCTGGATCGGGCACGACCAAGAAGCGCAGCCTGAGCAAGATCGCCCGCGGGCAGATCTTCCGCGAGGTTGTGCTCGCCAAGGTGCGTGAGGTGAAGGAGAATGAGGAGCGAGAAAAGATGGAGCGGGAGGTCCGTGAGAAGGGGGCCCACTGACTTGTCGACCGTGGCGGTTGATCTGTGTTCATTTACCGGTTTCCCCTCCCCTCATGTCCAATTCCCCGTGTCCAGCGTCAGCTGGTCTTTCTTGTGAATAGTATTGTCATGATTCCCCGTTCATATGTCCGCACACACTTTTCTCTTGTCTGCCATGATGGCTTGTTCTCGGAGTTGCCTTAACGATTGATCAATGCTTGGTTTTGGATCCATGTATTTTCTTGCTCTGTAGCCAATGTACGAGCTGTCTTATCTATTTAGCATGTGGGTTCCACGTAATGCCTAGAGAAACAATTTGCTAGCACCCTGCTGTAGATGGATGACCCGATCAGCTGGGCGATCACATGACCAATCGCCAACCGTGCCCTACCGAACCAATCAGACGACCGAACCGGAGTCGAGCAAACTCCGTTGGCACCTGAGGCAGCTGATCGGCCGTCTCCACCTTAATCCGTTTCGAGGCAGTCAGGCCGGCAGGTACTTGGCAGGTTGGTAGGGCTCCCAGGTTTGGGAAGTATCAGGCATATCCATAGACCTCACTCATTTTCCTCTTTCATCGTTCATACCCTACCCCTCAGGCATCTTCACAGGTACACACCACTACCTCATATATTTTCACTCTACCCACTCCCTCCGATCCGGACCGCTGGCCAGGTTCTGGACCTAGTTACCCGCGCCCGCCTTCATCTCTGCCCCGCGCCGGTGTCAGACGTCATACACCTATCTCCATTGCACACGACCCCCGAAAGAATTTGTCTGGCGCCAGGGAAGTTGAGACCTCACAACCAGGTCATTAGCAACTCGCTCCGAGAGCGTCCTGTACAGTCATGTTCGCTACTAAGCGGTTGGGCAAGGTAAGTCGAGTCTACCTCACTCACTATAACACCGCAATTGAGTTGGGATCTGTGGCTAACGGAATGTTGTCGATGTTAGGAGCTCCTTAAGGTATATACATATATTCTTATAACTCCCTGATATTTTTCCTCGCATTCTTATTCACCAGGCGCCACACGCGTCACTCATATCCATTCCCTCGAAGTCTGCCGTGGTATAGACGGTTCGTCGGTGGAATATCGAGAGCTAATGTTGCTTCGTTGGACAGATGAAAGAGCACCTTCCACCCGGGATTACAATCGCCAAGTCGGAAAATTTAGAAGAGTGGCATATGGATCTTCAAGTGCTGGATGATAATCCGCTGTATCAGGACCAAACCTACAGACTCAAGTTCACCTTTGGGTCGAAATACCCGATAGGTATGTACTCTCTTTCCCACCCCGCCCTCATCTCCCCAACCATTCAAGACAAGACACATCTCATACACACCTCAATAAGTGACACCTTGTCTAACCCTCAAACCAATCATGATAGAACCCCCAGAAGTCCAATTCATCGAAAGCCCCAACACCCCCTCCACCCCCCGCCCGATCCCTATCCACCCCCACATCTACAGCAACGGAATCATCTGCCTCGACCTTCTCAGCTCCGCCGGCTGGTCCCCCGTGCAAACAGTCGAAAGCGTCTGCGTCAGCATCCAGAGCATGCTAACGGCCAATACGCGCAATGAGCGACCACCCGGTGATAGCGACTTCGTCTCGTATAACCGGCGGAGACCGCGCGATATCAACTTCTTCTATGATGACGATAATGTTTGATATATAGCGCTCTGGCAGATGTTGGTGGTGTCGTCATAGCTTGCTTGGAATGGGACAGACTCGTGGAAGATGGAGGGAGTTGAGAGAGAGCACCGTCCCAGGGTGTGGTTATACGCCGGTTTTCTTTCGGGGGACAGACAGGGGGTATCCTCGATAGAAAGGAGGAAGGAGAGCATGGTCTCGTTCTTTTGGTTCGCTTGTTGGTACCTACCCCTCCCCACTCTTCAATCAATGCATTGGTATAGGCGCAAGTCCTTTCCGGGAGTTCTCATGGCTGGGTTGATGGTGGACTTCCTATTTATCATTATCATCATCATTATCACCATTGTTATTATCCTTGTTTTTAAACCCTCTTCCGTTGTGACTTATCATCTACATACCTACCTAGAATATCATGCACATGGTTACTGAGTATTGATCTACCTTGGTCGCTTTTCTTATGGAGTAGGATGACTTCATGGAGATAACTATATATAGAGATAGCGTTATAGAGAAGACTGTATAGAGATAGCTTGATGGTAAAGAGTATGAGCTGATTATATATACCACCCTGATGTATACTTTCCCAATACATGGTAACACTGTAGTATACAGAAACTTCGGTCCCTACAAACGTTACCACTACTATCCTTTTATTCCAGCATTATATAAGATAAACCCAAGAAACAAGGCAATAACCAAAAGAATTTTCCCTACTAAGACATGATATTGATTTGTAGTCGCGGAATCTCATCAGTGTCACTATACACAGGGGTCGGGTCGGGTCGATCACAACAAGAGAGGTAAAAAAGGAGATGTAGCGTAGTAGAAGTAGTAGTGTAGTGAAGTGTAGTAGCAGTGAATAGGTCAATGACGACAGATGAAAAACACACGCAACAAAGGGGAGGAAAAAGAAAAAAGTAAACAGGTAAATAGTCAAAGAAAAGGTTCAACATGAACAACGCCATTAGAAGGAATTGATTGATTGGTACAGTTGGTTAGCCACACACTTGTCCTGGTTCACCCACACTCACTAGGGCCAATTGAGAAATGAATCTTTTTTTGGCCCCGGATTGTCTTTTAGGTTTCTTTTCTATGGTTGCTTTTTCGTAATCCTTTTATATGTTTGTTGCGTTGACGAATTGGCTGTGTGGAGTTCAGGTTACAGGGTGTGGTTATTGCTGGTTGATGGTCATGGCGTTACGGCTCTACCGGTCGACTTCACCGAACACAAGATCCATCGTACCTGAGGTTATTCAATTAGTGTGGGTTCAGTAGACATGGAAAAGGATATTGTCTCACCAATAATAGCAACAGCATCTGCCAAAAGATGGCCACGCGAGACCTGATCGAATCCACCCAAGTGGGCGAAACCAGGGGCACGGATCTTGCAGCGGTAGGGTCTCTCGGTGCCGTCACTGACCAGGAAGACAGCCATCTCACCCTTGGGGGCTTCAATGGCGGAGTAGGTCTCTCCAGGGGGCACGGAGTAACCCTTGGTGAACAGAAGGAAGTGGTGGATCAGAGCCTCCATGTTCTCCTTCATGGCAGCGCGGGGCGGCGGGGAGATCTTGTAGTCCTCCACGCGGACAGGGCCAGCCGGCATGTCGTTCAGGCACTGGTGGATGATGCGGAGCGACTGACGGAACTCCTCCATACGGCAGAGGTACCGGTCGTAGCAGTCACCGTTGACACCGACGGGGACGTCGAAGTCGACCTTGTCGTAGGCATCGTAGGGCTGGGACTTACGGATATCCCACGGGACACCAGAGCCACGCAGCATGACACCGGTGAAACTCATGTTCAGGGCGTCCTCGGCGTTGACGACACCAACACCCTGGGTTCTGGCCTTCCAGATCCGGTTATCCGTGAGCAGCTCTTCGGTCTCGTCGATGCGGTCACCGAATTGCGTGGCCCACTGGTAGATGTCGTCCAAGAGACCGATAGGGATATCCTGGGACACACCACCGGGGCGGACGTAGGCGGAATGGAGACGGGCACCGGACACACGCTCGTAGAACTCCTACATAAACACCCTCGGTTAATTATCTTGCCATCGACCAAAGGTTGGAATGTAAAATTGCACGCACCATAAGCTTCTCACGCTCCTCGAAACCCCACAGGAACGGAGTCAGAGCACCAACATCCATCGCGTGGGACAGGACGGACATCAGGTGGTTCAGGATACGTGTGATCTCACCGAACAGCGTCCGGATGTACTTGGCACGCTCCGGGATCTCGACGTTCAGCAACTTCTCAACGGCCAGCGCAAAGCACTGCTCGTTCGTCATCATGGAAACGTAATCCAATCGGTCGAAGTAAGGCAGGGCCTGCATGTAGGTCTTGTATTCGATCAACTTCTCGGTACCACGGTGAAGCAGACCGACGTGGGGGTCCGCGCGGACAATCTCCTCGCCATTGAGCTCCAGAATCAACCGAAGCACACCGTGAGCAGCCGGATGCTGGGGTCCGAAGTTGACCGTGTAGTGACGGATCTTCCGGTCGATCCCTTCGGCTTCGGACTCGAGGCCGGACGCCTCACCCGGCTCCTCCGAGACCCCCTTGTTGGCGAAATGTGTGAAGCTGGGATCCGTCGGGACCAGGCGGGTGGCCTGGTAGCTGGTGGGCTCGGCATGGTGACGAGGGAGGGAGGTCGCTATCGAACGGGATCTGGGAATAGCGGTGCTTCTGGTGACCGTGGAGGGGCGGAGACAGAGCCTTTTGGGCGCATTGCCCGCCAGGCGAGTAAAGGGAGCAGCCATCCGGGAGAGAGGAGAGTAGATTAAGCGGTAAAATGAAGGCTGACTGTCCTCGGGCCGGACGCAATTGAAGGGTAGACACGCGGGCGGAAATGGGGTTGATGCGGACTGACGCTTGGAGGTTGCGCTGAGATGCAATTTGGTCGGTCACGTGATGCGCGCCTATGGTCATCATGCCGCCTCTGGTTGGCCTTTTGGGCCGCTGGCTAAACCGCACCCAGACTAGCCTGTTCTGCTGCTGTTTCTGCCGGGACGCAGCTGCTCCCTCACCCAGTCCGCCGCCCTAGTCGGTGCAGAATAAATGGGCCCCCCGGGGTGCCTGAGGCACGACAGAAATATACTGCCGCTTTTCCCTCCAGAACTTTTTTTACATTTTTCTCCAGTATCGCCAATCCCCTCACCGTCCCCTCCACATATCAGGTCAACACCATGGCGCCGTTGGTTCCTTCGCAGGCGGAGCTCGATCGCAGACGGGTATGATTTTTTTCTGTCTTTCTCTTCCTTGTCCTATTACAGCTATTAACCAGATTCCAGATCGTCGACATCAACCCTGAAACGGTCTCCAATATCCCCTCTACAGACTTCCCAGGTCACTGGCCCGGTGAGTCGCACGAGTGGTCCTTGGACAAGTTCAGAGAAGTATGTTTCCCTTTCTTCTGTTGTATTCCCATTTCTTGGCTCTAACAGATATCCATTGACAGGGCTTCAACGTCGATTTCCACAACAATGAGCAGTTCGAATCCTCTTTTTCCCTCGTCGGACTCGACGCTTCGATCGCCAATGCCTTCCGTCGCATTTTGATGGCTGAAGTCCCGTCCGTCGCCATTGAATATGTTTTCGTTCACAACAACACCTCCGTGATTCAAGATGAGGTCCTCGCCTCGCGACTGGGTCTGATTCCCTTCAAGGGTTCCGTTGAAGGCATCAACTGGATGCGCTGGTTCAAGAAGCCCACCGACGATGATCCCGAGAGCGGCAGCACGCCCAGTGATTACAACACTATTGTGTTGCGCCTGGATATCGAGTGCACCAAGAACCCCAACGCTGCGCCCAACGAGGATGATCCCCGCAAACTGTACAAGAACGCCCACATCTACGCCAAAGACATCACGTTCCACCCCGTCGGTCGTCAGGAGCAGTTCTTCATCGGCGAGGACGCCATCCAACCGGTCAACCCCGATATCCTCGTCGCCAAACTGCGCCCCGGTCAGAAAATCGATATGGAATTGCACTGCGTCAAGGGCATTGGCGCCGACCACGCTAAATTCTCGCCCGTCGCGACCGCCACCTACCGTCTGATGCCTGATATCCAAATCCTGCGCCCGATCATCGGCGACGACGCCAAGAAATTCGCCAAGTGCTTCCCCCACGGCGTCATCGGCCTCGAGCCTGTAACCCGGCAGGAGGCAGCGAAGAAGGGCAGCGGATACGAAGGCCACGAAGGCGAGACGAAGGCTGTTGTCCGCGACCCGTTCAACGACACCGTCAGCAGAGAGTGTCTCCGGCACGAGGAGTTCCAGGGCAAGGTGAAGCTCGGCCGCGTTCGTGACCACTTCATCTTCAACGTCGAGAGCACCGGCCAGTTCGACAGCGACACCTTGTTCCTGGAGAGCGTGAAGGTCCTGAAGCTCAAGTGCGCCCGGTGGAAGCGCGGTCTGATGGACCTGACCCGGTGAACTTTTGTTTTTCGCACGAACTGCTCCGAAGCTACTTAATGCATTTGCTGGCGTTGGATTGCGTTGCCTTGCTTTCTTAATGTTGTACATTTACGAAAAAGTTGGTTAGAACCTACACTGCCAGAGTTTAATCCACGGCAGATCTATATGTTATAGAAAAAAAAGCAGACATGACTTTCAATTGATCAGTGTCTAGTCGTAGGGAAATAACAATAAAAATCGTAATGCATATATATCTCATTCGAGCCACAACAAGCGCATTAACTGAAAATCAACCGGTATCGAAAGTCAATGACATACGCAGGGTCACTAACAGCAATCTCCTGACCATCCTGGACAAGCTCCCGAAGCTTACGCTTGAGATTAGATCTAGTCTGCTCCTCCAGCTGGGGCGGGAAACGCTGGTAGAGCGTCTTCTCCTCGGTTCGCATGCTGGGCTTCTTCAGCTGGGCTTCAGGGCGTTCACCCAGCGTCTCGATAAAGACCTCCAGCGTCATATCGGGGTCGACGGTCATCTTGCGGGCGAGGTTCCCACAAACAGGACAGTCGGCCTTCTTCTCCGCCTCGAAGGTATAAGTGTAGACGCCGTCCTCGCCTGCGTACATCATGTAGTTCTCGAGGTAGGGGTTGCAGGAGGTAGCGATCTTCAGTGCTTCGGAGGTGGTAGCGGCCGCGATGACAGCGTTGGTGGAGGCGATGGCGGGGATGATGTTTTTCACTACACCCTGGGCCATTTGGAAGGTGATGCCTGAGATGTTGAATTGCTTTGCTCGCTCGAGGGCGGTCTGGTAGACCCAGCCGATGTGCTCCATGTCGTCGCTGTCAAAGGGCTCGTCCTTGCGCTGCTCCTGCCAGGCAATCTGGTGGGCCCATTCGATGCAGTGCTGAGGCTGGCGGGGGATGGTGGCGATGGTGCAGAGTGGGACAGCTGGTCGAGGCGCATGCATGTCGAGTTGGCACTCAATGCAGGAGGACAGGGTGGGGAGGATCACACGAGCCTGTCCTTTGAAGCCTGTGTATAATTAGCATGTGCTGCATCACTGGTGCTTCGCTCGTTGAAGGAGGGGGCGTACCCTCAGTCCCGCCATCAATGAGCGGCTTGAGACTCTCCGGGTTGTCAAAATCGACCATTGAAATCAGGGTAGAGTTGATCCAGCGCCGAGCTTCGATACTGTCAAGACCGCAGACGACGAGCTTGAACTGCATGTAGTAGTCCTCGTCTTTGTCTTGGATCTTTCCCACGTAGGGCGTGATCTTGACACCTTTGACGCGTTTCTCTACGAAAGCGGCGGCGACTTCTGCCTTGGGCTTCCCTATGTCCGCTTGGCGAAACAGGAATTGGCGGTTCAGGTTGGATATGTCGATGGTATCTATTCGAGTTAGATAGTGTAGTGGTAAGTTGTTCAGGCGACTTACCCATATCGATGACATGGATGTCTTTGAAGCCTGATAAGGCCAGGTTCTTTAGAATGTCACATCCTAGTCCACCTGCGCCTCTATTTCCACAATCATTAGTGCTCCCATATGGTGAAAGCGGAGATCTTTGAATACTAACATTACACTGTATTCATATTAGCAACTTAGTCTATAGCATCTGCGTGGAACACATACAGGACTTTGGAAGACTCCAGAGCGCTTATCGTTTCTGAACCAGGGACCCAGTCTTCGTCACTGAACGGACCAGGTTTAGACAGAGCCTTGTACAGGTATTTCCTAGAAGCATGTGAGAATCAACGGCTACATCAATCTTACGCGGAGAGCTCACCATCGTGTCGCAGAGTCTGCAGAAGCCATCTTCAAGAAGTAGACGTTGGGTTGTTGGGTAACAGAGGTGGTACTATTGACTGCGGAGCTCTTCTGTGACTGAGTTAACCGTTCAGATCCAGAATGATTTTAGATCCGTGCCGCTTTTACTTTAACAGTAGCACTTGTCTAGATCATGATATCAGCACAAGATATATACTCTTTTTCAGTCTCAGATACTGGGGTACTCCAGGAGCGATCGAGCGCAGTCTTGATTCATCCAGATCGGCCTCTGACCGCCTGGGGTTCGGCTATATGGTCATCTGACCCCGCGGTCAAGTACAAGCGATCTACGACCGGAATACATCACTTCTAAACAGGCGTTTCCTTGATATGGTGTAAATTTTTTGATGCTTGAAGCATCCTTGCTTAGTTACCTAGTCTACCAAATCATTGATCGATACAAATTAAGACATATAGTGGAATATGAGCCAAACATACGCTGCCGCACGTGATTCGTCGGCTCCGTTCAATTTCCCTCTCCGATAGCAAAGCTCAAGCTTTCAACCCTCATATACGTCAAACATAAAATGCACCTTCGATAATATGGACGGTCTTCTCACGGAAGTCAAGACGGCTACCCACGGCCAGCAGTCACCCCTGACAAGCGCTACGGAGACATCGCGTCGCCTTGACGTGGGGACAGGCGAACTCAGCCATGCGGCGGAGCCCGACACAGATCCTACATCGTCAGAGTACATCCTAGCGACTCTGCGGGCCAAGCCAGACCAAAGCGATCTTTCTGCAATTCTTACCACCATAGACCCATCGAATCAAAGATCGACACCGAAAGACTTCGACATCAGGCTCCCCAGTCCAACAACAGCCCAGATTCTCAATGTCTTAGTCAGCACCACGATTCCTGATCACTGGGAAGCTCTCAATGGAGCATCCAAAGGATCGAAGAGCAAAGATGCCAAGCTTCGAGCAGCCGTGTTGAGATGTCTGAGCAGTGTTGCAGGTATCAGCGGCTTAGTGACGAGCCTCCGTTCGCTCATTGCTGCCAGTCGTGCGTCATCCCAGCAAACAGGCGGATCGGCATCGCAAGTTCAGATCCAGATCATTCTGAGCGTTTTGTCCGCGCTGTTCGAACCAAAGGACTTTATATTGCGACTGTATGCGGATATTGAAACCCTTTATGATAGCCCAACTCGAAAGCAAGTAGTGTGGCGTGAGCTACTCTCTTTGCTTGCTGCTGGTCGAGTCCTCTCGATAGCGGCGGAAGCGCTCACCTTGGTTGGGGACAGTCCCGATCTTAAGAAGATCTCCTGGATTGGGACAGGATCTCGCTATGCTTCGTGGCTAGGGGTTAATGTCTGTTACATGACTTCGAAGACTGATGTTGCTAGCGAGGACGCGTGGAAGGCTATGGCCTCTTTGGCTGGACGGGCGTTGAGCCTGGGCTACACTGGTAAGAGATTGCTCCGGATCAGCGTAATACAAATGCTAATTCTTAGTCTAGATAACGTAGTGGACGAAATATACTCGGGGCTTCTCATTGAGCAGGATCTCCCAGCGCAGTATGGCTCGCTTTTCGACCATCTTCGATCCACAGAACAAATTGCAGTCCTGGAAGCTACCTTTCGCTGCGTCGAAAAGAAGTATATACCCGACAGACTGTCGTCGGATGAGCAGGACAGCACACCGTCTAAACTAGTCGGAGATATTGCAGCATTGTGTTCCGTCCTTATACACAACCGAGCTCATCTACAGTCTCAACTTACAGAGTGGCTTTCCAAGGGTCAGGGAGGGTCTATACGCACTTTTGGACTGCGTCGAGCATTGCTGGCCAATATGGTAGACAAACCAGGTAACTAATGTCAACTCATGCTAATATGATTTCTTGTTAACACAACTGCAGAATCGTTACAAACTTTACTCATCAAAAGCCTTGAACAATCCGGTGACAAGTTCTATATCAAGCAGGCCCCCATGATGAACCAAGAAGGTTTGTTGTCTCTTGCTCTAAATGTATACACTCTAATAATTTCCAGCAAACACACAAATCATTCTACTAGCAGCTGGACATCTCCAGCGGGTTGAACCACTGATGGTCATGGCAGCTGGTCGCTCAGGCGCTTTCCTCAATGCCGTTTCCAACCGTCTAGCTGCCTCTTCGACCCGTGCTCGATTCCTAGGCATGATAATCGGCACTGCCATCTCAAAGCTCATCGAGCCCGCGGGCAAAGGGATGAGATTTGACTTGGAAGAGATGGAAAGTGAGGAAGCTACGTGGTATCTCTCTTTACCTGAGATTGTGGACACCATCGGTTCAGTCGAATCTTTGAAATCTGAAAAGCACGCATTCAAGTCGCAACATAAACCGGTCGAGAGACTGTCTTCCCCGTCGATGCCTAAACCCGGACAGAATGCCGACTCGGGACGCACCAAGATCATATCGATAGAAGAGATTGAGTCGGATGGCGAGAGCGAAGATGAAGATGACGATCTACTCCCGTACGAAAAACCGGATGAAGATCCTTCAGACTCAGATGAGGACCCGACATTGGTACAACGGAACAAACCAACTGCGCCAGTGTAAGTTGAACTAAATTCTCATACCCCCCAATATGATCTAACACCCTCTATCATCAGTTACATCCGAGACCTCATCACCTACCTCCGCGACACCGAAAACATCGAACGCCACAACCTAGCAGTAACGACAGCGCCCTCCCTAATCCGGCGCAAGACCAACTTCGGCACAGAGCTCGCAGAAAACACCGAAGAACTAGCCCTACTCCTAATCGGCCTCCAAGAGCAAAGCAAGCACACCAATTTCCACGAACGCCGCCTCCAAAGCATGATCGCCCTGATCGTCTCGCAACCGCTGAAAATGGGCCGCTGGTTCTCCGCCATCCTCTTCGACGGCGACCTCTCCCAAGTCCAACGCTCCGCAGTCCTCACAGCCCTGGGTCTCGCAGTGCGAGAACTAGCTGGAAACGGCGAGCAAGACGCTCGCATGCTGGGCCTGCCTACACTCCCCGACACGTCGTTTCCCTCCAAAAAGCTGCCCGCTAGTGTGGAAGCCTGGTACGGGAGCGATAAATCGCCCATCGACAGCCTCACGCAGAAGATCTCGCAGACCTCGCTCCAGCCACTCGCTGCGCACGCAGCGGACGCCATGTCCGGGCCAAACGCGCTCAAGGTGCGCACGTTCTCGAGCAAAATGGAGGTCGACAAGAGACGCCAGCAGCGCGAGGAGCAGCGACAGAAAGCTACCGTTAAGGATCTGTATAAGGTCCTCGCGGAGGGGTTCTTCTACCCACTCAAGGGCCGGTTCGAGATTATGCTCGTGCAATTCTCCTCGTAAGCACCACCCACCCACCCCATGCACATTAATCCCCGAAATAAACAATTCAAGAAAGAAAAAGGAAAGTTCTATACTAACAACAACCAGCTCAACCGCCCCCAGCTACAACCCTCTCTTCACACCCCACATCCTAACCCTCTACCTCCAAACGCTCACCCTAACACTCTCAACAATGGGCCCACACACCCCCTACCTACAAGCCCTCACAAACGACACCCTCTCACTTCTCCTCTCGCTCCACACCCGTCCCATCGTCGACGACCCATCCATCCTCTCCGCATTACTGGCACTCTTCCTCGCCATCACGGACCTGAACATCGCGGCCGGCTCCACCGGCGAAGAGAGACTGGTTACGGAGTTTGCGACGCAGGTGGTTGAGTTGCGGGACTGGGCGGGGCAGATTTTTGAGAGGATGCCTGCTGGTGGGGTGGGGGGTGATGAGGCAAGGGATAGGTTGCGGACGCTGGCGGCGGGGTTATGGTTAGGCTTGGGGAGGTTATGGAGAGGTATCAGGGGCGGTTGATGGGGGTCAATTCGGGGTTTAGATATTGATTGTTTATTGGGGTGGTTGGTGGTGTGGTCTGAATGGTTCTCTCTGTCTCTGTGTGTGTCTCAGTGATAGTACAGTAGTCAGTACTTGGAGACGAATACAGATAGAAATGTAGACATGAGTCATGAGTTCATATCATTAAGTACCAGTATGTTGATCTAAGTGGAAAGCACTCGTAATACACAGCTTAGAATATACCGCGTTTCCCTTACTCAGTCTTCGCAAAGTTCCCCCTCTCGATAGCCGCATCCATCATCCGATCCCCATTAATCAAGCTCGTCGTGCAAATGACTATCTTCCTTCGCGGCGCCTCCTGCGCAGCAATAAAGCGCAACGCCGCGATCTCAGTAAAGGTAATGCCACCCAGGAAAAACACATACACGGTTTTAGTAGCGTTATTCCCACTCAGCGTCTGACGCGCACGGACAGCCTGATCGTCGCCCTTTTGGACAATGCTAAACGTGGCGCCGCGGGCGTTCTTAACCAGGTCTTCGAAGCCGAGCCAGCCGGGCGAGGCGATGCTCGCTGGGCTGGGAGTCGTCGTGGTGGAGCCGCCGCGGATGAGGGAGAGGGTGTATTGTTTTTGCAGGACGCACTGGACGAGGCGGATGCTGAGCGGGGCGAAGCCGCTGTAGACGTAGGCGACGTCGGAGGGGTCCTTCTCGCTGACTTCTTCGACGACGAGGCGGAGGTTCTTCCGGAGGTAGTTGTAGTTGGTTCTGGTGCCGGTCTGGGCGCCTGTCGCGGGGAGGAGCATGGTGGTTGTGGAGGAGCGAGGCTGTAGAAGCTCCATTTTCTCCAGGGCGTGAAAGGTTAGTAGATGTTGGTAGCCGTAGGCTTGGACGATTTGGCGCTTGAAGTTCTCCAGTTCGCGCGGGCGCAGGCCGCCGGACATGCATGACTCCAGACATAGGAGGCGGAGGACGGATTTCAGGGGAACGTCGCGGGAAATGAGCTCCTCGACGGCTTCGTGGTGGTATGTCGGGTCTGCGCCCGCGGCGTTGTTCTGCTGGACTTCGAGAATCTTGCGGAAGATGTCCGATCTGGTGTTTCTCATTATCTCCTCGGCGAGGTTGGTGTGTACTCGGAGACTTTGATGCTCCAGTTGGTAGGTGGGTAACTTGTTGACGAAATCGCGGAGCTCCGACGTGGTCTTGGCCGAATGGCGGGTTTCATACTCTGTCTCTAGACGGCGAGCCACTTTATTCAGGATGTCTCCGACGATGGCGAAGTTTGCGTCGCGAAGTTGACTGAAGAGCTGGTCCGAGGCATCGAGCTGGATTTTGCGCTTTTGCCCTTGTTTTGATGTCTGTTGTGGGGCTTTGGAGGATTCCTGTGCTTGCGGTACTGGGGTTGGTCCGACTATGGAGGTATCCACGTCGGCCTGGTTGTGCTTGATTCCCACGGTTTCATCGATGAGGCCTTCGTAAGTAAGTTGCGTGAGCAGCGCACTGCCGAAGTCGACGTCTCGGTCGATGATGACCAGACTCTCGACGCTTGCACTGGGCAAAATCCCCCGTATCGAGTGATCGGTCAGCCCGGAGCTCTCTTCAGCGTCCAGCTCTTTGCGCATGCGCAGGAGAAGATCAGCCAATCGCCGTGCGTTGTCGCCCTTTCCGACGATGCGCGGGATATAACCATGTCGCCGTTGGATGTCCATGAGTGCCTTGGCGGCAAGGAACACACTGCCTGGATCCTTGTGCTGGAGATCTGTGCATTAATATGGATGATATCTACACGCTGCAGCGGGTTTCTTACCAGATACAAGTCACTGAAGGAGTCTTCCAGCTCCAATGACAAGACATCCTGCTCCAGGGGCACAAAGTACAAGGGCAATTCAGCGACGTTGACATCACCGATGATGCCCTTCTCTTCCAGGACCGAGTTGCTTACAAGGGTCCGCCTCGGAACCCAGAAGATGGAGAATTCATGTTCGACATTGCTGTTGCGCTGTAGACGCTGGATCTGGTCTAGAGAGATGTTAGCCCATACTGATGGCACTCAATTCGACGGGAAGAGAAAGAAGGCCAATGAATGAGCTGGTTTCAACATTTGGTTTGAAACGACAGGTTGATGTAGGGAACTCGACTGACTACGTAGAGTAGGGTTGCGTCTGCGTGATCTATTGTTTGTCCCAGTTGTATAGTGCAAGCTCATCCCATCACACACCACCGGCCAAATCTACTAGACAATACTGAAAAAAACATACCTGCCACTATCCGCACCTGGTGGATCTTCTCCGCATGGGCTATGAATACGACATTCCGTTGGGAGGAGTCCACGTTGGCATTTTCCAGGAGAAACACGCGGTCTACACCGTACTCTTGGAGCAGCGAGAACTTGACAAAGAGACCGATCGGACCAGCCAGATCCTGGCCAATGACCAAGTTCTTCTTTCCCCGCACCTGCACCGAAAGGAAATCATTCAGCTTGGGGACGATGCGATGGTGGGAATCGACGTCATGTGGAGCGACTCACGCCTTCAAGGAGAGTCAATAGATCCCTACGCGTCTTGTCTTTGAGATAATCCGCGTCTGACAGAGATCCTGGGTACGGCGCCATCGCTGCCTAAAGCATTCCGGTACAACGGGAAAGAGATGGACCAGACCAAGGTAATCTGACGGATGAGATGTGGTTATTTTTGGGACTGACACTCTTTGAATCTCCCCAAGAAGTCCGAAGGCGGCCGTGTTTGCGGTGACGGTTCCGAGCTAGGCCCGATCTAGGTTAGACCGATCGACACCGCCACCACTGGTATCATTACATTGTATTACACTGTTACGGTCTTTTTATACCTCTTTTATATCTACTATAGCATCTATAATTCTTTATTGTATATATATATATGTGTGTGTCTATCTATCTATATATATGGAAATCAATAGACAGAATAGATAGGTATCTTATTCTTTATCTTATATCATATATATTTATACCAATCGTAAGTATTATGATATTATCTCTGATTCATGTAAATTAAGACCCAAATAGGAGTAATTACAATACACCCCGCCACTGTCTGGTCTCGACCGAACAGGCAGCTCTTCCCCGACTGACCCTCCATTCTTATTCTTAATTTATCTCCTGAGCGCTTGGTTTCACTTCGTTCTCATCACTGTTTCACTCTTCATCTTCATTAAGAATTTTCATCTTCATCCTTTTCTCCTTTCTTTGTATTCTCACCATATACCCATTATCATTCGACCATTCTTGACTTCTTCCCCTTTTGCTTACCCAGATACCCACCTAGACTTATTCTCACTTCTACCGCTTTCACCAACATGGGCCTCTTCAAGAAGTCCGACGACGGAGACGATGACTCGGGCCGTCGAGCCCTCTTTGGCTCTCGCTCCAAGAACAAGAGCCCTGCCCCTCCCGCGAACCCCTACGCCAAACCCATCCCCATCGATCCGTACACCCGAGCCAAGATGTATACCGGTGTCGCCGCTCTTCCCGCCGATGAGAAACAGCTTGGTGCCAACAACCTGAAGTCGTCGATCAGTGCCCCTTCGCCTGGACCACCCGCTGGTGGGGACATCCCCGGCGACAACAAGTCTCAAGCGGGCGGCTATGCGCCGAATAGCTATGGCAACCAGGGCGGATATGGCGGCAACCAGTACGGTGGCGGTGCGTCATCGGCCTCGAAATACGGACCCGGCGGTTACGGAGGCTTGGGCGCCGTCGACCCCAACGACCCCGGCGCGGGCGATTCCAACCGAGACGCACTTTTTGGCGGTGCCCGGGAGCGCGTACAGCAGCAACAGCCGAATGGCGGAGGTCCTCCGCCCCCATACACCGAGGGCTCTCCCGCCTACGGGGGCGGCAGCAATGCGTACAGCACATCCACCTACCAGGAAAGAACCATGACGGCGGAGGAGGAGGAAGAGGAGGAGATTCAGACCGTCAAGCAGGACATTCGGTTTATCAAGCAGGGCGATGTGGCCTCGACTCGCAACGCCTTGCGGGTGGCCGCGCAGGCTGAAGAGACCGGACGGGAGACTCTCGCCCGTCTCGGTGCCCAGGGAGAGCGCATCCACGATACGGAGAAGAACCTCGACATTGCGACGGTTGAGGGTCGGATCGCGGAAGAGAAGGCTAAAGAGCTGAAGACGCTGAATAAGAGCATGTTCGCCGTGCACGTGGCGAACCCGTTCACCAGTGCCCGACGCCGACGTGACCGGGACGAGAAGATCTTGAACACCCACCGGGAGGAACGAGATCTTCGAGATGGAACCCGGAAGGAAGCATTCAACACCGGCCAGCGGATGGAGCGAACATTCCGGGACATTGACAAGGAGGCGGGCAAGCCGCAGACCCGCAAGCGCACCAACGTCACCGAGCGCGCCAAGTACCAGTTCGAGGCGGACAGCGATGACGAACGGATGGAGGATGAGATCGAGCAGAACTTGGATTTGCTGGGCGGCGCAGCCGGCCGATTGAACGGATTGGCTCGCGCTACTGGCAAGGAGCTGGACGAGCAGAACCGCAACCTGGGACGCATCACGGGCAAGGTGAGTCTTTACTTCCTCATCCCATTGATATATGATCTGTATGCTAACTCTCTGGTAGAGCGACTACGTCGACGACCAGATCGCCATGAACCGGGCCAAGCTGGACCGGATTCGTTAAGCCCTCTACAGCCGAGTCCGCATATGGATTGGATTGGTCATGGAAGGAGTCGGGTTGCGGACTGCCTGGTGCTGTCAAACCCTTGCCGCGTTGTGGCTCTCATTATACTGTGCATAATTGTTCTACTGTCACATTTGGGCGTCTTAATTTTTTTCCCACTTATAATAAAACTCTGCTATTATTCTTGCGGGGGTAGTAATCTTGGGGTAATAGAATACGTGTGCTACTATATTTTATCGCTTTATTGTCAACTCCTCATAGCTTTCAGCCATACAAACTCTGCTGTGTCCCTGCTTCAAGCTCTTCCCCATCGCGGATCACGTGCCATATATCTGAACTCAGGCCCTCACATCTGTCTGTCCATTCGCCCTCGCAACGACAGTGTATACCGAGTATCATCATGTCACGCTAGTTCATAAAGTCGGAAAATAAAGATGATCTAACCCATCTCTTGTTTGCCGCATATCCCACGATCAGACCGCTGTGTGTCATTGCCGTGTAACTGCAATACCTTGATGTACATGAGTCCTATACTCAGTCGGGGATGCAGGTAGCACAAACCGAACGAAGCGGACTATGATGTCAACCCCACAGGGGGGGTCCTCCACATTCCTGCAGTACTGCAGCCTTACGGTTGTAGCAGATCTGCCGAAGGGATGAATGAATTTCTATATCGTGTTTCATGTTCTCATTTGAACATTCGCGGAAGAATATACCGCAATATATGACGGTTAGTCATTACTATTGAACCATAGAATTCCTGCTGACATTTTTAGGCTTTGTAGTTAACCCTAACTTTCACTGTGGCAGCAATTATATTTGCTTCCTTATAATATTAAACACGTATCAGCCAGTCTTTCTATTTCAAACATCCTAGCTTCTCAGGGTTTTCGATTTACTGAGTCATGGAATTGGTTTCGGCATAATCCGGTTTTGCATTTGCGCCAGAATGCTGTTCTTTTTGAAGGAAACCGGGGGGGGGGAGGGGGGGGGGCTACATAATTCAGTGTCTATATGTACGTGCCCTAATGCTTGATATCGCTCGATATGATCGTCCCAACCACGAACATCGTCTTAGAAAAGTAGAAAAATAAATGCTACGAGGCAGCTAGATCATCGTTAAGAGCTCACAAAAGGTATTTCCTCCATCCATGACTTTTCAATATTCTCAGTAAAAGCCCGGGAGGACTCATCGGCGCCTTATAACTACCACATCCAACTCCCCTCTGTTCAGATCCCATCCAAATCAATTCGAGTTTCACAAGTTTCTCTTTGGCAGTTCCGAGTTGCCCGTACAACAATCGTCCACCATGAAGTTGAACCTTCGTTGTCGCAGCAGCGCTCTCAAGCGTCGTGGTCGGGATACCTGTGGGCGAAAACCCTGTGGCTAGAAGAGAAAACGGTGGCAGTGAGTTTCCCTTTTTCCCTTCACTAGAGCCAGAGACTTGTACAGCTACAATCCCTCTATCCTAGTGTAAAGACAACTGGCCAGCTGAGTGTATCTCGCCATGAACTTCAAGCTGAACAATCACCGAGCAGACCAGCATGTTGACTTTGGGAAATTTGAGGTGAAGTGCAAATAATATTCCATATTATCATCTTCACATGTGTGTTTCTAATCATAATATGTGGTCGGCATGTTTGGGTAGCGGCTAATACAATATAATATAAAGTGGTTCGTCAACTACTAAGGTGCCTGGATATATATCGGGAGCGGAACAAGCCCACTCGGACATTGAATGGGGGCTGAGCGGATCCTAGAAAGGAAAAGAACAGGTGAATGACAATAGTATGCTCTTATCAAAGAAGGCATTCTGACAATCGTCCTCGGAGCAGATCCTCCTCTGTCCTCAGTCCTCTAAGTCATGAAATCTGGGGTGGTAATATTGTGGAGTAGACTGAGACTATATAGGCGGCTTGATAGACAGACCCAGACGAAACTAGTCATCTTTGGAGCACCACGAGCAATTAAGCATAAAACGATAACAGTATTAAGTAACAAAATGAAAATAAACCAGACTCAACGTCAATCGTAACCACAAGTGCTTGGCGGGGGATACATAATCTAGACGAGCTCGTATTTCCCACCCCCAGGATGGATCCACCAGGGCGTCCTGAGGAAGAAGAAATTGGGACCTAATATAACATCATATAATACCGGACTAGGCATACCAACCCGTCAGTTTGTCATTCACAGACACACTTCAACTCAACAACCAAACCTACCAGACCCGAAAAGCATGAACCCATCAACCCTCCACCACCTAACCACCACCCCATTGGGCCACCCTCCAGCACGCCTACGGCCCAGCCACCGACCTCCGAACCAACTACGAGCCCTCCAATCACCCGACAAACAAGCGCGCACAGACGCCTACAACCAGCTCTACAGCAACATCTACCACCAGTCTGACCGCTACGAAGCAACCGCGCACGCAGTGCCCTATATACTCAACATTCTCTCGAACCCAGCAGCGCCTGACCGGCCGCGCCTGCTCTGCCTCCTGCTGGATCTAGCTCTGGGCATTCCTGCTGAGGTGTTGCCGTTGGGAGTTAGGCTTGGGGGCACTTGTGCGGGTGGGGTGTCCATGTTTGGGATGTCTCGGACGGACGGGTTGACTATGGGGTCGTTGCGTACGACGCCGTTCGTGCGGGCGTTCCGTTGATTTGGAGGTGTTTGAAAGAGAAAGATACTAGAGACGATGGTGGGAGGGTGAGGGCTTGGGCGGCTTGCGCGCTGGCATACTTCCCTAGTGAGGTCGAGTGTAGTAGTGGTGCTGATATCGATCGGCTGTTGCAGCTCATGGATAAAGAAACGGACATCATGACCTTGGCGGCAAGCATCATGATTGCGCTGGGACTGCTCAGTGGATCTCGGGATGATGCTTCTCCCTAATATTCTTCCAAGACTACTACTACAACTACAATCTCCCGCCTACACGCACACTCAACCAACCCCATCTACTAATCCGCTGGGCAGCCGCAGTAGCACTCACCCGGCTGGAGCATCACGCACCAGAACACGTCAACGTGATAACACAAGCCCTAACCGATCCATCGTTCATCCCCGCTGAGTATCACGCCGTCTTCCCCTTCTGCGAGGGGGATTTCAGCAAATACAGCGCTAAGATCCTGAGGGGGTTGGACATGAACGAGTATCCTGGTGTGGTACCCGCTGTGCTAGAGACATTGCCTGGCTTGCCGCGTCCGGATGCATTGAATCTAGCTGAAGTAGCTATGGAGCTTGCGTTGGGTGCTATGCCTGACGATGAAGATGATGATGATGAAGAAGAAGAAGAAGAAGATAATGATGATGATGGGGTATCTGTCGAGCGAATGAGCGCGCTCCAGCGCCGAACTGTAATGGCATTAGCGGAGTGGGATGATGATGAGGCGTGAGGAACTGGAATTGTGGGCGGGATACTTGAGGATTGGAACATTCCTGGTGGGAGCCGAGATGAGTGTCGTCGGTATATAGGGTTGTTGACGAGGATGATAGATTATAGTGATATAGCATTGTTACTGTGCAAGTGGAATCCATACCGAGATACCTCTTCGCAGCAAACAGCTTATCTATCAATAGCATGAACCACATCCAAAGACACTGTGACTTCATCGAGTACTGGCAGAGTACCAGGGCTTGTCCAGCAGCTTTACACAAACCAGACCCAACAAAACAACCAAAACACCGCTCACCACGATACTAGCCCGCAATCAAAAGAAAGCAAACGCCCAGAGAGTATAAGAATCAAGATACCAGCAACCCGGTCAGACCATGTAGAACCATCCATACAACATTGCTTACCTGGATAGTATATAGTTCGGTAGCAGATATGACATCCACACCCAAGAAAACAAAAGAAAGCACACCCCAGCAGAGCAACGTCGTACAAAAGCCTGTCTACCTACCTAGTACTCAGGTTTGACATACACCTGCTGTACCCTGTACCCCGTCCTCGTGCTCAGGCCAAGTCCCAAATCAAATATAAAGTAGTCTGCCGTGTAACCAACAGTATAAACAAAGTGGGGATCAATTCACCAACGAAGCGGAAACCCATTGTCTAGAACAATCAGGAACATTCATATAGTTCAACACCCCAGAAGGTACATTGGGTGATATATGTATATGTAATATATAGATAGTGTTAAACCCACATGGCACATCCCTTGATTCCTTTCTCCGCGGGGCAATTGCGGAGATATTATCCGGTTTATTATCACCTATTCTACTCCGTATGTATCTGCCTGACTTTCTCTATATCACCGATTGATGTGATATCTGACTATGGGATGAGATCATCCTTCCCATTAGTCCACTTTATCTTATAGTATAGTATATGTACCACGAGATTTACAACATAGGAAGTCTGAGTATCAGTTTATATACGCTTGATTATCATCTATATACACGGTATCGCAAACCCATCTCATCATGTTGGGCAACGTATTAGGCAGTAGGGGTAATTAGTAGTAACGAGTGTGTAGAAGGTAAAAAAAGAAAAGAAAGAAGGCCTGCACATGAATCAAGCTCCATGCGAAAGCAACTCCATTTGATTTCCGCTCCGATGCGGCGTGCTCTGTTGATGAATGGCAGCACATTGTTTCTGGATTTTCGTTCTTTTCAAGAAATTGGGTTGTTGGTTGGATCACCGACTCGCTGTGCTCATCCACTTATCACTGTTTGTTGTCCAAGTAGACTTCGATAAGGGAATAGACAGTGGTAATATATCCAGATACCATGGCATCCGGATAAAATAGCAGCATCAGGAAGAAAGGAAAATAGAATGTTTGAATAGACATCACGAGATAACAAAAAGACCAATAAGTCAAACGAAAGATGTATAATGGCCTGCTGCAAATTTTCCGGACCCAAAAAAAGATAATAATGCCTCGGAAATGCAGAATCAAAGAACTGAAACGAGCTGAAATCAATCACAACTCAAGTTGGTATCTGAAGACAAAACAAAACCATGCCACACACAAACAAACAAAAAAAAAAAAAGGCAGGAGAAAACCAACTCCCCCCATATTCTAAACGAGAGGATGAAACGAAAATGACGATCCTGGAAACAACCGGCACCTCTATAAAGTCATAACGTGGGAATAATAGATCAAAAACATCATGGTAATACCCCTTTTGCCCTTGTACCCGGGTTCAGCCGACCCATAGATATTAATCAGAAAAGAAAAGAAAGGGGTATCAATTCCTTGCGCGTTTCGCAAGGACCAGAAAAAAAAAAAGAAAAGAAGAGGAAAAGTCGGCATCGCAGTCGAATGGTTGTTGTACAAGCGATGGGACCCAATTGAATGGTAGAAACGAGCAACGTCGCACAAGCCACAGCGGGTGGGATTTGAGTCGCTGCTCATGCACAGGCCTCGTATCGGTACGGGTCATAAGGAGAATTTAGAAAACGAAAAGATAGATGTATCATCTACTCGTCGTCCTCACCGGAGGCTCCCTCCTTTTCGCCCTTGTGAACCTTCTTGTGGCGGCGCAAGTTGGACACAACGGAGAAGTGTCGACCGCAACCTTCCACATCACATGCGAATGCTGAAATCAATTGTCAGTACACCGCCAGAGACAAACCAAGGGGAGGATTTCAAACTCACGCTTTTCGCCAGTGTGGCTGTACATATGGGTCTGGAGAGACGACGGACGGGTGAATCGCTTGTCGCACACCTTGCACTTGTGCTTCTTCTGGGTGTTGGACGGCATCTTGGAGCTGAACTGGCTCATCATCGACTGCGGGCCCGGAGGCGCGCTTCCCGTGAGCAGGCTGGACGGACGGGGCAACGTCCGCGACAGGTGTCCATTGTCGTAAGACTCCGAGGTGGTAGAGCTATAATCGGTCACCGACGAGTCGACGGAGCCGACGGAGGCGCTATAGTAGGGGTAATTCGCTCCGGACGAGATCGACGATCCCGACGAATGGGTCGCGGGGAAGCCATACGAGTCACCTGAACCTCTCGAGTTACGAGGACCGTAGATGTTGCGAGGGGTCAAATCCTGGCTGAGGGCAACCATTCCGCGGCTGGCGTCAAGGGCGTCTCCAAACGTGGGGGCCGACGGGGGCTGCGATTGGCCAACGCGAGCTTCTCTGTTAACGGAAGAGACCCTGATCAGTAGCTGTCCAAATTTCCGGATGGCACGAATGCGCGCTTTGAGGGGAGATGGTTCTTACGGGATGCGGCGGCTGTCCGGGTGGTGTATCGACGGAGCATAGCTCAAGGGGGCATAGCTGGCCGGGGCGAAGCTGCTCATGGAGGAGGCGGTGGTGTAGGAGGGGGGCTGTTCAAAGGTGGTGCGAGGAAGGTCGTGCGACATGGTCATCATCTCCGGGCCGGGGTAGCTCGGAGCGGCGCTGGTAGAATAGTTACTCCCGGGGACCATGGACGGGGCCGACACGGGGATGCTCGAGTACGGCAGAGACATGGACGGGCGGGTGACTTCCTCCTGCTTGGGAGGGTTCAGGATCTGGCTGGAACCCATGGAGGTCGCGTACACCGGAGGGGTCGAGTTGGAGGAAGTGTGAGCGGCCGACCAGGGATCGGTGAACTGAGGCGGAGTGTGGTGCGGGAGGTTATGTTGTTGGTAAACACTGTCAAAACCCATCCCGCCGTACTGGCGGTTCTGGTTTTCAATGACCATCGTCATGGAGGGTAGCCGTGGACTCGGACAATATTAGATCGTGCAAGTGGTAATGCGGTTGAGAGACAGTCTCAACCTATGGTGCCTGACGATCAAGGAGGGAAGATCGCAGACAGATAGGGCAGCGCGTGCTCGTGGCGATTTGATCGAGGTGGGGAGGAGGGACAGATGTGGAGGAAAGGGATAGACAGAGGATGATCCAAGGCGAGGTATGTGAATCAATTATATTAATTGACTTGCGCAAGGATAGGTAGGATGGGGATAATGAAGAACAGAAACCGTCCCAGCGAGTCACAGCAAGGAGGGCGAGTCGCGACGGGTTATATGAGGTATCGTAAGTGGCAGAGGATTGCGATGACGGAGGCAATGAGGGTAAGAGATGCAGAATCAAGAGGACAATGAGAAGAATGAGGACAATGACAATGGGGAGACGCCCTTGAACCCGAGCGAAGCAGAATGAAAAGGAAAGACAATCAGACAGTCTGGGGAAGGACCCGAAGGGGATCGGCGAAGCTTATGAACAAATACAGGATCGCAGCATGAGGGATGAAGGAGAGCCCTGGGCATTGCTGTGTTGGTTCTGGTCTGTTTAGTGCCACTGACGACGTCCCGTCGGGGACTCTGGCCGATCGTTACTGTAGTCTGCTTAGTGGGAGGGAAACGGCGCCAGTCATTTGAAAATAAATAAAATAGAAATTATAAAATCATAATAAAATAATCAACAATAAATAAAATAAGATCGAATAATAATTAAATTAGGGAGGGGGAGAGAAAAATCAAATTAAAAGCAAATAACCAAATCCGCGAGAATAACAAGCTTAGGGTGAATGGAAAAGTCTCCAAATGGGAACCAGTTCCTCGGGTGACTTCTCAAGGTTTTGGATGGGTCTCCTATTTCCCTGGTTGAATTGATTTTATTTTATTTTATTTTCAATCTTATATTTAATCATTCTATTCTATTTTCTTTCTTTTCCTCCCCCGGGTGGTCTTGCGAGGTAATTCCCTTTCCCTTCCCTTTTATTTGATTTTATTCTTTCTTTTTCTGCCCCCCCGCTCTGAATTATTACTCTCATCTTTTCTTGATCTTTTCCCTCGACCCTCCTGTTTGTTTTCTTCAGTCATAGATTAATGATTAATTTGGGTTTTTCTTTCGTTTTCCTTTTTTTGATTAGAGACCCGCTACGTTACTTCTATTTTTATTCAATCTTCAATCTACCGTACGATGGGCACAAGCCTTCCTACCGACTATCATTTGATCAGGGTTCAATATCTATAGTGGAATCTATACTCAGTAGTGGAAGAGGACCTACGCGAGGAACAACCAACTGCAGATGAAATGCAGACAAAAGGGGGAGGAAACCTCCTGATTCTCCAACTTCCATTGAGAGGAGTCTTCATGAACATGAAATAAAAAGTAAATAATTAAAAGCAAATAATAAAAAAGAAAGAAAGTTGGAAAAAGCAAGCAGGGGCAGGGAAAAGGAGACCGACCTGAAACTCCGGGATCGGAATCAAGTATGTACTGCCCTGCACGGTGGATGGATATACTGTAGGTTCCTCAGTCCCTCCAGAAAAGTAGCTTAATGCTGGGTTGTCCGCCCTGGAAGTGGTACGTAATCGGCAATGATAATCTCTAATAGGAATTACTCATAACAATACCACTCGAGTCTTGGGACACAGACCAAAAGTCAAATCGGGAACTGTAAATCAAATTAGTCCTATTCGAGAAGGAAGTATAAAAAAACAAATAGAATAAAATCAACTAAATTCCAGAATAAAAAATTGAATAAAGAAAAGAAAGAAAAAAAAGGAGACAAAGATGGTAAGAGGGAAGAAGCGGGAAGAAAAAACCAGGCTCAGGTACCACTTCCATAGCGTAGTTGACTGCGGTAGAGGAATGATAGGTCGGCAGACTATGAGCCGTAAGTCGAGATAGGATGACTTGCCCTCACCTTGCTCTTCAGACTCTTAGAGGCTAAAGGCTAACCTACCCTCTCCGGCCAACTGAATTAAAATAATAAAAAAAGGGGGGCCCAATTCTGTACCGTGTCTGTCGAAGACACTAAGGTAGTGTGCCTGAGTGGGCCATGGACTGCAGTGGAGAGGAGCGACCAGCACGAAAGGAGGAAAGCGTGGGTAGCAAAAAACAACCCGGGAGAAAGTCCCCTCCCATTAAGAATATTAGTTGGTTGAACTATAGTCGGAAAAATGAGGTCACCTCCAATATTGACATTAAATCGTCACACAACAGAGTACTTCAAAGAGATAGCAACTATCTTCACTCTATCTACTAATGCATTGTCTATTACGAAGAAAGGTAGCAGAATTAGCAGACGGATAGTTGAACACCAGGCCAGGGAGGTCTCAGGTGGCGGGGTGGTAGTGGCAGTGGCAGATCACAGAGATATGTCAAAAGCCAAAGGGTCTACCCGTTTCGTGGGGAGTCACTCCCTCGACTGCTGACTGGAGATAAAAAGCCTCCCGGACTGCAAGATGGTGGTGTGGTGGTGGATCGGGCTCCACATGCTTTCTGATTTAGTGGTGGAATTGTCGTCCCTCTTGGGGTATTTGCAGTGGTCGTCTGTCCAGTCCCGGTACGAGTTGCAGCAGTTGGACCGAGATAATCAGGGAGCAGTATGCTTCCAAGATTGCTTTCACATTCCGATAAACTCTCATAAATAGTATGATTCGATCGAAGCACAATACCTGTAATCCCAGAAGAATTCCGATACAAGAAATAATACACATATAGCCCTACATCCAGCACGTAAGATTAAGAATTCCGGTAATTTTGGTATTCCGGCTGTAAGGACCCACCAGACGAGGTTGGAGAATTACCCTAGGTAAGGCAAATCCAGCACTCAGTAAGGATCTCGACTCCCTGGTTAGTACTACAGCAAATCAACCAGTCTGTGCACATGCAGAAAATATGTATGTATGTCAAATGATGTACCGGAATAACCATGTAGTATGTAGGGTGTGTCCACAGGCAAGGTCGAGATATTGTTGATGCACATCGTGAGCTTTGACAGCAGGGAAAATTTTCCCTCTGCGGTGGTTGGTGCAAGGCGCGTCTTTGCATGTCGCACGGTACATACCAAGGCCCAATGCTTGCAGCCATATTGTATGTCTCTGGAATTTGCCGGAGGAGAGGGGGCCTTTTGCCGCAGGTCGCATATTAGTTATTTCTTGTGTTTTCTCTCTTTTTTTCTTTTTTCTTGCGGTTTACGTCGTCTAATAGAATACAGCACAAGGGCGACACTCAGAGAGGGACTGACCCACCAAGCAGTCTAGGTCTACCCTCCTCTATCCATACTACTAGTTTTCGCATGGAGCTAAGAGCTAGGGAAATTAATCCAATGGGTCCTGCGCGATGACGACATGCGACAACGAACGCCTCGGTCAGGAATGCTCCCCAGTCACTGTACTATAGTACTGCAGCACTAACGGCTATCCCACGAGTAGTCCGTAGTAGGGGTACTGGCACATCTTGTCTTCATTCTAGACAGTCACGCTCAAATTGAAAACTGGGATTCTACTGTATAACAGACTGTTGTCCATAGTCATGTAGGGGATTGTATGGTCAAGGCCAACTTATTCTTATTATCGTCTCATGTTTCTTTTCCCTTAGTATATCCTTTTCTCGCCAGTCTGATGCCCGATCGGATACCAATCCATATTGTACCGAGTATATCGTTCCATGCAGGCCATGTCCGTCCGCCGATCAAGAACAAGAAACATCGTCATCCTACAGTCTACCCCCCATCAAGACCCCTACACATCAACAGCTCAGATCTCAACCACAGTATCCGTACTCCATCCGAAACCCCCATTGGTAGACAACAAGAACGCTCCAAGAATGAACAACAGCATACCACACTGACCACCACCACCACAAACAACGCCTGGCATATCTCAATCCAATAGACAATGCAGTTATCTTGCAGAGCGCGGAATCAAAATGCGCACCAGTGGCGTCGTGCCGCTTTCAAAGCAACTGCATGTCAAAAGAACCACATTGACGTCAGCGGCCCGGCCGCTATCTACCCGTAACTCATTAGCGCTGGCTTGGGGGGGGGTGGCTCCTCTAGCATGGGATAAGCAGATCACACGCTCTGCTGTATAATCTATCCCGGAGTAGCATTGACAGGTCGCTTGGGTGGGAGGATGGATTAAGCCAGTTATGGGGAGGAATATGCAAGAGTAATCTAGTGGGTTTGCTGAAGGAGTATATGTGAGTTTACTATTATTGTGGGGAGAGGATAGGTAGTATACAGTAGATGAGATTCTTAAAACTACAATATATTTTCTTCCAATATACACATCTATTACCCCGATCGTATGTAGCATACACACACTCGAGAGGCAAGATAAGCCCGCAAACGCCCCCTCAATGTGGTTCGTCACCAGCGACGCCACAATCCCGCCACAGCAATTAATATCCAACAAATGCAACCATCACATCTGTTACAACTTACGAGGCCTTCGTTTACAAGTTCCATATTAAAAAAGCCTAGCAGATGAACCCCTTTGTTTGTCAATTGTAACCGTTGTCGGCTGGGGCGTTTAGAGTTGTGCCACCATGAGTCCAGCTGCCATGTTACTAGGATAGGGACAGCTCATCACTTTGTCTACCCGAACCAAGACCCAGATATAGATTAGAGAGTTTATTGGGACAAGGGTTATCTGCATTAGATCTGGTGATGACGTCTCGCGCGGGGGGATGGACAGGGGAGAGAATAAGGGAGGGAGACTGAAGGAGGGGCGGGAAGAGTAAGAGTAAGCCAGCCATGTGCATGGGCTGTGAGCCCGCACCACACCACACCATCCATCTCATCTCATCTCATCTCATCTCCAATTTCCATCTCATGTATCTCAAGCATGGTAGCCCTCTGAACATTACTTACAAAAAATAATGTTAATATCTATCATGTCAGACAGTCCACTTACAAAGTAACTAAAGAGTATAACAAAACAAATTACCACAACTGGCGAGGCCCACTCCACTCTACTATCCGACCATCGGAGGCGGTAGGAGACACTGACTAGCTCAACGGTCGACTGGTTCAGCAAACGAACTGGTTCCTTGGAACTGGAAAATCATCTAATCCACTGACTCGTTTGTCGCGTGGGCGTGACCTTCGAGAAGGCAACTGTGGAAGGGTACGGGAAATTAACGTGGGCCGGGTGTGAGCC